AAGAGACAATATTTACCAAATTTTCTGCCCGCTAGAATATTTTTAAGTAAGAATGCATTTTTTTTATTGAAGTCGCAAGTCCTTTCAACAAAGTTGCAAGTGAATGTCTGCAGAGGTGCTTACAGTCGATAAATCGACTGATTCTGCCGAACAAGTCCCTGGCGAACATGTCGTATGCGCAATCTTACTTAGTAGCTTCTTCTGTCATCTTATGCAAATAGCTGCCAATGAAATGGAATGAATGAAAAAAAAAAAAGCGAAATAAAAAACAAAAACACATACACAAAGGAATTTACAAAAAGGGCAAAGGAAAACTACAAGTAATAAAAAATGCTAATTTAATGTTATTGTTGCTGTTTGCTTTTGTCTTGTTCGTGTTTTTGTTCATCTCTTTGACTTTGTCATGTCATTTTGGAGCTTCCTTCGTTTTTCATTTTTATTCCATTCCATCGTTGTCTCCCCGAAGCTTTTATCTGTTGGCCCTTTTATTTTTTTGCCGCTTTGACACAAACAGGAAATGATTTATGCAGAATTTTCTCGGCGCAACTAATTCAAAACTTGCCACGCCCCGTCCGCCCGCCTGCCACATACTACTAAACACGAAGTTTGATTGCCACACATTTTCATTTCTTGGTGTTTTTTTTCGCCCAGTCATTGGAGCTCATATCCTGATTACACCAAGGATCCAAGCCCCGGCCAGGCTTCCCGTTTCGGGCTGCTTTATTGAAATTTCCGTTCACCGGATATTGAAGAACGCCATTTTGTTATTTATTTTTGGGCGGACATGTCTTCATATGAAGTTGGCCTTTTTTGGGCGCGAAGGAGCGTCCCCTTTGACCCTCGGGGCCAGTCATTAACTAATTGCAAATGAAGGAATTAATAAAAAATCAAAATCGCATTATAGGTCCGGGTTCCAGCACCCACCACCATCACCTACGGTAAGAAAGGCAATCAATTTGATTGTATTTGATGGCTCTACAGCTTCGATGTACCGTGGCCCCTCCCCCAGCCAACCATGAGCCATAAATCTTAAGCGCACTTGCGGCCCTCCTTCGCCTTGGGCTACGTTTTGGCCTCATACTAATCCGGATCTGGGTCTGGGGTCTCCAGGATCCGCCGTAGTTCCACCCGCCCGTTGCCCACCTACCGCCCATTGCAATTCGCCTGAGTGTCCTGCTGTGCACCGAGTGTTTGGCATCCAGCGTAGTGCACAATGTCCAAAATGCACACTGCAAATAATACAAAGGACTAAATTGGCAAAAAATGAGATTTCGGGATTCCAGTCCTTGGGCCACAGCAACGCTATTTGAATGCTCTACACAGGAGGCTTCTATTCTCAACAAAAAAAATATTGTTAAATTACAACCGGAATGACTATTGAGTTGTAAACAGTACATACCTATGGATTTTAAATGGTGCTTGGATTAGGGCCACATCACCACATGTCCTGTTCCATTTTAAAAGGATATAACCAAATAGAACTCGAATCGCTCGGCTAGTTCACAATAGGGAATAAAAATAAAGGAATAGGAGAAGGAAAAAAAACCAGGACTCAACTTGTGATGCTGTAGTTTCTCCTCCCCCAATGACTCCACGACCGCTGACCCACCAGCCCATGCCTTGGCCATATTGCTTCGTTTCGGATGGCCTGGGTGCATTAAAAATAAACGACTGTGGGCAGCGCTCAATTTGGAATGAAATTGGCGCAAATACCAAAAATTTATACAATGGCAAATGCAGCAAAAAGGAAATACGAGCATGATGTAGGAGTCTTTTTTTCTTCTTCTTCTTTTTAGGCGGGGGAGAGCGGGGCTTGCAGGCGAGTGCCAGGACGAACGGACGCCAGGATGCCAGAGAACCAAAAGCAGCACCAGAGCACAAATTGAAAAGCCATACAAATCAAATTGTTGGGGTGTGAGTTCTAAGTTTATTGGACCACGTATACATATATTGTTATGAGTGTATGTGTGTGTGTTTGTGGATGTACGTTTGTGGGTGTGTTAGTGTCCATTTCCATGTGTATGTGTGCTTTATAATTTATAAGCGACCATCAGGGGCGCTCATTATGTGGCACAAAATAAGTAAGTGCCACTCGTTTATATACAAAGTAAACAGCGTGGGAAAATGCATAAAAAGTGACCAGCGATGAGGGTCATAAATGAGCCTTGAAGAGCGTAAACGGATCGTCAACAAACACACACACAAACGTACTCATGTCCTTGTTGCAGACGATTCGGGCACCCGACATAGCTGTCTGTTAAGAGATTCCATGAGCTTCCTACTATTTGTGGGAAATATATAGTCTTAAGACCTTGAAGAAATTTATATTTATGATATAATATTTTACGTAAAGTTGTATAAGAATTCTTTTACAGGTTTTTAAATCAGTAAAATACTTTAATGAAGCCCTTAATAATTTTTACCTGTTTATATTTTGTCTTGGAACATAAACTTATAATCTTAACTTATATTTTATTCAAAAATATCTAAAATATTATTTTCATTTCCCTTTCATAAAACTTTAGTTGGTTGATGTAACACTCCATCCCAACCACTTCTCGCTATAATATACTCATGTGGCCCTTTCATTTTTGTTTGGGAGAAAGCAACGAACTTTTATGGGTCGATTCCTTTGTCTTCTGGTAACGTCCAGTCGTTGGCCCCCGATAATGCAATCAATTTGCTTTCAGTTTGCCGGTTTGTTGTGTCCCCTTGGCGAATCGTTGAATTCTAGCCGGTGCTGGGGAGCCAGCAATCAAAGCATGCAAAAGCGTTCCGAAGTGATTGCAATCTGATTCGATCTTTTCGTCCAACCCACCCATCCTCTCCCCCCACCGCACGCACCATTGAAGACCAAGTCCTTTTTGCCCCGCTTGGAGTTGTATAAATATTTTCTGGCTAACGTCTTGGAGCTGCATAAATTATTACCAGTTCCGGTGGCACCCCTTTCCATTAATAGAATTTTCACTTTTTAAATGCAAATGGCTAGGAATCCACGTCCCAACAGTGCCTGACCGGGCAGTTGGTAGCTCATTCGAAATCAGAGAAGGAAATGCAAAGAATTTCAAGCAAAATTTAATTACTCGCAGCAGACCGAGGAACGTTTCGAGTAAAGGACTAAAATCTGCATCGCATCGAATGCTGCAGCTCCCGAAAGGATGGCGGGCTTTTGTAGCAAAAGGGGCAAGTAGCAAAGTCAGTCAGTTCGTTTCATTTGTTTATGCATATTTTACTGGACGGGCGCCTGCACATTAACAGTCAGCAATTGAGCAAGGACGAGAAGTACGGCAGTGGGCGGGCTGAGAAAACTACGGCCGGAAAATCGTCGGAGGCAGCAGAAGTCGCAAGACAAGCTTCTGTTTCCACTGGACAAACACTGAACTCAGCTCTCTATTCGCCGCCTTAATGACTCTTCGACATCCACTGTCATAGGCACAGTGGTTACAAACTGCACAGTATCCTGTAAGGACCTTTTCCCTCTAGCACTACCTTAATATATAACTACATACCTAGTTTTCGCCTAGTAATCTTCTATAATAACCAAGTTCTTCGTCTTATAGTCTAAATTTTTTTAAAAAAAACCTACCTATCCCAACCACTATACCTATCCTTACTATCACTCCTCTCCTAGAATTATCTCCTTGACCTTATGCTGCGTTTTTAACGAACTCATAGCTGAAAATGGAAGTGGATGTGGACGTGGAAGTGGCAGGGGTCACGGAATCCTTTGCATATTCATTGGTCAGCAGTTGGAGCTGCCTCTATTCTAAATTTTAGCTAGTCAACGGTGGGCAGGAGTGGGCGGGGCCGCATTCATCCACTTGCTTTGAGCGTAAATATTTTAAGTACTTTAAACAATTCATTAATTTACATTTAGCTTTCGGCATGTTGTAGCAAACGTTGCCCATAATTTGAGTGGAGGATGCAAGGATACTTGAAATTTCGAGATAAACGCTTTAAAAATAAACCTCTATTGTATTTTAGAATAGAATATTTCACATTTATTTAAACAGTTATATTTTGTAGCTCAAGGATTATAAATTTGGAATATGAATATGTTTTTTTTGCAAGTTTTGGAGGTCTTGGAGAGGTATTTGTGAAACAAAGGTATATCTTTTGAATGTCAACCACTACAGGAACTACTTAGATAACTACTTTTAATCCAGTTGATACTGTTTTAATATAGAAGCTATATCCACACAGATTAAAATACTGAACCCTTAAACATTAGACGGCAATTACCAAAAGCAACAATGAAACAAGATTCCCTCCTACTCACCACCCATTTTCAATGTGCAATTTTCCCATTCAAGCCATCAGAGCTGCCTGTGCTCACCATGTCGCTTCTACTAATTGCAACAACAATTGCAATGAACTAAACTGAAATAGAATGGGGGCCGAGGAGTGGATGATGGTGTAGGGGGTAGGGTAAAAAATAACCGGACAGCAACAACTAGGCCACAAGTCGAACATATCGGGGACGGAGAGCTCCAAGGATCCAAGGGGGACATAACAAGATGGGCGCATTTCACAAATTATAATCGTCATTTGTCATGGAGGCACTGCACTCGGCAAGGACTCGCCACTCCTCCACTCAGCAGTCGGCCCTCGAATCCAGTCCTTCACCCAGTTAGGCAAGGAGGAGGTTGGTCCTGGTCCTGGAGGGTGTGGGCAAGTTATCCTTTCTGATTTTTATTGACACGTTGAAATGACAGAGAACGGGGCCGAGTAGATGATGAAAAATTGCTCAATAAAGTGAATTAGCAATGCACTTAGGAGACGAAATGAGAACAATTAGTAGAGAAATGAACAGAAAAGCGATTTTAACGAAAATTGTAAGCCATTCAGTTTGTGTTTGTGTTTGAATATTTGGCTAGCATATTTGTTGGCCCAGTTAGTAAGTTCAAAACTTATTTCAAAACGGAAATGACAGTTATTAGAAGAAAGATTATAAAATAATTAAATGAAGGTTTATATAATTAAAACTTTATTTATGAAAATTACTTAGAAAGTACATTTATTCCCAAATACTTTAATGGCTTCAGCACTATTATATTAAATATGTGATATATTTTAGAACGCTTTGAAACTTTGTCGCAAAAATTAAACTTCTCTTTGGAAAATGCAATATTTTTGTTGCAACACTTGCGGTTTCTTTTCACGCCCTTCGCCTGCAACGAATCCCGAAAAGCTCCAGGCCAGGCCGACATTTTCGAAACGTGTCCAACAGCGTTCCGCCAAAGGCTCCGCGCATGGTCATAGTAATATCCTCAATGTTACCAATGTCGCAGTTGGCCATCAGGAATCCATCGGACAATAATTCCTCGCAGGCCGTTCCGGCCACCAGCGTCTCATCGAATCTGGCAACTGCCACACAGAGGCGCAACTGCTGGCGTTGCAACAGCCACGGGATCACCAAATGCCAGTTGGCCCGACTCCAGTCCAGGTCATCCTCCACCAGCAGACCGTTCTCGGCAGCGAACTCAACCGGTTGTAGGTGGTAGAAGTTGAAACAAAAACTGAACAAAATAAGTAGTTTGAAATTTTGTTGAATCATGTTGGATAATGTATATGCATATAGGTATGTATATGTCTCGATCGATAGTCGTCTGAACTGAAGCAAGTTGGTTTTGAAACTGAAAACATTTCAAACCATTCTACGTGATATGCATTCGGTTCTTGAAAATGCAATGCTAAGCTATGCTGACGTGTAAACCAACACGATGGTAATTCAAAACGGAATAAGAGTATTTTTTAAATATAATAATTATTATAAAAAGTAAGAGCTTTAGATTTCAAGAAGAAAATACAAACAAATAAAATTAGTATAATATTAAGCTAAATGAGATATATGTTAGAGGCAAGGCCTTTAAAGCCTCGCTAAATCCAAAACCGCAATGTGGCCTTGATAAGCCAAATTAAAATCTAAATATTTAATCAAATTTTGGCCTTCTTGTTGCCACTTTCACTATTTTTGCGTAACAGCCAAAAGCACCACGAATTTTGTTTGCCATTACACTATTATAATTAATTTTGAGTCAGCGGTCTACGTGACTCTGGATCGCTTTCGAGTGCAGCACGTGGCAGTTACCAACGACAAACTTTAATTCTACGCGATTGTTTTTTGTTATTAGTTTGTTCAATGACGTCAATATATGACGAGAAAAATCTAAAAAGTAATACCAAAGTAATATAAAGTCCTAACTAAATTTAAAATAATATTAGCTTTCACCAAAGCCAGTCAGTAAATAACTAAACACACTTGGTAATTGATATTCTATTTGCTCAATGTAATTAAAGTAAATAATTAATTTACCTGTCCGAAAAAACGCCATTATTTAATTGTAAAATATACAAGCTTGTAATTGTTAATAATTGAGCAGCAACAAGCCGGACAAACAAAAAATATTTTCATTCCAAAATTGAATAAAGCATTTGGTGACAGATGTACAACATTTGCATAGATATACAAATTCCCCCATAAATCGTTGCCAAAAAAAGTCAAACTAATAAATGTCGTGGGGACGTGCGGAAGGTTGAACTGTTTCCAGGATACAGGCCAGGCTAGTGGATATAGGCCACGATTAATTTGAGACGGGAGGGGAATGCGGCAATCCACACAGCTGTCGCAGTAATGCTACCTTAAAAAACTACACAAAAACAATCAGTTTTGAGACTATATGATACCCGGTACTTTTATAAGGGATAGGGAGGTATATTCTTATAGAAAATATTACTGTAAGATTAAAAGCTATTTATTGATAATATTTCATATAAGCCTTGATTAATCTTTTTTACTTAAATTCTCTAAAAAACAATATACCCTTTAAGCCTATAAGCATCATCTATAAAAAGGACCAAACGTGCTGAGCCAAGCGGCAGACAAACATTGAAATTATAATTTTTTAGTAATAAAACATATATGGGTGTATATATGTATGTATGTACAAAAAATATGAAAGAATATTGTAGGCGTGACCAACACCCCACTACCAACACTACACTACCACTACCATAACACAAAAAATGGCGCAGGGGCCATTTGCCTATTTTTTGTTGTCTGGGTCCGGAAACAAATTACAGCAAACAATTTAAAAAATGTTTGCAAACAAACAGGAACCGAAAAGGCGCAACAAAAGGGAATGACGGAAATGTTATCTAGGAAACAAGAAAACGGACATGAAACCGGAAGTACCGAGTCCTTGCACTCTCGACAACGATAGGAAAACAAAATTATACCTCGCTGTGATTTCATTCATAATACTTGGCCTTCCAAATGAAAGAAAAATATATAATTTTCCATTCAAATTTGTAAGGAAAATCCAGTCCAGACAGGAGCCACTGTACTGGCTGGGAAAAAGCTTGACCAAACAACAATTGGGCCAAGATAAAAGCTTTGGCTCAGGCATTTGGCTCAGGATCCTTTTGTTCCCAGACCGTATCCCAGATATGCCGACCGAGAGCAAGTCCCAGCTTTTAACCTTTTCGTTTTACTTAGTTAAGCAAAAATGAAATTTTTATTAGCAAAATGCATAAATGAATAGAGAATAGTTAAAAACAGACCCGAATGCAGAGCACGACCAACTTCTTCAGGCCATGTGCACCTGTGGTATCAACATTTTGGCCACTCCTTGCGATGTATTTTGGTTTTTGCTGAACTCGACACAAAACTTGGCTTGGAGTGCCACCTGGACCTTGTCCAATAACTTTCCGGGATGTTTCTGGTTTTGCTCCGGTGTTTCCCCCAATTTGATTATTCCTGTTGTGGTCCATATGGGAAAATTATAAAGCAATTACTTTAAGGGGAACCATTTTCTGATGTGTTATTTTTCATGGCTTTTAAAAAATTACCAACTAGAGTTTTGAATGTGAGTGTATCTTTTAAGGTTCTTCCTTTTTTAAAGGTTGTAAGAACATTTTTATTTATTATTTGGTACTGAGGCATAAATAATTCACAGACTGAAACAAGTTTTGTTTGTAGAACTATGTATTTATACAAAAAAATATATATTTCACCTTCAAAATACTCACTTGTTGTGAAATTGCCCTAGTTTCCGAACAAACAAATTGTCTGAGGACCATTTTTGAAAGCTTTACAATTATATGGGCATTACGAAGTTTTATAACAAATGGACTCCCTTGCACCATCCTCGCAGGGAGACACAACTTTTTGCGACATATCAATTAACAAATAATATACAAGCTGACAAACAGAAAAGCCCAAGAGGGAAAACTATCTAAAAACTTGCACATACTACAATACTTGGCCATAGGAAACTTGTTGTTTCGCCAAAGCAAATCAGAAAGTCATCATCAAAAGTCCGAGAGCAGGACAACGACGACGACAACGGAACCCCATTTGCATTTCAGGCCAATGAAGAAGTACTACTACCGGAATTCCCCTATTCCTTCCACAAAGTAGGAGTATAGGACAATTTCTGCCTCTGTGCACTTTAAAAGTAATTTATCTTTTTTGCGCCTCGTCCACTGGATACATGCTACATGCAATTTGCATAAAACTTACTCGCCTCGGACCCTTTCGGCATTAAATCCACTTTGTCGCCATATACTCGTACATCAAACTGGAAGCAGTTGCCGGTTTTTCTTCGTTTTTTTTTTTTTTTTTTTTTGTTAATATGTTAGGAAGCCCTGCTGGCGAATAAGTTTTCAATAAAGCGTCACGAGCCTCTGGACCCATGCCGAGCATAACAAATTCTTTTGTTTTCATCACTTTTCCTAATGACTGGGGGGTGTGGAGTGTGTGTATAGGATGTGTGTGTGGAAAATGTGTCAACGGCAGCTGCAAGTGGCTCGAATGCATCAAAACCCAGTTAACGTATAAAGAAAAAAGTACCAAGTTGCTTGTCTGCTGAAAATAAAAGGCTACAAAAAAGCTAAACTTCTCTATAAATTAAATATCTTGGGAAACTTTAGGTTTAATGAGTTGGAAAACACTTAACAAAATTTAAGCTATCACAAGTTTAACCTCAACTAATAGATTTAATTTTAATAGCTACTAAACGTGCGAAAAAGTTTTAAAATATTTATAATTTCTAATATTTGAATCCTTTTATCATGATTGGAAAATAATAGCACTCGACCATATGTATTGTGTTTAAAACTATTTCTATTCAATGCATATACATATGTAATAATGTCCATTGTTTCATGGACACACGTGTTCCATTTGTTCCACTTGTCCTAAAACAACAACCAGTTAAATGTTTGTTGTTTCTAATAAACCTAATTGCTTACATAATACATGAACAACAATTTGATTGCGAGTGGGTGGTATATGTACATTTAATTTTTAGAAGAGTTTCCAGCATCCATGGTAGCTTAGCTTGAAGCAAAAAAAAAAAAGAAGGGAAAGAAAGTATGTAATATAATATGTCACCTCATGCATGAGTATTGGATTTGATATTTATAACATGTTGTCGAGGTGCTGATGCAAATAATTAAACACAAATAAAAGGCGCAAACAAACACAATTACAAAACACAAATTCCCGCAAAAAAGTGAAATAATAAACCGCCTAAAAGGCGGCAATGCCCGCAGTCAGGGGAGTACTCAGCGAAGCGAGTGTGCGAATTTCCCCCTTAATTATTTAAGGCCCATGGAAGCATGCCACCACCATACAGCCATATAGCCCAGCTCCTCCACATCCCTACCAGTCGGAGCTGTCTGCATATTTGTTCGCGTTCGTTGAACGCATTTTCAATTAACAGAAAAACACTCGGCTAGGCAGAGACCGACTCCCCCATCCTGGCTCCATTATCCTTTCTCCATGCCCCATGCCCCGTCGTCGGAACAACTTTGATTTGTTTAATTAAATTACACTCAGACAAAGGCCTTCAATCATTCACAGCTTCCAATCACTCATTGGCTCAATCACGCGCTCAACTTGAACAGAAGTCAATATGCAGCTAGCTGTGTTTGATCGGGTAGTGTGTGTGTGTGTCAGTGTTTTTGATTTAGAAACAACACAACCTACAACGCCATCCTATTCCCACCCATCACCCACTGACCCACCCTACCATTGCCTCCTGCTGGTTATTTGTAGTGTGTTCAAGTACAACTTATCCAAATGCAATGCAGCCTGGATTTGTGTGCTCTCCGTTGGCACTGCCATGGAAGTCGAATAGAATCGTTAATTAATGCATGATAAATCCAAGCAGAATGGCAAGCATATCCAGTGCCTTCCAAGTCTATTTTGATAGAAAAAATAAATAAAAAACTCTAGACTAGAAAAAGCAAAACAACGAGTATGCAAATCTATCTACGCCTTTGTTTAAGAATTTTCCTTTTCCCAGGCCCAGACAGAAAAAGTTTTTTCTCATATTTGGCTTCCATAAGTTTGAACCTCCTTTGGCACCTAGTTGGATAAAAAGTTTTTATTCAAAAATTATTCAAAAACAACTTTATTGAGCTTTTCCTTATTAGCCACTCTTTACCCTGAAAGAAGGCCAGCCGTTGTTAAAACTCTTTATGGAAAATTGTTTATAAGAATATTATTTTATTAAGGTGTATTTACTCAAACGTATCTATTTTAAGCCTTCTAACAATTTAATGTCTTATCTTTTACCAAATATAAATGGAAAAGGATTAAAAATCAACATAGTTCTTATACAATTTTACTAAGCATATTATTTCTTGTATTCAAATTTAAATGTATATAAATTGTGAAACTATTTTTAAAGCTTGTGTGCAAAAATGAACACAAAATGGCTAGAAAACTACATTTTTCAGAGACAAAGAGCATCATCATCTTTAGAAAATATGCTGGTAATAAATTGACTTACCTAACCCGCATGCCACTTCCAAACGGTACAAAAATGCAACTTTTAACAAACATTTTGTATCAAAAAAAAAAAGAAACTTAAACTGGCGAAAACGAAAAATGTTTAATTGAAAAGCACAATGATAGGTATTTTTAGCTGAAAACTAATAGCATATTGTGTTGTCTTTTTAAAGACAACACCAATTTATTTTGAAAATTTAAAGGGCATATAAAACGTGTTAAATGCCATTGAGCAGTATAGGATCAATACGTTGGTGTCAGTTTTTTGATATTTTTATAAAACAACCCACATTTTTAACCCAGAACCTAACTAACTGTTGACTAAACAACGACTCAAAAAAAAAACTAAGAAAAAAGAACTATTCACAGCTTATCGGCAAACAATAGACCATTGAATAAATATCAAAAGCAAATAGCCATAAATATTTTTCTTTACCCCATTTCAGCGAGCGATTTTTTTCAAGCGATTTTTTTTTATTAGATTTTCACCGCTTTGCACATGGCGGAAAAATATTTTGAAACACTCGCAGTGGAGAAGACAAAAAAATAAAGAAAAAAAAATGAAACTGGGAATCATTTATGCCGCTTTAAAAGCCACAAACGGCGGCCAGAAAGCCAGGGTTTCGCCCAGGACAAGGGTATGGGGGCTTGAGTTCCGGCCACATGGTCCAGGGGATTTGCAGCCGGGGACAAAAATGGCAATACGATGCATATACATAACGTAATAACGGTAACGTGTAGACTTTTAGACATAGAAAACGCGAAAGGCGAGAAGCTTTACGATGCCCGCATCATTTGATTTTATTGCAAAGTGTTGAGAAAAAAAAAAGAAAACAAAAAACGATGATGAAACCCCAGGAACAGAAACAGAGACAGATACGATCCATTCGAAAGGGAATGAATGTGTTAGGACGAGGATGTGAGAGAGCTGGGTTGGGTTGTTAGGGACTGCTGGCCGTGGGGGGTAAAGGGTCGTCCTTGAGCCAGTTGTTTCTGATTAATGCCATCCGACTTGAAGGATGCAGCGAAGCACGGCACAAAATGCAAATCACCCGGCGGAATAATCAAATCGAGAACGAAACTGAGCAAAACGGCATCAAAGTTGACGACGAACGGAAGCTGCAGCACAAAGCCAACACACAATGGTGCGGCGCCCAAGGGCAAAGGCCGATAGGACGACCTGGAACTGGGCCTCTTCAGGTGTACAACTGAGCAGGTGTTCGCTTCCCCTTACACCCCTCTTCCCGCTTTAGTGGCTGGGCGTGGCAAGGCCAAACAAAATCAATTAATTTAAAAAATCATTCATGCATTTGTTGACATTTTCGCAGTTAGGCCCTTCGGCTCCCGACTGCTATGTGAATCAAAACCAAGCCCGTAGAAATCAACAAATATTTGCATATGTACCTGCCCGTCTTTCTCTTGGTTTTGTGTTTTTATTTGGCAACTTTTTTATGCCACTATGACATTTCGTATTTATTGACATTTTCTATTTACCAGGCTCAGACTGTCTCGCATTCTGACAGTTTATTTCATAGGATTTCTCGCAATCGAATATAGGAAAAGAATTTGCTGAATTGTTGCATGTTTCCTGGCATGCGAGACACTGGCATGTGGCAAGATGGTTGCATATAATGTTGGAATCCATTTGAAAAGTTCATTGACGGTATATGGATGTTGGACAAGTAACATAGGATATGCAAATTTTATTGACATAAGCGACAATTTTGCAGCAAAGTGACTAAACCAAAATAAAATAGCTTTGAAAAATAAATAGTTTAAGATTTAATAACTAAAATTGAACATTAAATCTTTAAATTAATTTTTGAGACAACTAGTCGTATGCGCAATGTCAAAAAATAAAAAGAACCAACGTGTCGTATACTTGTTTATTATTAAAAAAAATGGCTCCCAAACTGTTTGCTTTTATATACTTTGAGGCTTTTAAGGTCTAAGCAATTAAAGTTTTATTTTAAACTTATACAACAACTGAAAAGTTACTTGTTTAAACAATTAAGGTGAGTAATAAGTAGGTATTTTTAAATGTTTCATTCCTTTAACAAGACTTCTAGAGTTCTTAAAAGCCAAATAAAAACATTCATCACACCAGAAGTTTCCAAATATTCCATAGAACTGCACAATGAAAGCACGTTATCCTTTTATAACGTCACCCAGAAAGATGTTTAAGGATGTAAATGCAGAAATGATGGCCTGGCTTCATACCCCAAATCTCAGCCAAGCCGAGTTCCGACACCGCCAGGAAGCAATTCACTTGCGACTCGCCCTCCTGGACAAAATCGATGAGGAGTACTATGTGAAGCGATACATAACTCTGCGCACCCAATAATTGGACTTTTAAATACTTAAGGCATCAATTTCTTATAAGTGAATGATTTTAATGAATGTGATTCGTTTCGTTATCTTTATCAGATCATAATCCGTACAATAAACATAATACATAGTAGTTATTCTCTCCTGCACTAAATACAAAGTTATACATGTTGTTGAATATAGAATATTTATATAGTGTGTGTATCATTCCGATTCGTAAAACCCCCAAAAAAGTATGTAGGTTTTTTTTTGAGTATACAATACTATGCCCGAAAATAATGCAACAAAATTAAACAAAAAACATTCAAAATTTCTTTTTTTAAATTAATTTGGCTTTTCTCATTTCTTCTTTTCCATTGGGATAGTAAAATTTTTGGTAATCTTCCGATTGCTTTTCCTTTTGACAGCAAAATTTGGGCAAATAAACGCAAACTATTTCATAGGGCTCGATTTTAATGAAAAACTAATCCAATGGTTTTACCGCTGCTGCTGGTATATAGGAATGTTATTTTTGACGGCGTCGTTCTGCATATGATAACCGGGAGCACCGACCGGCGGACCAGCATTCATGGACATAGCGGCCATTTGTTGATGGAGCTGACTGAACTGATCGTGTGGTGGGTGCTGCTGCTGCGGTGCCTGTGGATGCGGTGGATGTTGCTGGGGTGGCATGTAACCTTGGGGATTAACCGCAGACGATCCATTTGGTGCATAAATATTGGGAGACGGCTGGTAGCCTTGGGGCGGTGGTGGCTGCTGGTGCTGCGGAGACATATACACGTGGGGAGCTGGCATTTGTTGCTGCTGAGGGAGTTGAGTTTGTGGAACTGCAGGCGGACCTTGGGCGAATTGAGTTTGCGGATCCATGTGATAGCTGGGCTGCTGGGGATGCTGTGGCGCTTGCTGTGGATGCTGGGGAATCTGTTGCTGGGGCTGGGGCTGCTGCTGTTGGCTGGTAACCGGCGTGGGCTGGGCGTTGTAAATGGGTTGGGTCACAGGTGGAGCTGGTTGCGATAGATGAGGTGGCAGGGCTGAAAAAAGTGTAAGTATATATTTTTCCCAAATAATTATTTAATTTACTTACAATTCATTTGCGGAGCATGTCCATTTTGATAAGTCAAGGGTACCTGACCGGGGGGATGTCCTTGGTAGCCAGCCGGAGCTCCTGGAACACCAGGAACCCCAGTTGTAGAAGTGGGACCTGAATTTGGATTATTGGGAACGGATCCGTACGGTAGTGAGTGCATTCCAGCAAAGCCTTGGGCTGGAGGAAAGCCACCTGGTGCTGGATAGCCTGGAGCTCCGTAGAGTGCGGCCCCCGGAAAACCAGTTGGTAGCCCTGGCATAAAACCTCCAGCTGCAGCGGCAAACTGGCCAGCTGCCGCTCTATCGTCCCTCATCAAGGTGTGGTACAAGTTAATGGCATCGACAAGATCACTTGATAACTGCGTTAACTGGGCATGCTTGCGGTCTACACGTTCTAGCTCAGCGTCAATAAGCGGACCCATTTGATGGACCTCCTGTTCGAGACGCAGCATCTCATCACTGTCCTGCGATGGGTCCTCGGGATTGGCCTCGTGCAACAGATGCAGAAGCCGATCAATCTTCGTCTCGTCTATTTCTACAGGCTGGGCAGCGGCAGCAGCAGCTGCTGCTTCAGTCTTTTGCTGCAGCAACGCCGCCGATTCCTGCTCCCTTTGGCCGGCGGCGGCAGCCGATTTATGCTGCTGATTGATGTCCAAGCGATCGGGATCGACGGAGAGATCGGCAGTGACAAAGTTGGAAGGAAACAAGCCCTCGCCACGCTGATTGTAGCCCTTCCACCAGTTCGGATCACTATCATCCATCACGTGAATAATTTCGCCCGAAAAGAACGTCAGTTCGTTCTCCTCCGCTGCCTCAAAATCGTACAGGGCACGCACCTTTCGCGGCTCCGGTGCCGGAGTGGGATTCACTGAATCACTGGCCGGAGCACTGGAACTGGAGGTTGATGCCCCGAATGATGGATACAACGATGGATAGGCACTACTAGTGGCGGGAGGTCCGCTAGTGGTCTTGGGACTGCCTTTGGTCTCCTTCAGCGAGAGCTCTATGGCCTTGGCAATGTCGTCCTCCTCCTGCTGGCTGCTTACCACATTCGGATCCTTGGGCAGAGCAGCTGCTTTCTCAGCCGCAGACTTGCCCGTCTTCTCACCCAGATCCTTGAAGTCATATCCCTCCGCGCGCAACTTGAGGTACAAAGCGCGGATGAGGTCCAACTCTTGGTCCCGCTTATAATCGTTTTCGGCCCAGTTCTTAAGAACTTCACGCATTTTCTGTTAGAAAAAAAAGGTTAGTATTCCATGAATTCTACATTAAATATATTTTGAAATCATACCAACGACACCTTGGGCTGAGCCTTTGTCAAGAGGCGCCTAAACTCGGTCTCGAACTCCCGCGAAGCCACCTCCAGGTGGAACGGCTTGCCGCAGTTGTTGGACAAGGCGTCGAGGAGCGTGATCGCCTGCATCACGACATGCGGATCGGTGTGGCCCATTCGCCGCATCACTGCCTTCAGGCAATCCTTTGCCTGACGAGGATTGTGAGTCACCTTGTCGCACACATCAAGGATCAAAGCCCAGTTATCATTGGTGTTTGTCTCGCTGGTGGCCTTTTCTGTGGATTAGGAAGCACAAAAGAACCAAATTAGCTTATCTATGGAGAAAGTGACTCATGGGACGTGTCTGATAAGGTAGCCACACAACTAAATCGAATCGCAATAGAAAACAAGAAAGGAAAGCTAACTTCGGGCGGAGCCGAAGTTTATATACCCTTGCAGTTAAAACCGGATATATATCGCAAACATCGGATATAGTTGGCCGATCCTTATGGGAATAGGAATATATAATCCAATTTATTACAATACAAAATCTAAAAAGTCCCAAACTTCTATCTTCAAAAATACGAAAGTTGATATTTCTACCAAATACCATTTCCGATCGTTCAGTTATATGGCAGCTATGGGATATAGTCGGCCGATCCTAATGAAATTTGGTAGGTTGGATCAACTGACCAAGAATTAAATCTGTACTAAGTTCCAGCTTTCTATCTTCAAAAACACGAAAGTTGGGTCATTTCCGATCGTTCAGTTATATGGCAGCTATAGGATATAGTCGGCCGATCCTTATGAAATTTGGCATGACGTAATGTTTTGCCAAAAATAGCTCACATGTCAAATTTGAACTCTCTAACTCTAAAAACACCAAAGTTATACCATTTCCGATCAATCAGTTATATGGCAGCTATAGGATATAGTCGGCCGATCCGGGCCGTTCCGACTTATATACTGCGTGCAAAGGAAAGAAGGGTGTGTGCAAAGTTTCAAGACGATAGCTTTAAAACTGAGAGACTAGTTCGCGTAGAAACAGACAGACGGACAGACAGACGGACAGACGGACAGACGGACAGACGGACAGACGGACAGACGGACAGACGGACATGCTCATATCAACTCAGGAGGTGATCCTGATCAAGAATATATATACTTTATAGGGTCGGAGATGTTTCCTTCACTGCGTTGCACACTTTTGACCAAAATTATAATACCCTCTGCAAGGGTATAAAAATCAATAAAAACAGCTGACAAATTGCATTAAGAAATGTGATTCCGTAGCTGGATAGGTGGGTAGGTGGTGGGTGGAGGGACAAGGTCAGCGACTGCCGAACGAAAACTCAAGCTCGAGTTCAACGAACGGCGCTGAGCTGCGCACAGCATCTCACATGACCTTCTTTGTTGTCTGGATAATTAAATGAAAGGTGGAGGAATTTCGAATAAAGGGGGTTCTAAACCAGAATACTGAGACCACCAGTTATTGGAAAAACACACGATAACGTTAGTAACCATAACAAGAAAAATATTAATTCCAATTAGAAGGGGGCATTATGGTTCTTATCTAACAGCCACATCGCTACCACACAGATGTTATTGCTAACATTGAAAATATGTAAATAGAAGACTCCAAACAAGTGAGAAAGTTCCAAGATATGCGTAGAAAACAATAAAATGAAAGGGTCATATGGGTATTCCAACTGGAACCGTTATCGTCCGACTTACCCACATCGGCGTCGAATGGCGACGACTGCCCGAAGATTCCCATTTTTACCAGCAAGCACTCTTGCAGCTGCCTCCCCCAATATAATCTGCGTTGCACTAATTGTCACTCCGGGTCCCCCGATCCAAACCAATTGCACTTTGTCTGGCTGTCTCGTTCTGTATTGTTTTTTTGTTTTTCCCCTCTGACTAGGCAATCGATTTTCAGTGCGTCACGGTGTCAAAGACGGTTCAGCTGGCTGCGAAAAGCACTTGCGCGATTTTTCGATGTATAGCGAGGTTGCCTAACACGCATTTATTGGTTCAAAGGCCCCAAATAACGCTTTTAACTTGGCTTAATTTTAATTTATTGTGTAAAAAAATGACTAATGACAAGTGTGACCGTAATCAAGTAAGCAATAAAAGTCCCGTCTATCGATATATTTCGAGGCATTTCCCAACACTGCTTTAAATTTGTCATTTCCAGCAGGCGGTCCCATTAAAATCATATTTTGAAAAAAAAACGCGCAAAATAAAAGGACGCTCTGATAAATAAAATAAAACTCGATTTTTAAAGAGTATTTTTCATTTAAAATCCATCATGACGCTCTCGCGCACTAAGCACGCCAACCGGAATCACTTACCGGCCTTAATGAGTAAAGTGCCAGAAGAGCACCAAGAACCGATCAAGACTATGTGCCTAAAAATGATGTCCCATGACGCCTACGGACAGCCGTAAGTATATCCCCTCCTGAATATTGAAAACATAATTAATTCCTCTTTACATAGATATGACTGGAGCGCGCGTGACTTCGAGATGGGTGCCCATTTGGGACGTGGTAAGTTCGGACGCGTCTACTTGGCTCGCGAGCGCCACTCCCACTACTTGGTGGCCATGAAGGTGATGTTCAAGGAGGAGCTGCGAAAGGGAAATGTTCAGAGGCAGGTGTTGCGTGAGATTGAGATCCAGTCGCGTCTAAAGCACCCAAACATCCTTCGTCTTCTCACCTGGTTCCACGACGAGAGCCGTATCTATCTGGCACTGGAGATCGCCTCGGAAGGAGAGCTTTTCAAGCATCTACGCACAGCTCCAAATCACCGCTTTGATGAGCCGCGGTCTGCCAAGTATACCTACCAAGTGGCCAACGCTCTGAACTACTGTCATCTGAACAATGTGATTCATCGTGATCTGAAGCCAGAAAACATCCTCCTGACTAGTACCGATGATCTTAAGTTGGCTGATTTCGGTTGGTCGGCCCACACCCCGAACAATAAGCGACGGACGCTGTGCGGCACTCTGGATTACTTGCCCCCGGAGATGGTGGACGGAAAATCCTATGACGATACAGTAGACCAGTGGTGCCTGGGAATCCTCTGCTACGAGTTCCTCGTTGGCAACCCTCCATTCGAGTCGAACACTTCAGATGGAACCTACGACAAGATTCGGCGGCTAGAGATCCACTATCCCTCATACTTGTCCAGTGGCAGCAAGGAACTAATTGCTGGGGTATGTTATTAGTGTTTTTCATTTTTAAGTACTACTCTTATAAAAATGAATTATTTTTTATTGTAGCTGCTGCGAAAGCCCGGAGAGGGTCGAATTACTTTGGTGGACGTAATGACACATCCATGGGTTAAGAACCAAATGGCCAAACGGGCCTTGCAGCTGCAACAAATGGAACGCGGAAAGGAAAACAAGGCCAAGAATTAAAGCTGAATATTATTTCAAGAAATTATACTTTTTAAACTTAGAATTAATAAACGTTTTGCTTCACAAATTAATCTTTTATGTATTTAATTATATTTTTAAGGTTTTCAAGGTAAAGATAAAAAGAACTAATTTATTCAAAATAATTAATTAGAAAACACCCAAAACTAGCATAAATGATTATTTCAATCAGGTTATCATTAAATTAAAAAACAATTTAAAATTAAAAAAAAAGAGATTAATTTTAGAAAGCCTTTGGCCTTGTTTGACTTTTCTTATTTCTGGTTAAAAATTTTAATAAAATATATTTTCGTTAATTAAAATTTAAAAATTATACATATATATATTAGACCCCCTTTTGTCTACGCTCATGAATCGTTTCAAACGCGCTCTGATTTCCGATTTTTCTTGAACAACGGTCACACTAAATAAATAAATGACAATTTCAAGCGTAAAATAAACCTTTGAAAGTCAATGAAACGCTCGATTTGCGATTTTTTCACACACAAGTGAGTGGGCATAGGACGGTAGAAGTTCAAAGCGCCTCCACCCGCTTGGGAGCACTTCCATCCAACGGATAATGAACCGCTAGAGGATTCTAGGAGTACAGCAACAATTGTTATTTTTCGCTGGGGGAAGGGGCGACGGAAATCAGCCCCTTCAGTTTCTAATTGAATTAAAAAGGGGTGAAACAATAACAATTAGTCGAGCGGATTGAAAGTCATTCAGTTCGAAATGGTCTTCATACGCGATCCGTGCGGAATCGCCTGCTTGGTGGTCACCTATGGCGCTGTTCTGTACGCGGACTACGTGGTCATCCGATGGATAATTCTTACCACAATGCCGGGCAGGTGAGTCATTTAAGACTTTTCCAAGTGCATATTACATTCCCATTCTCTACCCACAGCCTCTGGATGTCGTTCCATGCCGTGCTCTTCAACACCGTAGTCTTTCTGCTAGCTATGTCCCACACCAAGGCTGTATTCTCCGATCCTGGCATCGTGCCGTTGCCCGCAAACCGCTTGGACTTCTCCGACCACCACACCACCAACAAGAACCACCCGTCCGGAAATGGCCATAGCAGCGATTGGACCGTCTGCACCAGGTGCGAAACATACAGGCCACCGAGAGCCCACCACTGTCGCATCTGCAAACGTTGCATTCGCCGCATGGATCACCACTGTCCCTGGATCAATAACTGCGTCGGCGAGCGCAATCAGAAATATTTCCTGCAGTTCCTAATCTATGTGGGTCTGCTCTCGCTCTATTCCCTCGGTCTGATCATCGCCTCCTGGGTGTGGCCCTGCGAGGAGTGCAACCAGAACGTGATTGAGACACAACTGCGAATGTAAGTCTACTTATTTGGGATGTCTCCTTATTAGGGATGCATCGATGCGGTGAATATTAACAATTCTGGTCAAGAATACCTTTATACCTACATATAATGCCTATACCTTTTTGGGAATCTATAAATATTTTAAAGTATAGCCATTACATAAAGTTTTTTTATTACAGGATTCATTCTGTGATCCTCTTGCTGGTGTCGGCGTTATTCGGCCTCTTTGTGACAGCCATCATGGTGGATCAGTTGCACGCAATCCTGTACGATGAGACGGCCGTGGAGGCGATACAACAGAAGGGCACCTACCGTCCCAACCGGCGCAAGTACCAACTGCTGGCAGACGTGTTCGGACGCGGTCATCCGGCGCTGTGGCTTTTGCCCTGCACCAGTTTAAATCATGCCTCCCGATACCACGATACGCCCCTGCTGAGCCACGATGTCTAGGGCTCGGAAATATTTTACATTTTTTGTCCTTGTATTTATTGTGTGCCTGATTGTGCAACCGAAGAAACCCCACAAAATGTTTTTAGTTTTTAATAGTCGTGTGATTTTTTTTTTTAAATCCTCCTTCCCTACCTTAGCCAGTCAAATTGAAACGTATTTCGTATTGTGTATTATATGCAGATTCCAACTTAATTTATGCTTTAGTTTATAATCGTTTTGAAATTATAAATATAAAGAAAGCAGCACCGAGACGTAAAGAAGCATACTCATAAAAAAAAACTTGGATATTTTATAGGGAACTTTTGTGCAAAAGCTTGATCGGAAGAGGCAGGTGTAATAGTTCATTTGTAGCTCAATATAAATGAAGATGAAACCTTCGGTCGGCCGAGGTATTTTTTTACCAATACCAAACTAAAATAATAATACATTCTATTTGAGAAGCGAAATAATCTCAATTGTATACAATACCATGCTAGGGCGTAAGTTCTTATAAACGCATTTAAGATACTCCAATATACCAAATACAAAAACCAGAAGAAGAAAAAACAAAAGCCCACAATGTGCAGTAATAGTATATAATATTTGTAGTCACTTTTAAGTTGTAGAGTTTTATTTTTCTTTAGAATCAGCACTAGACACTTTTCAATGTAACACCAGAGATTGCCTCCTGATCAGTTTAAATAAAGCTAACCAATATGATAAGTAACTAATTGAGTTCGCTTCCCAGACCTTCGACACTAAGAAGAAGTTGTTTCAACGCCTGCGAGGCCACTCCGCACAGGACACCCTCTTGGGAACTCTTGTCCTCACACTCCAGGATCTCCACGCACTCCTTTAGCAAATCAATTGCATCGACAAGGCGGGTGCGCAACTCTCCACCACCAAGTCGGCTTGCAATGAAACCATTTTTCGCCAGGAGGACTAGAGGCACATGCATCTCGTATAGATTCATGGCTCTGGTGCGACTGAGACCCGGTTCGAAGACATTCAGAACACCCAGCACCTGGCGGCAAAGCTCGACCTTTCGTTCCAGTTGATGTTCCGGCAACTGGACCATCTCGTAGCCCTGCACTCGTCCGTACATCTCGATGAGGAGCTGCCTCAGTCCCGTTGCGATAAAGTGCAGTGGATGCAGCAAAGATTTGTACTTCCGCAGCAGTCGTTCGGCCTCCTCCAGCCGTTTGGCTCCCATTTCCAGGCTCTGTACCTTGTTTACCTCCGATTGTAGAGACTGGAGGAGCGTTTCCACCTCTGCTTGGCTGCTGCTTGCTCCGCAGTTGCTGCAGGGCCAACTAGAATCTGAATCTATAAATAAAGAAACATTGAAATATTGAAAAACCAAATAGGATGAAATGGACACCTACCCGTTGGCTGCCTGGGCACTTGATAGCCCTCTGTGCACTGCCCACACTTTAGGCTGGAAAAATGGGTGCCTAGTTCACTGGGATCCTGGCAGCGTTCGCATGTGCAGTGGAAATACTTTCCCTGCTTAAGATGTCGTTGCCTCTGAGCTGTTCCGTCCAGGGTATAAGTATAACTGTGGTGAAGGGGTTGTCCTTCCGTCAGATCCACCATTGCCCTTAGGCGGATTCTATTAAGATGGTATAGAAAATTGTTTGGATAATATTTTATTTATAGATTTTGATGCAGATTGGTGGAGAATCTTTCCACAAATCGATAAAGGTATTTCGCTTAAGGATCGGATAAGAATTGGCAAAGATATAGCCTCCACCGTGGGTCATAGTGCCCATTTCATGCTTCTCCCCATTTTTGCAGGGGACCCCCTAGAAAATTTTACAAAAAATCTAAAAAATATTTTGTTTTTAGATTTTGATGTAGATTGGTGGAGAATCTTTCCACAAATCGATAAAGGTATTCCGCTCTGGGATCGGATAAGAATTGACAAAGATATAGCCTCCACCAGGGGTCATAGTGCCCATATCATGCTTTTCCCCATTTTTGCAGGGGACCCCCTAGAAAATTTCACAAAAAATTGAAAAAATATTTAGTTTCTAGATTTTGATGCAGATTGGTGGAGAATCTTTCCACAAATCGATAAAGGTATTCCGCTCTGGAATCGGATAAGAATTGACAAAGATATAGCCTCCACCGTGGGTCACAGTGCCCATTTCATGCTTTTCCCCATTTTTCCAGGGGACCCCCTAGAAAATTTTACAAAAAATCTAAAAAATATTTTGTTTCTAGATTTTGATGTAGATTGGTGGAGAATCTTTCCACAAATCGATAAAGGTATTCCGCTCTGGAATCGGATAAGAATTGACAAAGATATAGCCTCCACCATGGGTCATAGTGCCCATATCATGCTTTTCCCCATTTTTGCAGGGGACCCCCTAGAATATTTCACAAAAAATCGAAAAAATATTTAGTTTCTAGATTTTGATGCAGATTGGTGGAGAATCTTTCCACAAATCGATAAAGGTATTCCGCTCTGGAATCGGATAAGAATTGGCAAAGATATAGCCTCCACCGTGGGTCACAGTGCCCATATCATGCTTTTCCCCATTTTTGCAGGGGACCCCCTAGAAAATTTTACAAAAAATCTAAAAAATATTTTGTTTCTAGATTTTGATATTTTGTTAAGATTTTGATAACAAAAAATATTTTGTTTCTAGATTTTGATGCAGATTGGTGGAGAATCTTTCCACAAATCGATAAAGGTATTCCGCTCTGGGATCGGATAAGAATTGGCAAAGATATAGCCTCCACCGTGGGTCACAGTGCCCATATCATGCTTTTCCCCATTTTTGCAGGGGACCCCCTAGAAAATTTTACAAAAAATCTAAAAAATATTTTGTTTCTAGATTTTGATATTTTGTTAAGATTTTGATAACAAAAAATATTTTGTTTCTAGATTTTGATGCAGATTGGTGGAGAATCTTTCCACAAATCGATAAAGGTATTCCGCTCTGGAATCGGATAAGAATTGACAAAGATATAGCCTCCACCGTGGGTCACAGTGCCCATATCATGCTTTTCCCCATTTTTGCAGGGGACCCCCTAGAAAATTTCACAAAAAATCGAAAAAATATTTAGTTTCTAGATTTTGATGCAGATTGGTGGAGAATCTTTCCACAAATCGATAAAGGTATTCCGCTCTGGAATCGGATAAGAATTGGCAAAGATATAGCCTCCACCGTGGGTCACAGTGCCCATATCATGCTTTTCCCCATTTTTGTAGGGGACCCCCTAGAAAATTTTACAAAAAATCTAAAAAATATTTTGTTTCTAGATTTTGATGTAGATTGGTGGAGAATCTTTCCACAAATCGATAAAGGTATTCCGCTCTGGAATCGGATAAGAATTGACAAAGATATAGCATCCACCGTGGGTCACAGTGCCCATTTCATGCTTTTCCCCATTTTTGCAGGGGACCCCCAAGAAAATTTTACAAAAAATCTAAAAAATATTTTGTTTCTAGATTTAGATGCAGATTGGTGGAGAATCTCTCCACAAATCGATAAAGGTATTCCGCTCTGGAATCGGATAAGAATTGACAAAGATATAGCCTCCACCATGGGTCACAGTGCCCATTTCATGCTTTTCCCCATTTTTGCAGGGGACCCCCTAGAAAATTTCACAAAAAATCTAAAAAATATTTTGTTTCTAGATTTAGATGCAGATTGGTGGAGAATTTATCCACAAATCGATAATAGTATTCCGCTCTGAGATCGCATAAGAATTGTAAAAGATATAGCCTCCATCGTGGGTCATAGTGCCCATTTCATGCTTTTCCCCATTTTCCCCGTTGAAACAGTTTAAATATTCATTAAAAAAATAAAAAAATGTTGTATTTTCTTAGATTAAAAATGTTTGAAAAGTATAAATTAATCCTTTGGATTAACTAAATAAAAAATATGCGCCTTTAATAAAAGAAACACGTGCCTCAAAGAATTTTGTAGAAACAATTTAAAAAAATTGTTTTTCAAAACATTCGAAATAAGTAATATAAGTTCACAAAAAAAAAAAAAAACACAACATATTAGATAATAAAATGTTTACAAACGAAGTATAATAAATAAATCTTTAGGATTAACTAGAAAGAAATAAATTTTCTGGTAAAACTTTCATACGTTGAACTTTTTTGATGGACTGTCTAGTCTAGTCTAGAAATTCTATTTCTGTAAAATACATTTCTTGGAAAGATCTTAGTTGTGGTTCAATTTTCAGTAAAATGAAATGTGATAAGCGGTTTTTTTATATTTTTAAGAAAGAAAATAGTTCTGTAGACTTACTTGTAACCTTCACTAGGATAGATGCTGCGGGAGGTGTTGGGAACACAATTGTGAGCTAAAATTCCAGTGTACGGGTAGAGACACCTCAGAGGAAATCCTCTGGTGGTCCTTGCTTCAAAGGCATTGACTTCTAGGATACCCACGACCTGCATGATTAGTTCCTCACTAAATCTGGATGAAAGTTTGCAGGGTCCACGCAGATACTGAGCAATATTCACTCGATCCGCATGCCACACATCAGCATCCTCTTTCCGCTCCTCTTCGTGGTGCTCCATAGGTTCTACTTGACTGTCCCATCTTTCAGGATCTGCCTCCTTAGCTAACAGTACTCTGGAATGAACCAATATTTAAGATAATTTTTAGTTACTTTATACAAAAACTATAAGAAAAAAGCATGTCTTTCCCCAAACATAAATACAGAGAACAATGTGAGTATAATGAAGAGAAGACAATCACTAGGATTTGAGATTGCTGCCTGGTTCTATTTTTGTTTGGCTCGCCGGTCTTCACCTCATTGGCAAAATGCAGTCCAGCTGTGGACAGTGGCTACTGCCCTTGGGCAGGTGAAAGAATCTCGCCCGGGCGTCCTGCAGAACCCGGCACTCCTGCCGGAAGTGATGGTTATCCTCGTTCTGGGCGCATTCAGAGCACAGCGGCCACCCACATTCGCTGCAGTATTCCTCTTCCGTATCGACATCGAATTGATAGCATCCCAGACACACCACTGGTCCATTGCATTTAGGGCCCACTGCGAACGGCAGTTCCTCAATCAGTAGACCGTGACCGGCAACTGCTCCCTTGGCCACCAGGTAACGCCCGCACACGGGACTCCATTGCACCGACGTCCGATTCACCGACAGCGTTGGCGGCGATGTCATTTTACTGACTGATGCTGCCCGGTGGCTGAAGGAAGATCACGGGAGTACCGCACGGGCGATGCCATCTGCCGCAGAACTATGAGTAGTCAGCCACATCTTCTGGGTCTGCTGAGCCATAAAGCTTCAAAATTCACAAGGTACAGTGGAAATCTTATTCAAAATTAAATAAATAAATGTTTTTTAAATTAAAAATCTACCAATCTCTCTAAAATCCAAAAATTTTCAAATAAATTCGGTCTTTCAAAAAACATTTAAAGATAAGTACGAATTAAATAGGGAATATTTCCATGATCCTGAGCTCTTTGTTCAAATATTAAAATCTTAAACATCAAAGCTTTGTAGAAAGTAATAATATTGAAAACCTTGTTCCACCGTGCGCTCCCTGCACTTTATTGTTGCCTTTTGATGTGGGCCAACAGCCGTTTGGTGCTTTCGCGTCTGCCGCCTCCTTTTGACGTCTTCAGGTTGATTTTTCGCTTTTTGGCCGGCTCATATGGGATCTCCGAGAAATACGCCGCGGCTGCCAAAACTAATATTTGGACAGTTCTGTCCTCCGGCATCCCTCACCACCCTCTGGAGCACCATCGTACTAACCTCAATGGTGTTATGCAATCTAATTGCGTACAGACACCGTCATCGCTCACATTCCCGGCAAAAGTGACACGTGCGTTGGCGAACACCTCGCACTCCCCGCTATGATCGGTCACGTCACTGCCAATGGCACACGCCGCGCATAATGGCCAGTCGCAGATCTCGCAGCGGTCCAGTGAGTCTCCATCCTCGCCGAACTGCAGGAACTGATAGCAGGCGAGGCAAACGATACCGCTGTCGCGTTTCGGTCCTTGGGCAAAGGGCAGCTCCTCCACGACCAGGTCCCCGCGCCGGACGGGCTCCGCAACGGCTAGGCAGCGACCGAAAACGGCGTCTTGCTCCAGACGAGCCTTCAACATCGCCTTTCGCCTTCACTGCATCCAATCACATGGGATTGAGTGGCTGCACTGCACGCAGTTCGGAAATCTAAAAATAAATCACTTTCAATACTTTCTATTGATTGATTCTTTTAGTTTTATTTAAATATTTTAAAAGAATTAAATTCTAAATGATACAATTTTGAAAATACTTTAGAGTTAAAGCTTTGGAATACTGTTAAAAAAGGGCTACCTCTTATAAAAGGTAAACAAACATTCACCTGGCAGCATATATGTACTTAATGATCTACCTAATTACCTTCGTCTTCCCTATTTTTAGAAGGTAGCGCAGGGATGCAGAATAATATTCATTAAAAACACTCAATAAACCATTTAAGAAAGGGGATTTTGTTATTTTTTTTTAAATAAAAAAAACTAGAATTTATTACTAGAATGCACTAACCAGACAAAGCCTAAAGTTGATTTTGTTGCTGACATTCTTAATTCTCACTCTATTTTTATATATATTAATAATATAATGTTTATATATTTTAATAAAGAGTAAAATTAAAAAAAAAAAAAAACATATTTTTAAATTTAAAAAAACCGATTTCCGTTTCCGCTAAGAGTTACCAGCCATCAAACTGGTTCCCGGCGTTAGCCATAAGACCTCTTGGCCAAAGTTTTCCTTCGCCGCCTGGGCACACTCCGAAAATTAAAATAATTTTCGTCGTTCGTGGTTGTCTCTGTTCCTCTGCGTTTCGCATTACACTCTAGCCTCACTTAAATCATAAAAAGTAAGTAGACTTTCTCCAGACTACGCCCCTTTTTTACTAAGAGCTATCGCAAAGCTGTAAAGATTCATAAAGTGAGATTTTTGGTGATTGTGATTTCATAACCTCGAAACGGAAAAAATCGCCCGTGGACACGCGCACTTACGAGCAGAAAAGCCGAGAAGATTTTTGTGTGCCAAAAAAACCAATGTGTTATCAGCCATGGGGCTGATATTAAAAGCACATTTAATTGATAAAATCTATTGTGAGGGGAAATCGCCGGCTGCAAAAACACACAGACACGGCCCCCACGCACACCAACGCACCTACAGTTCATTGGCAGCAGCTGCCGGCAAACGAAAAAAAAAAAAAAAAAAACTAGTCGGGTTGGAAAAGTGCCTGGCAAATTTCTGTTACGTAACGGGCGGGCGCTCTCGTTTAAATTGTTTTCAATTTGTCTTGTTATCGCGATGTTCCCTTTACTTCTCAATAGGTATTCTTCTCTTCTCTGCTTTATCAATGTTTACTTTATCGTTCTCCCCTGGTCATGTGAGGTGTGAAAAGTGAGGTGTTGCATTTTGCAGGTTGTATATGGTCTCTGTGGTGTACTGTGACGTCACCGAAAAAATCAATAGGCATTTGCTTTACCTTTTCGTGTTTTTCATTAGTTAGTGAGTTTCCTCGATTGCATAACCGACAGGCGAAAAATCATATGCTCCCTCCCTCCCACATGTCAACCTCTTTGTCAAGGTCACAGCCTCAAGATGCTGCTGCTGATTCACGTTCACTGGGGAAGCCATCAGATGATGGGATTTTCCTCAGCTTCCTACCCAGTTACATCACCTGATTCTTGGGCCGTCTGTCTTTTTTCCAACCTCTGTATGGTATTCTTCTCCCTTTTTTTTATTTGTTGGTCTTTTCCCCGTTTGGCTGCTGGCCATAACGACCTGTCTGCCAGTCGGCTCTTTTCATAATTTTCCGCCATGAAAAGTCTGGGCCGGGCCAACACTCGTGCCGTGACTGTGCTGCGCATTCTTGACGTCACACGCAAATAGAAACACCGCAAAAGACCAAAGCAGAGGCTGAAAATGTGCAGTTAGCTTCTGTGTCAATGATCGCTCGGCTAGCCAGCAATTAATGCCACCACCAAGTACGGGAAGTAAACAGAGATGTACTTCATAGATACAGTAATGGGCACACAAATATGGCCATACAAAAATCTATTCACCTCAGTAGACAGTTCTATAACATTTCATATTCTACTTCAAACTCCATTGCAATCACACCGACATATCGTACAAGTATTTCTTATCATTTTAAAATCTGTGTAAAATAATTTTTGGAAAAATGCCCGAAGCTGGAGATTTCATTCCCAAAGAGTGGACCTTCAAAATGCTGAAAGAAGAGTTGGGATATCCCGATATAAAATTTGAAAATTTCACGGTAAAGTGGAGGTTTCACTGTACCCTGGCATGGTCTGGGAATGGTTCTCTTTTTAGTCCCAGCCGTGCGTTGACCTCCTCACTCGAATCATTGGCCACAGCTCTTCGTTGGCCTGGGCTGCTGCCTTGAACACTAATTTCAATTGATTTCTTTAGTTTCCCCGTTCAATATTGACATTTAGCCAAGTTGAAAAGAGGAACTGGCCCCTGAAATTCTTTTGGCCATATTGATGCTGTTTTAGTTTTCACTTTTATTCCGCTGTCTCTAGAACCCTGTCGAATTTCAATTCAAACTAAAAGTAATACTCACCATTCATGGTGCTGATAAGATTAAACCAGCCCCCTCCATCCATAAAAGTCATCTATTTTGACTTGCAATAATCGAGCTGCCGTGTGAAATGATTTTGCTATATATACCTACCTCCTTTGGCCTCAATTATCGATTATTCCAGAGCTATTTGGCGGCGCGTTTCAATCATATTCTTATAATTTCCAGATGGCTCCTCCATCATACAGCGATTTGGGCAAACAGGCTCGCGACATCTTCAGCAAAGGCTACAACTTCGGCCTGTGGAAGCTGGACCTGAAGACCAAGACCTCGTCGGGCATTGAGTTCAACACAGCCGGACACTCGAACCAGGAGTCGGGCAAGGTTTTCGGTTCTCTGGAGACCAAGTACAAGGTCAAGGACTATGGCCTGACCCTGACCGAGAAGTGGAACACAGACAACACCCTGTTCACCGAGGTGGCTGTTCAGGATCAGCTGTTGGAGGGTCTCAAGCTGTCGCTGGAGGGCAACTTCGCTCCCCAGTCTGGGTAGGTTCATCATTATTATATTAATTTTGAAATAATTAAATGTATTAATTAAATAGCAACAAGAACGGCAAGTTCAAGGTTGCCTACGGCCATGAGAACGTCAAGGCCGATTCTGATGTCAACATTGATCTGAAGGGCCCCTTGATCAATGCCTCTGCTGTTCTGGGCTACCAGGGATGGTTGGCCGGCTACCAGACCGCATTTGATACTCAGCAGTCCAAGCTGACCACCAACAACTTTGCCCTTGGCTACACCACCAAGGACTTTGTCCTGCACACAGCTGTGTAAGTTGACGATTCTTTTGGTTCTTTGAATATCATTTAATTTTGTTTTTAAATTCTTTAGCAACGATGGCCAGGAGTTCAGCGGCTCAATCTTCCAGCGCACTTCGGACAAGTTGGACGTTGGTGTACAGCTGTCGTGGGCCAGCGGCACCAGCAACACCAAGTTCGCCATCGGCGCCAAATATCAGCTGGACGATGACGCCAGCGTGCGCGCCAAGGTGAACAACGCCAGCCAGGTAGGCCTGGGCTACCAGCAGAAGCTGCGCGACGGCATCACCTTGACTCTGTCCACGCTGGTTGATGGCAAGAACTTCAACGCTGGCGGTCACAAGATCGGTGTTGGTCTGGAGCTGGAGGCTTAAATCTGCGGAATCTTTCAAGTTGTCTAACATACCCACATGCCCAACAACAAAAACACCAACAATAAGTGCAGTCAACATCAATATACCATGCAAAACAAGAACAAAAATAAAATTAAAAAAGAAAAACAAAAGAGCACACAGTAATTGATGAAAGAATCTTAACACCTTACCGATTAGATTGGATCCGTTGTCACGCCCCCGCCCAATACACAGCATCCGGCCACCCCCCGCCACCTGCCACCAGAATCTGCAGAAGAGACACTGCCAACAAATGTTGCACAGGGGGTGGATCGGTCGGTCGGTCAGTCCGTCGTCGTTGGATGTAGCTTTCTTTAGTGCATTGAAAATTAGCTGAAATCTGTTGTTGGCAAAAATACAGTAAAATACATTTACCTATTAAACAAAAAACAAAAAAAATATATAAAAAGGAATATTGATGGTCAGATGACTTTTGGGTGGCGATATCACCAATTACATACATAAATACATCCTCCAACCACACAATCATTAACCATTCTTAATTTTTCTTTGTGCATTTACATGAGAAATAAATCAACAAGAATCTTTAATTTGGAGTATAAAGATGTAGAAGCTTAACTATAAGCTTGGGACGTCTTGGGGGGATTACCAAGCGATGTCTTCTTTAAAATTTAAGATTGGGTCATATTTCAATTCAAAGATATTTTATTTTATTTTGGTTATTTTTTTTGGGCGCTAGGGAGCTATTGAATATTTTCTTTACGATTTATAATTTTAGAAAAGAACCCAGGGTGTTTCAGTTCTAAAACGTCTGTGCCTGTGTATATATCGGGCATTTTTTGTAACACAAATTTTTGGTGATTCAAGGCAAAATCGCCTGGCAATTAGACTCAACAAAAAATTCCGAATTTTCCACTTCCTTACCTATTAATTATGTCCTCCAAGGGAACACCCCCGTATCCCGATCTGGGAAAGCTGGCACGAGATCTCCTCAGACGCGGCTATCACCCGGGCATCTGGCAGATCGATTGCAAGACTCTGACCAGTTCTGGCATTGAGTTTTTCACCACAGGATTTGCCAGCCAGGACAACAGCAAGGTGAAAGGATCCTTGCAGAGCAAGTACAAGATCGAAGATCATGGCCTAACCCTCACCGAACGATGGAACACGGAGAACTGGCTCTTTGGAGAGATAATGCAGAAGGATAAGTTGGCCGAGGGCCTGATGCTGGCACTGGAGGCCAAGTTTCAGCCGGGATCTAAGTAATTTATTAATATTTAATTTAAGTAATATGTAACTATAATTATAATTTAAATAGTGAGGGGGATGGAAAGTTCAAATTGGGTTATGCCAAGGACAACTTTCACTTCTTGGCCGACATTGGATTGAACTCGGAACCGGCTTTGAACTGCTCCCTGGTTCTTAGCCATAATGAGTTTCTGGGCGGTCTTGGTGGCGAGCTTGACGTCAGTAATGTCGATTTAAAAATGTGGAAGGTGGCTTTGGGGTGGACTAACGAAACCGCCACCTTGCACGGAGAACTGTAAGTAACTCCTTTGGGAAAATGTTATAATTTTACTAAAAGAAAACCAAATCTCCTTAAGAAAAAATGGAGACACCTGGTTGGCATCTCTATTTTACAAAGCCAGCGAAAAGATCGATGTTGGTGCGGAGATCACCAAGACTGGAGGCCAGCAAGGAGAAGGTGGCGAGCAGCAGGAGGGCGGCGACCTGGTCGTCAGCCTGGGCATGCTTTATCATCTGGAGGAGAACGCCCTGATCCGGGCCAAGATCAATAACGTTGTGGAGCTGGGTCTGGGCTATGAGCAAAAGCTCCGAGACGGTATTACAGCCTCCATATCAGCCGTTCTAGACTGTGGCAACATCTCGGATGGAAATCACAAGTTTGGCGTGGGCGTGGCCCTCCAATGCTAAGAAGGAGGTCTCATTTAAAGGAGTTAACTTAATCATTTGAATTTCTAAATTAATTTAATTATGTTATGAAGAAAAATACATTCACATTCATGGTTATGAAAATGGATCTTTTTTGAGATGATTAAAGTTTTAAAAAAAGTTTAAAAAATGAATTAAATGAGTATAATATTTTATGAAAAAAAGTAGGCAATTGAAAAACTTTAAACGTCATCAAAAATTATTCAAGTATTTGGTTTAGTTTGATCGTAGCTGTTTTGACGAAATTTTCAGATGTCCTCTGGCAATAATTTGTATTTATTTCTTTATAAAAAATAACAAAATTTTAGTTTTTAATATTTAAAATGCCACGATGTGGAAACCTGTTCCGCAGAAACAAAAAGCGGGCAGAGCCACCTGAGGAGCCTCCACCTCCGGAAAACCATGAAAATTTAATGGAAAAAATGCCTTTGAAAGCGGAAGAAGGCGAAATGAAGACATACTTCCACGTGGGACTCATGGCTAAGATGTGCCTCATCAGTGGCTACAAGAACGGCCCGTGGAAGCTCCTGACCACTACAAAGACGGAAGAGGATCTTTTTCTGAGCAGTTTCGGTGAGGGTTATCCGTCCATGAACGACGTTTACGGTGGAATCGAGGCGTACAAGGAATTTGGAAACTTTCATACCGCCCTCGCCTGGCTAACCGATGAACTTCTCCTCGCTGACATTGGGGCGCGTGGCGAAGCCCTCGAGGGGAAGTGGAAGGTCATCCTGAAATCATCATTTGGTATAAGCGAAGAGCGGTAAGTCCGACTTATAAGGCTTTTTCTAGACTATTTTTTACCCTCTTGTTTATTTTTTTCTCAAGTAAACTTGATTACCTTTGCAAGTGTAAGTTGGACATTGATCGTAATCCGATCAGAATGGAACTTGTGGTGCCCATTTATAAAGAACCATTATTGTTGGGCTATCTTACGCTGACTCCCGTGGAGAACTTTATCCTGGGCTGTCGTGGAGCTTACGACTGGGAGAATAAAAAGATTATCCGTCACGCCCTTTGTGCCGGGTTTCAAAATGAATCCACTGAAGTGGGCCTGAAACTGTAAGTAGTGGACCTTTCGAGTTTAAGGTACCTTTCGAGCATCTTTAACTTTCAGGGAGAACTTTAAGGAAGTCCGCGGATCAATATTTCAAAAAATTGGAGAGCAGTGGGCCGTGGCCTTAAAGGCAAATCTTTACGGCGAAGAGGTGGACGCTCGAAAAATTATAGTTGGATGCCAGTACGAGTTCGAACCTGGGCACATGCTGAAGGCTAGAGTCCGCGGAGACACCTTCGTGGGCCTAGTCTATCAGAAGAAATTGCGGGAAGATGTGGAAATGCTGTTTCACGGTGGAATCGAAGCAAGAGATCCACTCAACGGAAATTATTCAATTGGTACTTCCTGGGTTTTCAATATATAGTCCCTGATACAAATTGGCATGTGCTTGTAACTATTTAAACAAAATTCAAAATTTAATAAAAAAAAATTTACAAAATTTAATAAAAATAATAATAACTTATAAAACTTCATATTAGTTTAGTTGTATGCACTATACCTTTTCAAAATATATCAACATTATTTCCGAGTACAGCTTAGATTTCGAATCAACGTTTGAAGACATTCCAAATTATTCATAGTTTATATAGTTAACAATAATTTGTTCATTTTACTCACAATGTCGCATCAACTAAATGCCCAATGCCCGTTCCACTACATGTGGGGTAATCGCAAATCCAACCCAGCTGGAGACGAGGATCAAGACGCTCCAAAAAAGGAGCCAGAGGCAGGAAAAATGCCACCGCCACCGTTCGATGGCGAGATGGCAACCTATTTCCATGTGGGCGGCTGGGCAAAGGAGTTGCTCACCTACGGATTCCAGCTGGATGCCTGGCAGATGCAGTGCTGCTCGAAGTCGAGGGAAAAGCTATATATCAGCAGTTTCGGCGAGGGCTATCCGACAGCAAAGTCAGTTTTTGGCGGAGTCCAGGGAATCCATAAGTCTCGTAACTTTCATATTTCATATGGCTGGTTGTCGTCTCAGGACTTCTTGAACGAGATTGGGTTTCAGGGCCGTGGTCTTGGCGGGAGTTGGTATGCCACAATTAAGTCAGTAGTTGGCAACAAAAATGAGTGAGTATAGATCAGATTAGATTGATCTATAATATAAGGTTATTTTTATTTTCTAGAATGTTACTTTCCAGTAAGATACTGGGTGGTTTCGAAAAGAGTCGTCTTAAAACAGAGCTGATGGTACCAATATATAAGGATCCCCTTTGTATCGGCTATTTTCTAGTGTCACCCATCCAAAACTGGCTTCTTGGCTATCGTGGAGTTTATAATTTTGATGAAAAAGAATTCCACAAGCATGGTCTCTGTCTGGGCTATTACAATGGAATTACCGAAGTTGGAATGAAGCTGTAAGTCAATCTTGATAACTTACCAAACATAAATGTAATCCTTCATCATCTTAGAGAGAACTTCAATGAGCTACGAGGATCGATCTTCTACCGATTGGGAAAAAACTTGGCTTTTGCTCTCAAAGCGAATCTCTATAACTCCGAGGATGACCGACAGTTTGTGGTTGGAGCTCAGTATATGTTTCAATATGGATCGCTGCTTAAAGTCAAGATCCGGGATGATGCCAAAATTGGTTTGGTCTACCAATCAAAACTATCTCCCAATATCGATGTGTTATATCATATTGGCCTTGAGGGCTCAGATCCTTTGAAGGGCGCCCACAAACTTGGCGTTTCTTGTGACTTCCACTGCTAAAAGCAAGCCATCCTAGTTCTCGAGTTTAAACAGCTTCTCGATATGGAATATTTATCTTTTTCGGACATTGAAGAATATATGTAATTCTGTAGAAGGTCAAGACCTGGAAGCCAGCGTGGAACCGTACAATCATTTCGTCATCTATAACTTTAAGCAGGTTGCCAGCTATATATTTTTGAATTTTGTAAAGCTCATTGCAATACTCAATAATATAACAATATTCAATAATATGTAACATTTTATACTCTAATAAAATGGTCAATCAAGAGGAAATTAATCTTCCGATTTTTGCTATAATTTTTTTCAAATAATTGAAATAAATCGATGTGATTTTATTCATTATAAAGAACGGATATCGTTGGTTGAATAGTATTTATTTATTTAGTAGTAAATAAATATTTACTAAAGGTAAATATTTACCTTTATAAATGATTAGATAAGAAGTCAACTAAGATCGTAAAATTAGTTTTTAAAGTAAGATATCTTTAATTCTTTCGTTTTAAAAACCCATCTTATACCATCTGAAAGCTGAAAAACTTTTTGAAATTAAAATCGCAATAGGCCTGGAGTAAAAAATCATTATGTTTTCATACTCCGAACCCAAAATAGTCTCGAAATGACCTATTGACAAAATTTTTGTGTATTTTATCTTTTTAACCTTTGTTTTAATTTTTTTAATTTAATAATTTTAATTCGCGGACTAAAATATGAAGAATAAGTACTGTCGCCTTAACCGGAAAAAGAAGAAGGATGGAGGTGGTGACGGAGAACACAAGATGTGTAAATTGGGCAGAAAAAGCCAGAGCCAGAGCCTGAGCCGGAGCCTGAGCCTGAAGAGGAGCCGATAGATGTGGAGGAGATAATGCCACCTCCGTTGGAAGAGGGGCAAGTGTATAGCTATTTTCATGTTGGTAGCTTGGCCAAGGAATGCCTTGCCAAAGGATACCGGCTTGGTGTCTGGGAACTTGATTCTACCACCAAAACCAAGCATGACATAGTCCTGGGCAGTTTTGGCGAGGGTAATCCTACTCTGACCCCGGCCAGTGGCGGCATTGAACTTTACAAGGAATGGCCAGTCTTCCATGCGGTATGCACCTGGCTAACTGCGAATGCCTATCTGGCGGACGTTGGTGCTCGTGGGGGTGTCCTTGGCGGAAGTGCTTATGCGACCTTGAAAACAACAATTTCTCCTCAAGAGGAAGAGTAAGTTAACAAGAAATTATTTAAAAAATAGCTTATTCCCGTTCTAATGTCTATTTTATCCAATTTTCCTGCAAGGTCAAAATTTAAAGCAAGGATTAAACTTGGATTGGAGCGTAGCCCGGGAAAAGTGGAACTCATTGTACCAGTTTACAAGGAACCCCTTCTAATGGGTTATGCCGTAGTGACACCAACGGAGAACACAGCCCTGGGATATCGCTCCGTCTATAATGTTGACAAAAAACAGTTTGCGATGCATGCTTTTTGCCTAGGATACCACAATGAAACCACGGAAGTTGGCCTAAAACTGTAAGATACTAAAATATTTTATATCGAAGCATAATAATATAGAATTCTATTTATTAGTGAAAATTTTAAGACTTTGAGAGGCTCGGTCTTCCAGCGCTTAGGCGAGAAATTGGCCTTCGCTTTAAAAATGACCATTATAGGCGCCGAGGAAAACGCCACAAGCAACATTACCATTGGTACCCAATACGAATTCTCTCCGGGACATTTGCTGAAGGCCAGGCTGCGGGATGATAGCCAATTTGGTATCGTCTACCAATCTAGACTTGCTGAAACTGTTGACGTTATGTATCATGTTGGATGCGAGTTAAAAGATCCCATAAATGGTGAGCACAAGATCGGTGTAGCCTGGTCCTTCGAGTGTTAATCATGCCACCTTTTATTTTAATTTTCACGGATGGTAACCAAATTCTTAGTATTGCAAATTTTTACAAAATTTTTTTAATCTATACCTATACGGTTTGACGTAATAATAAAATTAAATAAAAATTAATATACAAAATCTATGGGTTTTTTTTAAATATACTTAGCTTAGTAGTCTTAGATAAACTTACATTCTTTGTTTTTGTAAATCAAAATTTTTGAGTTTATTTATTATTGTAAATATTTGTTTTAAAGTCCAAACTTTGGTATGCAGAAAACATACAGGCGAATATTTGAGCCTTACAACAAGAAACGCGATGACGATGTCACCTCGGAGGAATCCCAAAAAAGGGAGTCGGAAACGATCCTGCCACAGCCCCCAGTGTTTGGGGAGATGCCTACCTACTTCCATGTAGGTGGCTATGCCAAAGAATGTCTCCTCCGGGGTTATGAGATCGGCGCCTGGAAAATCCAGTGCAGATCCGAATTAAATGACCTAACTCTGAGCACTTATGGCGAGGGGTACCCGAAACTGTCAGATATTTTTGGTGGTTTTGAGGCTTACAAGAAACTTGGTAACTGGCACGTGGCTGTTGGGTGGCTGACAGATAAGCACATTTTGGCCCATGTCGGATTAAAGAGTAAATGGTTGGGTGGTTTGTGCTATTCTAACTTTAAGTGTTCTGGTTCCATCGAAGACAGGTATTTAATATTCGAGTTTCATAATTAAATATTTATTTATAACTATCTAACCTGTAGTTCTGATTTTAAATGCCAATTAAAAACTGGAATCGAAAATAATCCTTTTAAACTGGAGTTGATATTGCCCCTTCATAACCAATCCTTTATAAAGGGATATGCATTGATGGTTCCCAACGAAAAATGGATACTAGGATACCGCACGGTATACAACTGTGAGGAAAAGGGCTTCGACAAGCACGCCCTCGGCGTGGGATTCAACAATGGAAACACCGAATTTTGCATAAAACTGTTCGTATTTTTAGCCTAATTATTTTTTTACCTGGCTCTCTAACCTGCACCTGCACCTTTTTAGTGAGAACCTGAAAGACCTGCGAGTGTCAATCTTCCAGCGTATGGGTGATAGCTGGGCCTTTGCTTTAAAGATGAGCTCCTACGGCAATGAAGGACAGTCGAAGTTTGCCTTTGGCGGGCAGTACGAATTCGATGATGGCTCAATGCTGAAGGCAAAGATACGCGAAGATGCCAATATGGGAGTCGTATATCAAACAAGTGTTGGCAAAAATATTGGGGTGCAGTATCATTTTGGTTTCGAGGGAAAAAGTCCGTTGGATGGAGAGCACAAAATCGGAGCATCTTGGAGCTTTAATTGTTGAACTGTGGTTTGAAATTCTGATTTAAAAAACTTACGTTAATAGTTAAAATTGTAAAAATGTACTAGAACTGTTAAAATATATATTCCTGTCAATAGTATTATTGGCTTTTTATTGTAAATATTTACTTTATTTGAAAATATGCGCCATATCGATAACAAATCGAAATAACGAGAGCTATCGATCGAAAGCAGTGCTGTGCAAGTCCGGCAACTCTGGAATCTTTGTCATTATCGAGCCTCTAACGTTTACTAACACTATTCCATCGATTTTTCGTTGAAACTAGACGTGTTTTATTTATATTGTCGTAACAAAGCAGTCAAAGAATTAAGTATCTGAGATATTTTTCGTGTTAGGGCAGTTAGTAGGACTGTCTAGACCTGCAGTGACATTTAATAATATTTGGCAGTAGCTATCAAGGACCGAATATTAGGGATAGAAATTGTGTTCCCAAAGAAAAAAATAGGTAAGAAAAAGAAAATGGCGTCACATGCCACCACACACATACACTTCCATGTCTAGGCAGAGGCGTGCTCGTGGTTGGTCTTTTGGGGTAACATCCCACGTTAGTGAATCATGAAATCATATTTGAATTAATATATTCTGCCTACGACATTGGCAGAATGGTTGATAAATAATCCTAATCCATTTTCCCTTTTTTTTGGATTTACAGGACGGTCGTCGGAGAAATATCAGCAACGCAATAGCAAAAAGACAAAGGTAAGTTCAGGTAAAAAAAAAGCATACAACACGCGACCTTTAGTGAAAGAGGGCTGCGACGAAATATCATGTCCGACGCAATGAGTGCGCCGCCACCTTTGATTCCCCAGCTGCAGGAAATGCAGCAGCAGCAGCAACAACAACAACAACAACAGCAACAGCAGGCTAACAACCCCTCCAACCTTGCCCAGCAATGGAGCAACTACGCCTGGTATGCGAACCAAAATGCAGCCGCCTACCAGCAGCAGTATCAACACTACTATCAGTACTACATGCGCTACCAACAACAACAGCAACAACAGGTAACATCGACGATCAGCGCCTCGAATGCGCCGCCCGGATTTAGCAATGCACTTGCGGCACCGCCGCCATTGCCTAGTGGTCCACCACCACCGCCGCCACCAAAAATGCCTCAGGGTTCAGGAGGTAACAAGCAACAGCAACAGCAGCAACAACAACAACAGCAGCAGCAGCAACAACAGCAGCAAAAGAATTTTGGAGGAATTCGTTTTAATTTGAATCTAAACCAGAAGCGTTTGGCCAATGCTCCAAATCCTCTACAACTAGAACAGCAACAACAACAGCAACAAAACCAACAGAATCATCAACAAAATCAACAGAATCATCAACAATTACAGCAACAACAACAACAACAACAGCAGCATCAGCAAATGCAGCAACAGGGTATGCAAATGTACAACAATAACACCAACAACAACAATAACAAAAAGAAGCGCAAGAGAAACAACAAAAACAAGAACTTTGAACAAACACCATACACCAATCCGTTTAGCAACCAAGTGCCGCCCGTACCACCACCACCACCCATCATTACCGCCGCTGATGTGGGAGTGCCAGCTACACCAGATTTGAGTAAGCCACCACCGCCGCTACCCCTAGCTTTAGTGGCTCCCACTGAGCCGCCACAGATGAAAGAACTGCCCCCTCCGGCTGCTCCCCAACCGGCTGCGTCTAACTTTAAGCGGCCCAACAGCTTCCAAATGGCCTCCAACGATTCGTGGCCCGATTCTCTAAATCAGTATGTGGCCCGTTGCTATTCCAAGTGCAACACGGACCTCGACAAGGATCAGATTGATATTTGCCTCAAGGGCAAGATTATAGCAGCAGCGAATCGTAATGAATTATGGACTAGGGACTGGGACAACGAGCCCATGCCCACGGTGTACAGTGAGCGGGATGGTATCGATGTGGTGCTGAACAATGCCACGCCGCCGGCGCCTCAGCGGAGCAATTACTTCCACAAAAAATTAGAGCAGGAGAAGGAGAAAGAGCGAGAGCGTGAGCAGGATAAGTCGCCAGTCAAGGGTTCTGGCATTGTGAATCAGTTCAAGCAAAAGGGCAATCTATTCAACAAGTCCTCTTCGAGCTACGGTTCTCACAATCATCAGTCATCGTCGCGATACTCCAGGAGTCGTTCGCGGTGAGTTTTTTTTTGGGGATTTTCCAGCAGAAGGCGATTTCTAAACTAGTTTTCTTCAACCCCATTTTCAGGTCGCCGGCATCGTCTAGCTCTTCAAAATATAAGAAGCGGTATTCGCGATCACGTTCGTATTCGCGTTCCCGGTCCCGTTCCCCTCGATCCCGTTCGTGCTCTCGTAGCAGCGGCAATGGCAGCCCGCCAGCGCGTAAGGTTAGCCGCAAGTCGGGCTTAAACGATTCTATGGACTTTATACCGCTTTCGGCGAACCTTTCGCGTAAGCAACAAAAAATGCTTATGAAGAAGGGCAAGAGGGCTGCTGCTGCAGCAGCAGCAGCGACATCGAATTCAGCAAACTCCGGTCAGGCAAAGAAAAAGGTGCCACACTTCTATTCCAACCAGTCGTCCGTGGGCGGAGCCGTTGATGATGACACAGCGCGCTTGCAACAGCGAGCGGCACGTTTCTCGCAGCAGAGCTCCGGCTCAGCCAAGAAATCTGTCGTCGCCATTGCAAGCTCACCGTTTGGTCTCACCACGGCCAAAAACAAAAAGAAGATGCAACAGAACTATCAACGCCCATCCTTCTATGAGGACTCCGATCCGTCTGGCGGTATAGATCTACTCGATTTGCATATTGTAGGAACTTGTAGGGACCTTGAAAAATCATTTTTGCGTCTTACCAAGGCGCCGTCTCCATCGGAAGTGCGACCAGTCGAGGTGCTAACGCACTCGTTGGCCAATGTGAAGAGCAAGTGGCGTGCCAATCACGATTATCATTATGCGTGTGATCAGCTGAAATCCATAAGGCAGGATCTGACGGTAAGTTTAAAAATCCAGAAAGACTTTATATACTTACAATTTGATTTTAAATACAGGTCCAAGGTATTCGGGATCAGTTTACGGTAGAGGTCTATGAAACACACGCCCGGATTGCCATGGAGAAGGGTGACCACGAAGAGTTTAATCAGTGTCAGACGCAACTTAAGATGCTGTATTCAGAGCTGGGCAAGAGCGCCAATTCCCTGGAGTTTACAGCCTACCGTATACTGTACTACATATTCACAAAGAATACTTTGGGTAAGTTTTATCTTTTTTTCAATATAACCATCCAATAACATTATATCTTTTCCTGATAGATATCACTACTGTCCTGCGTTCGATTACGGCTGATCAACGCGAGAATCCTGCCATTGCGCACGCCCTTCAGTTTCGCTCGGCGTGGTCGTTGGGCAACTATTGCAAACTATTTGAACTATATAAGTCGTCTCCTCTTATGTCCGGTCATATGATTGAGTGGTTCCTGGAGAGGGAGCGCAAGGCTGCCCTTCGTGTTATAATTAAGTCGTAAGTTGCAATTATCTTCCTTTTTGGAGCTACTAACTAATCTTAATACCTTTCAGCTATCGTCCCAATATTAGCATTGATTATATCAACAATATTCTGGCGTTTAATAACAAAGAAAAATGCAAAGAATGGCTCGATACCTTCAGTTTACCTTATGCGGCGAATGGTGCCCAAATTGATTGTAAAAACGCCGCAGCCATTACCATTTAAAGTGATATGAGAACAAAAAAGGCAAAAACCCCACTGAGAGAATGATTCTGACTCAGTACCACTTCTTTCCGAATTTTCGGAATGCGGATACACCTTTTCCCCTGTCCCATTCTACACATATTTGTACATATTTATATAGATCTAGGTAGTTTTCGCGTATTCCCTGCGATAGTTTGTGTAGGAATTGGTTTAGATATCCCTTTGTCCATTCGGTTTTTTAAATTCCTCGCTACAGTTAAGGATCATCGTCTTCGAATGTCGTTTCTCTACAAGGAAATATAGATCGGAATAGCAAAAAATAGTGGATCATCCAAACAACATTGCTCTTTAATTTAAAGTGGATTTGGAAATTTCCCTTGGACTTCATGGAAAGGAAAAATGCTGTGGATTATGGAAAACTTCGGCTTGGATTGGAAGACCTTTATCTTATTAAAACCCACTTCTAAATTGTTACAATTTAAAGGATTCATCTGAGAACGCTGTTACTACAAGATCGGCAGTTCTTAATGATTTTAGTATGTTTACAAACAACGTGGGACTCACTGCATCTTTGGTTGCCATGAATTTGGAATGAAACTATTAGCCACGTCGTCGTTTTTAACATTAAACCAACATGAATTAATCTTTGAAACGTCTCCAGTTTTAACCTTTTCTAACATAATCAAACAAAATAGGAGCAATATTTATTATGAAACTATCAAGTGCGTGACCTCATTATGAACAAGAATGAACTGATTCCAGTTATGGTCACGAATTACCCAATAATATCTCGACTAAATCCCCGTATACATGAAATTAACACAAAATAATTCACAAACAGACGAACAAAAGCAGATGCCATCACAGTGGAGAAAGCCAGAGGGCTGAAATCTCATTTTTGTTTCGCCGTGGTTATTTTACTCATTTTTTTTTTTCGTCCCCTAACCATTTCATTTTTAAAGTAGTTTTAAGACATAGCCTTAATACTTGTTGTCTTCTTTAAATTATTGAAAAAGGATTATACTAATGTTCTGTCTCTCTATTGTATACCTGTATATATACAACCAACCATCACTTCCACCTCCACCAACTACATCATGAGGCCCTCGCCGAAGTTACGGCGTCCTTTTGGATAATGGGGAGTTCTACATCCTCCGGCTATCGACATCATCCAGCCACCAGCTGCGTCAAATGGAGCTCAAGACAAGATCAGCAGTTCATCGGGCTTAACCGACACTTTGTAAGCTCTTCCAATTTTAAATCGTGTTACTAAATCGAACTCTAAAAAATGTATTCGATTGATTTGGGTATTTTATAAGCGATTGGCGGAAGTTATTGTATTGTTTGGGGTTTTCAAACAGCAAGAGTTTTCCGACACGAATTGGGAATCGGAACTGTTCGTAATTATATCCTAGTTGTAATATATTTTAGAATTAAGTTAAGGTTAATTGTTAAATTTATTTCTAATTTTCTTGAATGTTGGAAAAATGATGGAAAAAATTCAAGATTTTCAATGGCATCTTTTAAATACTTCCGCCACAGATGCTTTGAAACCGGTTGCATGAAAGCGACAGCCAACATTGCTTTTTTTAATAAAAAAAAAAATAAAGCAAATGCATAACTCAACAGGTGTTTTTCCTTTGGGCCGGTTTTTACTTTCAGTGGGCGGCTGTTGCCACATGACTCCTTCCATTGGCGCCAAAATCGTGGAGCTTTAGCCAGGACACGAGCCGCCACAAGCTTGTTGGAGTGCGGAAGCCAAGCTTTTCACCAACACTCGAAGGATGCTGCAGGAGGTTCAGCCGCTATTTAAGGATGCTGCGTTACGGCCTTAGCTCCAGTCAACGCGCGGCGTTCGAGTTCTTAGGATCGCGCTAAAAAAACCAAAAACTACCTGGACCAACCGTTGATAATCAAAAGATTTAAAGAATCCTAGAAAATTTAAAGAATCCTTAAATTCTTTTGTGAAAAAGGAAGATCTGTTTAATGTGTGCTTGTAGTGTCCTTTAAAAAAATCGTTTTATTTAAAATTTGTGAAGGAACATAATGAATTTTTTGAATAAAAGGTGAAATTTAAATTTATTAAACAGTTAAATCATGAATCTTTACTTTTTAAAAGTGAAATTAAATTAAATTGTTAACTCTTTTAGAAAACAAATATTTCAAACCTTTAAAAATTAAAAAAAAACTATTGAAATGAAAAGTGCACTTTAATAATTTTAAAATAAATTTAGATAACAGTTTGAAAAATTGTTTTCTCTTTAGGATTAGATTTAATGGGAGTTAGATCAAAATAGGGATTAAATGATAATATTAGGTATCAAATAAATATTTTTCATTGAATTATAGAAAGGTATAAATTAGGTAACTTAACAAAAAAAAATATGCAAGCCATGCTTGCAAAAAAAGAAACAGAAAGTTAATTAAATTTAAAGCATAGTAACCTCTTCAGTGATTCAAAAACAACGCTCTTGAAATCAAACAAACATAATTGTAATTATTTGTTAATTCCTACAGACTCAATTGATTAATAATTCGGCCAGACACTGCTTTTTGATAATTTACTTCAAGCACCTCAAGAAAATTATTTCAAAATAAATACACTGTCAAGCCAGCAATTATTGACTAATTACTGGACCACAATAATCAGTCAAGCCTAAGAACGAGACTGCTCTAATCCAAACAGTTATTTGATTAATGTCGCCTAGATTTCAAATTTGCAATTAAATAAATCATTTTGAGCTTGAGTAAATGAAAAAGCCCCAAACTGCTTCAGCTTTGAATGAATGAAAAATAATTAATGGAAATTAATCTTTAATAAATAGCATTAAAGGCCAAAGAAGTTGGAGTCTTGAATGGGGCATCGAGAACCCCATTAAGTAATTAAGATTGTCAGAGATGTGGAAATTAACTCTTTCGCCAGCCAGCTATAAACAATTTTCATAACACAATTACCAACATAAATTGAAAAACAATTAGCAGTAAAAAAATAACATCAAATTGACTTCCGGTATAACTTTTTGGAAATGGCAAAGGGCCAACTTCCTTGTCGCGTTGTCGCAGCTGCTGATGTCAAAGTACTGGCAGGTCCTGGCTGATGTCCTTTCCCATCCTGCCCCTCCAGCCTCTACACTTCGTCAGTTTGTTCCATTTTTTTATTACGAAAATTATAATGTTGCTGACATTTTGTATATTGCATTGAGGGCTGCATAGGCATGTCCATTGAAAGTCAGCGAAACGCATTAATACTGAGTGGACTAAACTAAAAATCACTTTTATAAATAGCTGGCATAACAATGAGCCAGAGTTCATTATAATCTTGAATTATCCTTGAAAGGCTACATTATGTGAGCATAATTCAGTTTCCCAACTGCAAACAGATCAAATGAACAGATCCATTACCCAATCCTCTCAAAAAGTAAAAGACTTTAAATTATATTCGTGTGTGTTGGTTGTATTTTCAATTAACAATAAATAAATACTCAATATTGACTATCAAAACGTGAACCGCAGCTGAGGCTGACATTACAAGACCGACAGGAGTATAAATTTTGCAACATTATGTGTAAATATTTCATACACTGGTCCTACAGTGGCCCGAATCCTTAAGGATCCTTGTGGATGTACTAATCCTACTCAAACGCATAAAATCCTTCACATGACTATCCCTTTCATATGTAAATCCAGAGCCGGTTAGTCAGCATTTGGGGGGGAAAATAAAACTTGTTTACCTTTTCGAAGCCAGCCAAGGGATGGCCGCAGGATCTTTTTCACTTTTACGGTTATGCTCAGAATTATTTGCTGGGCGGGGGCTTACATTTCATAAACGTATCAAGGGTTCTTTGGTGCTCAGCTGACTTTGGGATATTTTACCAATCGCATTAGCATAAAATAAATTTTGACCAATGAGTACAAGTTATTAAGGTGCAGATCAATCTAAAATGGTAAGCCCATAAAATCCAAAGGATACATTTTTTGGTGAAAAGTTGAGTACATTTGAGACTTTATTAAATTTTCGGCTTAAAGATAAGCCTGTCTGACATTTCTCTATTTTTATACTCTCTACCTATGAACCGATTGTGCCACAAATTGCCAGAATGGATTTAATGTGCCTGTCATTCGGTTGACAATATTGGCCCAAAACGCACACTCTCATTCTGGCCATGATTCGCACTTGACCACAAGTCTAAGCTCTGGCTCAAAGCCATCTTGGCACCTGTATGGTTGTGTAGCCACACTTGCATTGTCCTGGCCCGGGTTGTGTTGCCCATTTAAATGGTTTTTCTTAACAGATTTGCTGGTTTTCAGCTTCCTTTCTTTTTTATTTTACATTTTACTGTTTTGCATTGGGCTTGGATGGCAGCATTTGCCTTCGTTTTTTCACTGTTTGCTTTTGTCTTCCAATTGTACGATTTCCTCCTTCGGTTTCCATTTTTTTCACGCGGCTGTGTTGTCATTTGAGATAATACGAAAAGCATTCAGCGTCTGTCGTTGTTACGGTTTTGCTTTTGATTTTGTTCAAGGGTTTATTTTAAAGCAATTGATTGGATTTAAAGCCGAAAAGGAGGGGCCCTGCTGAAGTGCTGAAAGCTGAGATTTTCCGGATTTTATTGGGAAAAAAAAAATAAATCGGAATGTGTCTTCTGTGACGGATGTTTTGTGTTAAGCCCTGCCGGGGGGTCTAAAGTGGAATTCGTTGTGTACATTTTTTATATTTCACCCTTTATGGATTAATAATTGAGTGAAATATAATTTTTTTCACTCTTCAACAATAAAATGTGAAAATATTCCGTTTGTAAAAAAGTGGTTCAACATGGCGTTGTACAAAGTGGCGTATGAGTGATATTTGATTTCTTTATTAAATATATGTGCATATTTTTAATTGATGTTTTAAAGTGCTTAAACATTATTAGATGAGCTTAAACTCTTCTGAATCATAAGGTTTTATCTGAAATTATTCAATCAATTGAATCCTTTTCCGCCATCTTAAATTCCCGCGCTACTTTACATAATATCCTAGTTCCCTCCCGTTATATAAATAGCAAAATGGATGCTGCACATCCCTTGGCATTGCTTTGTTATTATTGCTAAGTCCTACTTAAACACCACTCAGCTCATTAAATTTCAAATCAACCGAGACTGATATACAATAAATCGCCGCAACTATAACTCCGAGACACTGCCTCAGAGACTCTGGAGAGTTTTCTTAGACCGCCCAGTTTTATTCGCCTCTGGCCTGATTAAGCTCGTGGAGGGCGGTGGAAAAAAGGAAACGGAAATGAAAAGCGTAGCCCGGGAAAATGGAGTCGGGAAGACGAAGCGAACATTTGTAGCAATTAAAAGCATCTTTATGGCAATTTGCCGCTGCAAAAACCACAAAACCAGACGCCTGGCTGCGGGGATGCACAATAAATTTTCTTAATCAAAAAGTGACGAAGTCCTTACCGCTCTATGAAAATTCAATTAGTTTACCTTTAATTTGTTGGCTGAGGGCGGAGCCGGGCTATTTATACACTCCGTTGAACTGGGAAGGCGCAGGCAGGCATCTGATTACAGTCGAAAAAGTTGCAGACAACATCTGCCATAACCCTTTCGCCCTTTCGTCTTCAAAAAGGGTTTAATCATTCATTCTACAGCCAATTTTCACGCTGTTTTTTTTTTTGGCGCCAGATGTTGCTTCCGTTTTCTTTCTTCAAAAAAACATTTCCATTCGCGGCTCGTTCATTTGTTAGGCATCAGTTGTTTCTGGCTTGTAACTGCTTGGAAAAAATTGTACCAACTTTAAGGATGCCTCAGCACTTTGGCGGAGCGGTCACTTAATCATAGAATGTCTCAAGTTTTAGTTTGGAGTTGCAAACTGTAGATAACGAAAGCTCCTTAATGAAATCTTTAAAATGCTAATCTCTGCTTAGTTTTTATTACCAATTTTCCGACTGTTACACAAAAATATAATCAGCTAACGAGGAATTCAAAACCTATGACCCATTTGGCTATGAATGTGACTGCAATTGACACAGGACCCTGCCAATTCCTTCCACACCCATTCAAGTTCAATGAGCACTCGGCGCACATTAAAATTCGATATCAAATGCCAAATCATTCGCTTTGATGGCACCAACATACACCCACATACTATACAAACGCCCAGGCTATTTCCCCATAAAATGCTATCGTTTTCTAATTACAGCCTCATTGTTTGTTTGCTCTTGTTTTTACTGTTTGTTTAATGACGACCTCATACAATTGCTTAGGCAAATCAAAATAATGACCGCAAATTTCGGTTTATTTTGTTTAATTTGATTTTACTTTTTGTGGCTGTGGCCATGGCTTTGGCTTTGGCTTTCGTTGTGGCCGTGTGTGGGCTTTGTTTTCATGCCTTTTCGCTTTGGCTAATCAATCAATCAATTAATTGGCCAACTGGCTTTGAGTGCATAAGTCTATTTTTGTAGCTGAAAGCCTGGTCTTTGTCCTTTGTATTTGTTATTCTGGCTCTCAGGCATTTTCAGCAGCCAGAAGGATAATGGAGAAGCATCAAGTCTGGCCAGCCAGATGATGTCTGATGAAAGGCAATACAAGAGCCATAAGAGGCAAATAGCATGATTTTTTTCTAGGGAATTGATTTGGTTATTATTTAAGTAGGTAATTTTGGTAATAAAATGACAAAAGAGTATCCAATGACTGCTTGAATAAGTATCTAAAACCTTCTTTCCAAAAAGCAGCTTTAAAATAAAGCAAACAAACATTTAACTTACGCTTGCTTTAAATTTTACATAATAGTAATGTTACTTTATTTATTTTTTAGCTTGATAAGTTCTTTTATCAGTTGTACTGACAATTTCAAGTTCGTTAATACAACTTTTCGTAAACTTTTGAATCCACAGTGAACCAATTGAGCACTGGCCGAAAAAGGAGACCGCACAAAACTTTTTCAACAGAATTTAATCAAAAACTTTGAGGGTAAATTGTCCAAGTGGTTCACCTGTTGGCTGCATTTTAAATAAACGAGGCCAGCAATCGGCAGTGGGAACAAGTGGCCCTGGACAAGATGTCGCAGCATTTCACATCGATACTTGAGAACCTGCGTTTTGTGGCCATCAAACGTTCGACAAATGCCCAGCAACAGCAACAACAGAAGCAGCAGCAACAGCAACAGCAACAGACGACATGTGCAACACAACAACAAAATAGCATAAAAATCAAAGCACAAACCACGCCAACGGTGAACGGCAATGGACTCTTGTGCGCAAATCTTGAGGGGGGCGGCAACTCACCGCCCCACCATGAAGTGGACCATTCTGGAGGAGCAGCAGGAGCTGGACAGGGATCTGGTGCTGGGGGCGCCACTTCAAGTGGCGGCGGCACGCCATTGAAGCACCACAAGCGCGCCAGCATCTCCACAGCCTCGCCACCGATTCGGGAACGTCGTGGTACAAACACAAGCATTGTCGTGGAACTAGATGGTGGTGGGAGCGGTGGTGCTGCCAGTGCCCAGGCTGTGGGTGGGTGTGCTGCCTCGGGCAGTGGCACCGCGTCGGGAAAAAGCTCTCGCGAACTCTCACCTTCGCCCAAAAACCAACAGCAGCCCAGAAAAATGTCACAGGATTATCGGTCGCGTGCCGGCAGGTAAGGATTGCATTTATCAAGAATATATGAGACACCCAAGTGCTAGTGCAAGGTGATAAATTGTTGGGGGAAAACGCAAAAGGATAAAGCCAGGATCAAGTTGTGCTCAGGAACTAGACAAGCTTCGGTGGATGTAAAGTATAAACTCGCATAGATAAAGTTGTTTTGTTTTGAGTTTAACGCGAAAAAAAGGTTTATCTTTTTCTTAAGGAGAAATGACATTGAAAGACTTGCTCGTTTTTAATCTTTGGTTGAGATGAAGATTAAATAGTTGGTTAGTTTATAAATTTAATAGGCTATTTTATCGGTTAAATACTCCAAGGCATATCTTAAATAAAAATTCCAGAAAACTTCAAAGAAATTAAAGAAAACTCCTGTAGCTAATGTTCCCTTTTGTCTAATATTTTATAATCGCGGAGTCAATGGCTGGGATAAAGTGCAAAGCTTAGCTAGCTACACCCCTGGTTACGGGCTCTTGGCAGCCACTTGGCCATATCCTTTCCGCACCCACTAAAGCCGCGCTATCTAAATTGCAGCTTCATGCACCTGGACGAGGAGGGACGCAGCCTGCTAATGCGAAAGCCGATGCGACTGAAGAACATCGAGGGCCGGCCGGAGGTCTACGATACGCTACACTGCAAGGGTCGCGAGGTGAGTCACGTTTTTCTATGTGGGTTTTGCAGGGAGCCAAGGATCTCCGGGACTGGGATATAATTAGCCAAGGAGCTGAGGCGCCAAGCTGTATGTACCATGTACGGGCCATGCACGAGCGAGTGTGCAATAAAAAGGGCAGTAAAACAATTCACAGAATGTACCATTTCGTTCTGGCCAAGCCAACTGGCTTTCTTTTTCTGGCTAAGTGCAGAAAGTTTTTTGCACGGAATGCGTACAACGAAGCATTGCATACTTGTAGGAGTTATTTAATACTCATGACGCTGTCAGCCGTCAGCCTTCCATGTAATTGTTTGTGCAAATGCATGTTCGTACGTTTGGCAGTTGTTTGTTGGTTTGTTGCTTTGTTTGTTTGTTTCCTAGCTTGTCTCTGCAATTGGTACGCTCTTGCCTTTGCAATGCCAAAGTTGTGTGGCCCGGCTGTTGGCTTAAATGAAAGAAAGTCCTTGCTCTCCCTTTTTTCCAGAAGTCGGCCTACAAAAGTTTTCCCATCGTAATAAAGTGGCTTGGAGGTGGAACATTTTTATGCGGAAATTCATTCTGTTTGTGGTTTACAATTATAAACTATTTTTGGCCAGCAAAGGATATTGTTGTGGGCCTAAATATAGGACATTCAAGAAGGCCTTGAACATGGGAATTTTATGCCAAGAAATAATCTTAAAATCCAAGCTCATTAAGTGCATAAATCTGGATGGTTTCCAGCTTCTGTGACACAATCTTTCGTAATTCAATTGGCCCACCTACCTAGTTGGCCAAAACGGTGATTCAATCCTCATTAGGCCGAGTTAGCAGGGAGTGCAAACTGCAAATTGCGTAAGCGAAAGTCTAAAAGTCGGAAAGTCGATGTCAGAAGTCGGTTTAAAGTTGGGACACCTAACCTCAATTAGCCAAGGAGCAAGGTCCTGGGCCCTCGGAATCAAAAAAAAAATAAAATAAAAATCCCAGAGTGCCAGTTATAGTTCCACTTTCCAGTTACAGTTTCTATGCTAATTAAGTCAGCATCAACGCCAACAACGGAAATGGCGCAACGAATCCTTTTTCACAATCAAATTTCATTTCCTCTGCCGCTTCCCTGCCCCTCTGTAGGGAGGCTGTGCCTCCACAAGCTGCATTTTAATGTGCACCAAATTATGCAATGCAAAAATTTATATTTGCCAGTTTGCCATTTTATTTAAGTACTCCAACAACATGCAAATTGCTCCCAACGCTGGGCTTGGCTCCTCAGGACGCTCAGGTAATTATAATGTGAAGTCTGGCTGTGAAGTGGCCATCTTGGGCTTGGCTTAAACGATTGCCGGCCCAATTTAAGTTGCCAACATTAAGTTAACATTCAACACTCGAGGATTAAGTGTATTAAGCATGTGGGAAAAGGGCTCGAACGCGTCGAGTTAATAAAACTTTACAGCCGCAAAAGTTGCTGGTAATGCTCTTTGGGTGGCTTTGGTTAAGTCCATTGCCTGGCAACGGACTTTAACTTATTGTGGTTACACAACTATATTTCCAACATTCTGTGTTGACTTTGAGTAATTTTATTATGACTCCTGAAATGCCACCGAAAGACCTGTCCAAAAACTATAAATCAATATTTTCTTTCAACTTTTCATTACCACAGACAGAATTTTCATTTATTTTGTATGCCAGTTGCATTTCAATTTCAGTTTCAATTTGAATTTCATTGCCAAAAGGTGAGGCACAAGTGGCAGAGCCAACTTAACTGCCACAGAATGCAGTTAATATTTGAATTCCTTCTGCTCCCGAAAAGAAAAGCATCTTGGGGAAAACTTCTGGGCTCTGGCTCTGAAAACAAATTGGCTGGAAAATAATTTCAAGTGGGATATATTGAAAATATGGTTTAATATGTTACTTGTATTTATTTAATATTTTTCTAGTTATAGGATTATAGTTCTTTAGTTAAACTTTTTTTTAAAATATAAATATATGGAAAATTGTCATAGATTTAAATAAATTTTAAAGATGATATTTCAATCCTCTATATAAAAATTCGAGATCCTTAAATATCATATCAGCCTTTAAGATTCCCCAAAAAGAGACAAAAATGTAGAGCCCCCTGAGGCTCAAGTGTCTTGGACAAACAAGTGCATCTTGTGTTCGTTGATGTTTTCGAAAACATGACCCGAAACCGGCACTTTTTTCACTTTCCTCCGCTGAGGGGCTTAATTCTGCAACAAACACTAGAAAAACCGGAAGAAAAGAACAAATTTGGCGTGAAAAGCAGAACTGTGTGTGGGTGTGGGAGGGAAGTGCAACCGCTTGGGGCTATACCCAACCCCTAGGAGTTGCAAGGGCGGCACGTGGCGCAAGGCAGACCAAACTTACACGCCAAACTTTAAGCGCCAGTCCATATATATAGAAGCATATACATATACTAGTATGTTAGCGGAGGCGGAGACTGTTCGTATTTATTTGACGCTCTGCAGCTGCAACAATTTCCGGTTCCGTTGCGAATGCCACACCGCCCACCATCCGCTCCTCGGACGGCACAGAAGGCAGCCTTCTGTTTATATTTACATAAAACAATTTTGGACAACTTTGAGTGCTAACCAGTCTCGCGCTGGCAATTATTTGCATTCCTACCCTAGTAGCTCACCCTCCTGAGAAACGAAAGAAAACGAAATTAATTTTCACTGCCGAAAATGGAAAGCCAACATTTTCTGTTTAACGTCTGGGGTTTTCTTATTAGCCTTTCTCTTAGGCCACAAAATATAATAATTTCTGCACTAAGCCTGGCAGCTGCATGTCGCTTTTGATGCCAGCTTATTAGAATAATAACTCCTTTCAGTTTCTAAATAACAAATTTTTGTCATGTGTTGACGGTGCGGGAATAAGTTGCTCCTGTTGGGTCCTTTACCTCGTGGTTGTTGTTGGCTGTTTGGTGTTTGCATTGTGCATAAATTTGTCTTGTGCAGCTGAGTGAAAATTGGCAAAGTTTATACGGAGAAAGGCAAAACCCCTTGGTGAGGCAACTGCATTTTTGTTATATGCATACAAAGCGATGTATGTGGTTTGGCTTTAAGTTGGAACTGCAGTTTATTGCGGCCGAGGTGGTTGGAAAAGGAAAACTGCCGAAATTAATGAGACTCAGGACTCTTTCAGGATCTAATCCTTTATGCCACTAGAGCACTCTTTTGGGGGATATTTCAATTTAACATCTAAGTTCCTAAGCAACCCTTAAACCCCATTTAATTTAAACCCTTTACTTTCGTTTAACTCCTCTAATTCGGCCATTTAATTTAACAGTTCATTGTAAACCATTCCTGAACGTAAATACAACTGCCACATAAACGCCAAACAATCTGCTCACAGTTGTCATTCTCAAGTGCTCGAGTACCACGGGGCGTATGAGTGACATAATTGCAGCCAGCATTGTGGCATGAAATTTTTTAGTTAGACGAGTGTAGCCTTACCGGCTCGTCCCGGGCGACACTTGAGGAGTTTTTATGCCGCACTTGGCAAAGCCAATTCGAGGACTTAACTGCCTGGAAAAACAAACTAATTATGACCGCGGGTGTCTTGGGCGGATTGCGAAGATATGGCGCCATAGACAGCGGGAGCGTCGGGGCGTTGAGTAAATTAAACCGTCGGGAAAATAAACCGAGAAGAAATGGTAAAGGTAAAGAAAACTGTCTGCCGACAAACTCAAAGCCAGAGAGGTGAGTCAAGGGAGTGTAAATGAAAATTACAACGACACGCATCATAAAAAACAAACCCAGTTGAGGAAAAGCCGTCGAGGAAAAGCGGAAAAGCTGGAGGGGTAAAAAAAAGCATCATCCGCAATTGACAGTGAAATGCTTTTTAAACGTTTTCTCTGACAGGGACTTTTAGAGTTTCATATATACTAGTTTTTTTTTCTTCTTTTATATTAATTTAATTTTCATGGCATTGTTGGTTTTTATCAGAAGTCCTATCTGCTTTCAGCTTGCCAACTTTCATTCCCATTCCCATTTGTCGCTGCTGGGGGATTAGCAATAAAAATTTAATTACCAAAATGAGCAATTACACCTATATTTTTTTAATTAAAGCTGTCAAAACATGGGGCTAATTGTTTTCATCTCGTGACTTGATGACTTATTTGTCTCTTTGTGTCCTGCATCCCTCAGATACTCTCCTGCTCGAAGGCCACCTGTACGAGTAGCATCATGAACATTGGCAATGCGGCCGTGGAGGCTCGTAAAACGGATCTGATCCTGGAACATGCCAAGGACTTTCTCGAGCAGTATTTCACATCGATTAAGCGGTGAGTTATTTTTTATAGGAGGTTTTTAAACTTAAATGAAAACTCTCTTCTCCTTGAGCTCAACCATAACATATCTTTTAAATAACTTTTTTGGCTATTCCTTTTTTTACTATCTCCTAACCAGTACATCATCCACCGCCCACGAGACTCGGTGGAAGCAGGTGCGCCAAAGCATTGAGGCAACAGGACATTATCAGCTAACTGAAACCGAACTAATTTATGGAGCTAAATTGGCTTGGAGGAACTCTTCGCGCTGCATTGGCCGCATTCAATGGTCCAAGTTGCAGGTGAGCTTTCAGCCACTTTAATTAAGCCAAATGATAGCTAGAATAAAAGCTGAAGATATTAAAGATATGCACCATTTGTCTGGCTTTTAACTGTGATGACCTCCCTCTCTAACAGACAAATCTCGAAATAAACTGTCATCAACTTTACCAGAAGACATATTAGGCTTAAATTCTATGGATGGACCAAAAATAAAGCAACCAAATAGTCAAGCAAATTTGTCAGAGCACAAATCACTGGCAAATATGTACATAAACGTGAAATATACGAGCTTATGTCTGGGCCACATTATTCTGGATTTATGCGTGTTCCAGCCAAATGACAAATGTCGAATGCGCGAAGACAAGAAGCCCAAAAAACAGAGACCGAATTTGAAATGCAAATTCTCGTAAATTTTAATTTACCAAAAAATAAGAGAGAAATAAGAATGAATTTCCCCTAGGGCGTAGATTTATTCACATGCACCAGAATATACAAATTATAATGATCAGTATAGTTGGCCATATCTGTCTGTCTGTCTGTCTGCCTGGCAGTCTCTGTGCTCGGCAATGTGTGAACAAATTTGCATTTACGCCTCAACGACTTGCGTTACAAATTCTGGGGAGTAGGGACTAGCTGAGAGGGCCAAGACAGTTGCCAAAGGTGACACTAAAGTCACCTTAAATATATGCCATATATGTCTATATGAATTATAAACAGAGACTGTCAATTTTAATTTTTTTTTTGTTTGAATAAGAAATAGGCTAGTAGGTTATTGCTGTTTTAAGTTTTGGCTAAAAGCACACACAATTTTTAATGGTGAAATAGATTAAAAAGTTTCATAGAAAGCCATAAACATTTTCCATCATAATTTTATCTTAGACAGCTCATGAAAAAAACACAAAAGTTTTTCAATTCAACTCGTTTGCTTTTAAACAAAAAAAAAGCTTAGAAACTTTGGCTTAAATTAAATGAAATATGTGTGGGTCGAGCACTTAAAAAGGGTTAGGTTTCATTCAGTTTCCAAACTTAATTAGGAAACTCGTTTCACATTGGAACAACCAGACAAAAACCAACACAGCAGAAAATCGAATGAAGGGGCTCCCATGACTCTCGACCAAAATTCTGTTTCGAGTGGCTTTGGCATACAGATCCCATAAAGCCAAACGTAAGGATTCTGGCCTAGTCCCAAAAGTGAGAGAAGCCACCAAAAACAGGTGTGAAAAAAATAATAGAAATACAATGGTAAAAACCCCGATAGGCGGACCCGATAGACACTCCAAAATGAGAGAATAAAAAGTAGAATTATTGCTGAAAATTCATTGAGGCGAAATAATTGAAAAAGGGTTTCAATGTACGAACAAGTTGTGAACGACTCTGTTATGCTAACGCCCCTTCCGACCAAAAACAAAAAAACAAATATATAAGTTACATAGAAATTTATGTCACATTTATCATACGCCCCGTTGGATGGCGCAACAAAAACGTTTGAACAGTTTTGAGGTTTCCGGGTTTGGCACTTCAAAATTTATGATCACTGTTGGTTTGCTTTAAGTTTTAGGTTTTGAAAAATTACATCTAGAATTGTTATTGATTTGTTTCAGAAACATTTAACATAAAAATCCAGCTGAAAGTCTATTTTATAATTTCTTGAATTTCTCGTATTTTTCAGTGCTTTGACTGTCGTTATGTGACAACTACCAGTGGCATGTTTGAAGCAATTTGCAACCACATAAAATATGCAACAAATAAAGGAAACCTGAGGTAATTTTAACTAATACTTAGGTGTCTATGAACTGAAATATTCATTTAATTTACACATGTAGTCACTTGGCAACTTTATAACATTTCTGTGAAATATTAACACAATAACTGAAAATTAGGAACCATTTTCATTGAAATTTATACATTTTCCCCGCAAGCCTAATTACCAGCTTATGGCAATTATGGTCCAGAGAGAATTTTAAAATGCCCGTTAATCATTTTAAGCCAGGAAATTAAAGCACTACACAATTTTCAATATTTCCATATGCTCTTTGGCAGACACATGCTCGTAAATTCAAATTTTCAAATAATCTACTCGATACGGGGCAGCCGTCAGCAAAATGTTTGCCAAAAGTGATTGCGAAATTATGTTTTTGCCCTGCTAATTGACTCAATTGAGGGCCTGACTATGGAGTGTACAGCAACCAATTTGTTTTCCATAAATATTTGAAGCCTGTCTGCCACTATTTCACCTTCTGCCCCGCCACAGTTCGATAGTTTGCACTTTGGTGTTGCACTTTTGACTTTGAAGGCACATTTAAAAGGCTAGAGGCTGTTTGCCAAAGTTTCATCTAACTTTAATGAATTTTAATGTTTTGTGTGGACATTGGTTTTTGTAATTTTCATACTCTAGATCGGCCATTACGATATTCCCACAACGCACAGATGCCAAACACGATTACCGAATCTGGAATAATCAATTGATATCCTATGCTGGCTATAAGCAGGCTGATGGCAAAATCATAGGAGATCCCATGAATGTGGAGTTTACAGAGGTAAGTGCCTTAACTTCTTTAAAGTTATCGAAAGAAACCCTCACAAAACATAAAACAAAGTGTGGCTTACACTGCCATGAGTTATTTTTAAAAGAACATATTTTAGTTCTGGTGTTCTTTCTCACATTTATTTGTATTTATTCAGTCTGTTTCGGTTAATCCACCTATCAATTTACATATCACACATGCATAAATATACATATATTTTTCTCAGCCATCACAATATTTATACGCACCAATTGCTCTTGCCTTTAAATCTGTCTCCGCCTGCAATTCCCCCAGCTCCCACCACCCAGTTCCCAGTTCCCTTTTCGCGTGACATCCACCCATGTGACCTTTTGTGGAACCAACAAGTTGGGAAAGCCCGAGAGTGGCACAGTGTCGGTGTGGCAAGTTCGGTCTATAACTCGTTGTAATAAATCTCTTTTTAAATACGCAAAAACCGAACAAACAACAAAGCTGTCAATAAATACGAACACAAATACGGTAGCAGATGTTGCCCATAGAGCTGGGTGGTATGGGTCTGGTTTTTGGGTCTCCGCAACCCCGCCATCATGGCCACTGATGTATTTGCATATAAACCAAGCCCCCAAAGTATCTCCATTTATTTTTACACATGTCACTTTTTATGTTCAGGCCAGTGGCCCGCCTGGCCTCATGTTGATTTTCGATTCCGGATTCCGCATTCCGCTTCACATTTATTTGATGTCCAATCCCATCTTCATCCATCAGGTTTGCACCAAACTGGGCTGGAAGGGCAAGGGCAGCGAGTGGGACATATTGCCACTGGTGGTCTCGGCCAATGGTCACGATCCGGACTATTTTGATTACCCGCCGGAATTGATATTGGAAGTGCCGCTGAGTCATCCCAAGTGAGTACACATATTAACCGATTTATCTGGTCATAAATGATGGACAATGTTGGAAGTTAATAATCCAATAAAACTAGAGTTATATAGTCCGAATTCAAGTCAAGGATACATTCCACTTATGGGCATTCTTTTTATAAAACAATCTGTGTATATGATTCAAACTTTATTTAATAAAAATTCATCAAAAAGTAATCATTTAATTAGCAACTGGTGCGAATCCGATCCTGTTATTGCCCTTGTCGAAGACTGTGTAGAACTTTCCGATGAAAACATCACCCAGGATAACCAAAGTGTTGCCCTCCATGTAGGTGAAGACCGACATGCAGTAGGTTTCCCCATTCTCGGTAATCCTGATTATATAATCACTGGGCTTGAGAGTAAAGAATCTATCCCCGATATAGAGATTAATGTTCGGCAAGGACGAGACCCTGCTGCATCTGACAAAGGCCTCTCCTTCGCCATTATCCTCAGCGCCAATGAACCTATTGATTTTGATGTAGGCAGCCTCTGGGAGGACGATCAGGGAAGTTCCAGTATCGGCGATGGCCTGGGTGTTCCGGCTGATGAATTCACCCTTGGTCTTGATGGCGGTAATTTTGAATTGCCAGTAGGCAGCTTTGGTGACTGGCACCCAGGTAAGGCTTCCCTTATAGAGGCTGGAATCAATGCCACCCAGGATCATTTCACCGCCTTGGACAGCGGTTCCCTTGCGCTTCAAATAGAAGGAGATCACTGGCTCGTCGAGCAGTTTCTGGGCAATCATGTTGTCCCACGGCGGGGTCACACCATCCACGGCGATTGACTTGAAAGCCAGGCCCATGATTCCGGCAAAGTTGGCATCAGTAAAGGTGCTTCCCGGTTCATCGATAGCCTCGGCGAACGTCTGATCCTTGATTTTAATTCCAGCCACTTCCACGGTATCGGTGGACAGAAATCCAGAGAGGCTTCCGGTTCCGTATTCAATGGAGAAACTCTCCCCATTGGCCACATAGGTGCTAGACTCTGCGGAGTGGTACTTGTTGTGCTTTTGACAGGCCTTATTCGAGGCTGGGCACTTGGCACTTGGGACCCAAAGATTAGCCGATCCGGTGTCGAATAAAATATTGAAATTCTGCTTGGGGGTACCGATGCTGACCAGGCCGTAGTACTCGCGATCGGCGCTGTCGTGGAGGGTCTCGGTGCCCTCCGAGGCAGAGGAGGTGGTGTCCAGGTTATAGCCATACTTGGCCGCCAGCAGGGTCTTCTCTGCCTTCACCTTTCCATGGGTCCTGGTGTAGTTGCTATTAACTTGCAAAGGCAGACGGTTCAATTTGGCCACGGCACAACCAACTCCGATCAACACTAGTAATATTAAACAAACTGGTCTCATGGCTGCCGTCTTCGGTCTGATTTACAAAAGCGACTGACTAAATCGCGAATGGTTGATGAATTTAAATAGCTTCGGTCCGAGCAAACATTCCAATATTTTTCAGTTGGCCCCAAAAAATTTCCATACGTCTAAGGGTTCTGGATCATCTAGTGACGTCTATATAAGAACAGTGCCAACTCCATTTTAGGCATCATCGAAGCGGGCAAGAATGTTCATATTTGCCTAATGAGTTTAATAAATATTAAATTTACCCAGCAGTTTTAACATTGGGGTCTGTGACCAAATAATCGAGCATTGTCTAAGTTTGAAACAAAAATATAAAAACAAAAGATTAAATATTTAGTTTTATGTTTTTGTTGAAAATCAAAAGACTATTTTTACAGCGTAGAAACAACATTTTAGTGAAACTATTGAATTTTTTATTTATAAATGGGTAACAATTGAAACAATAATTAATTTGTAGTGCTTTAGAGTATTAATACTGTGAAATATAAGAATATTATTTAAGTAAAAGAGTAATCCACAGACAAATCCCTGTACTCGTACTGCGCTGGATGCGAAGGACCGGCAATGTATGGCCTATACTTTCTTTCGTTTCCATAATTTTTCCTGTAGTCACTAGTTCCTTCGTATCCTATGGAATCACTATATTCTGCCCAAGCTGCATCATAGCCGCTGCTTGTCTCATAGCGATTATAGTACTGACTTTGATGGCTTTTGGTTTTCTGGGACCTCACTTTGGCAAAGCCGATTCGTTCGTTGCCCAAATCAAACACAGTGTAGTACTTTCCGATGAAAACATCTCCAAGGATCCAGAGTAGATTTCCTTCCAAATACTCGAATCCGGACAAGCACTGGGACATGCCATTGTCACCCAGAATTTTGATGATATAGTCGTTCGGAGTCAATGTGAATCTAGAGCCTCCAATGTTCAGATACAGAGTGGGAAGCTTGCAGATATTCCAGCAGGGAATCGAGGCTGTGCCATCACCATTATCAGTGGCATTCAACAGCTTGTTTATCGCTGTGAAGGCCTTTTTGGGGACTACTATGAGGGAGGTGCCAGTGTCGGCTATGGCCTGGCATCCTACACACAGGACTTCGCCATTGATCTTGGCTGTGTTGACCGTAAACTGCCAATATTGTGGTATGGACACTGGAACATAGGTGATAGTTCCCTGATAGATAGATGGATCAGTGCCGCCCCAAATTATTTCGCCTCCAATCAGTGAGCTTCCATTGCGTCTTAGATAGACTGAGAACTCTGGCTTGTCCAGCAAGCCCTGAGCGACCATGTTGTCCACGGGAGTGTTGAGTCCGTTGGAGAGAGTGTTGAAGGCCAATCCCATAATTCCATCAAACGGCTGAGTATCGAAAAAACCATCTGGTTCGGCGGTGGCCTCGGCAAAAGTTTGATTGGTTATGTTTATTCCTGCAACCCGGACAGTGTCGTTTGAAAGAAAGCCCTCCATACTCCCAGTTCCATAGCGGATGGATATATTGGTACCAACTGGCACATAGGTGCTGGATGCACTGGATGTGTACTTGTTGTGGTTCTTGCAGGCTACATCCGTGGCAGAACACTTGGAACTAGGAATCCAGGTGTTGGACGATCCTGTGTCGAAGAGGACCGTAAAGTTCTGCGGCGGGGTTCCAATACTAATGTCACCGTAATACGCGAAATTGGCGGCGTTCACCAGGTTCTCCTTGGCCTCCACGGACTCGTCCGCCAATGTCAAGTACTTGGACTTGAGCAATGAAATTTCCGACAGAACATTGTGGGTTAGGTTTCTTGGCCTAATTGAAATCCTCTTTAGTTCAGCCATCGATTGGCCAACTTGGGCGACAAGCAGTAGAATTAGCCAGTGCTGCATGGTTGAGACTTTCGATTCAAATACAAATCAAACTACAAAGTGGGTCAACTTTTATACCCCTGAACTGCATGAATATATTATGTATCGTAATTGAAGTGCACAGGAAATGTTTAATCGGAAAGTGTGTTGTAACCGCGTTCAGTTTACTTATGAATTAAACGAATAAAAAATTCATTTCGGCCAGATTACGGGTGTTCGGTAAACACTTACTTACGTGACACCGTGTTTATTTTGTTTGTTCTCAAGATATGTTATACATATGAGCTACTGCTACATGAATATTTTTAACAAAGTCCATGTTTTGAAGCCAGTTATACAATATTTTATGAGTTTCTAGATTTGAAACTGAACAGACTAGTTAACTAGCCCGCTTTTAAGATTAATTATTCCTTCATTAAAATTGGGGCCATCCCATAGAGCGGATATTTGCCTTGAAAAAACACACCCCATTTGGTGACAGTTGGCACCAGAATTTCGGACATACATCAGATGGCCGGGACGATGGCATGTATATCCTACGGATTTGCATCCACAATCACGACCAGTGGCCAGTGGCCAGACTCACAAATATCAAACATTGACGGCCAAATAAAATCACTGCCCGCCTTGCCCCATTTCGTTGCAGATTCGAATGGTTCACGGAGCTGGGACTACGCTGGTACGCCCTGCCCGCCGTATCCAGCATGCTGTTCGATGTGGGCGGAATCCAGTTTACGGCGACCACATTCAGCGGTTGGTACATGTCGACGGAGATTGGTTGCCGGAATTTATGCGACACAAATCGCCGCAATATGTTGGAGGTAAGTTGGCAAAAGAAAAAAATACAAAAAACCGACAAGATGAGAGACCATATTGTATTGTAATTTCTGTATTAATATCCCGATATCCTCTCGCCCGATTGAGACTGTCCTTGCTTAATGTCCTTGATGTCTTTGTCGCTTTGTCGTTGCGGCGCTTATTTCATTATATGGTCGCATAATGTGCGCCCGGAAAACGGGGACCCTTCGTCTTTATCATTCTTTCATAAAGCGTTTTTCCTCTGGTCTGGCATTCTTTTTACCCACCAGCTATGTGCCAGTGGTTGGATGGTTGGTTGGCTGGTTGGCTGGTTGAGTGGGTGTAGTAGAATATGCCTTTGGGTTGGTGCAAACTGGTTAACAACACTTAAGCCGGGCGGAGGCTTTAAGGCTTGAAAAGTTGCCATGGAGAATCATCTATATTATAATGCTGCTTTTACACATGATATCCCTGAATATGACTGCCAACCTAATGCATCTGCACTGCACTTCAATTTTGATCAATTTCGGATACCTAATTAGGTTTTCAACAGCACGAAAATGCCATTAGGATTACGAGGAAAATGTGACTCTGAAATGATGATAGTAACATGCATCCCATCTCACGTTAAAATAGGGCTAATATGTTTTTAAAAATATTAGATATTTATACTGGTTTAGAGGTACAAAATGGTTTAATTTAATGGAAAAGCAAAAGAGAACTTCGTATTAAATTTATATATAATTCAAGAGCTTATTTGTAGTTTTAAATATTCTTCTTTCCTTCATATATTTTTGAGAACTAACTTGTAGTTATTTTTAAAATATTTTTCGTTTTTTAAACTCTGACTTATTTTTTAAAAGTCACCCCATTACTTTAACTACTATTACATGGTATAATCTCAGTTGTTTCTCCACAAAATATTTGATGGCCTGCGGCCGAATCTATAATTGACATCCGGTGAGAATGTGTTGACTGGTGACATGGGTTTTGGGCCACACACATTTTGGGGTTTTAGGACCAATTTTGGTTTTCGGACAGTAATTATTAAATTCTGGCCACAAATCTATGGAAAACTATAATCGAAATTTGACAACGGCTCTCGATTAGATAGGAGCCATCCATCCATTTCCAATCAATAACTAAACAAATTGATTTTTAACTCAATGCAGACGGTGGCGCTGAAAATGAATTTGGACACCAGGACTCCCACATCCTTGTGGAAGGACAAGGCCGTCGTTGAGATGAACATAGCTGTACTCCACTCCTACCAGAGCCGTAATGTGACCATTGTGGATCACCACACAGCCAGCGAGAGCTTCATGAAGCATTTCGAGAACGAGTCCAAGTTGAGGTGAGTACCCGGATCGGTGATTATGTCTGGAATTCAGTGGCCGGGAATCCGGAATCCGTAACCTGGTGCTTGTTTGTTTATGGCCCAGTTGAGTTTGCATTTATGACATATCCCAGCCGCATGTTTATGGCTTAACGTGTTTTATTTGACTTTCCGCGCCCCGACTCCCACGACTCCCATCACACACCCGGCTTTTCGCGACCGGGTTTAAGGGAAAAGCGTGCGGAAAACTCTTTGCAGGTGCAAAAGTAAATTTATTGTTTCCAATTTGCTGTCGCCAGCGCTTATGTAAAGTGCACACGAGACACATAAATGCCGCACAATATGTCAAACTTTTCCAAGGGCACAACAATTGGTGGGGAAACTCCAGAAATTAATATATCATGCTTTGTTTTTTATTTTTGGGAACTGTTTAACAAAATAATTTCGGGGAAATGCCGAATATTTCAATTTCCGTGTAACTCTAATAGAATGTTTGCATTTAAAAGAACAACAAAATAACAAAGTTAAATACACAAGTCACGGGTAAATTTGCTGTAATTAGTATGAAAATATTGATATTAAAATATGCCAGCAAATAGTTGTACATATTTATTTTTATAAAAATACATTTTACCGAAATGATGCAAACATTTATAGCGGAATACCTTTACAAAACAAATACCGAACATATCTGCATCAAAATCATACAAAATTTTTTGTTAAATTTTCCCTTTAAAATTCGAAAAATGTATTGGAGGCACAGTATGAAACTCTGCAAAGGCTATATCTTTGTTAATATTCACCCGATTCCTAAGCGGAATACCTTTAACGATTTGTGGATCGATTTTGAGTAAATCTACATCAAAACCTGACAACAAAATATTTTTTAGATTTTTTGTCAAATTTTGTGGGGTGTCCCCTATAAAATTGTGAAAATGCAATGGGGGCACAGTATGACACCTTGCGAAGGCTATATCTTTGTCAATATCCACCCGATTCTTAAGCGGAATACCTTAAACGATTTGTGGATCGATTTTGAGTAAATCTACATCAAAACCTGACAAAAAAATATTTTTTAGATTTTTTGTCAAATTTTGTGGGGGGTCCCCTATAAAATTGTGAAAATGCAATGGGGGCACAGTATGACACATTGCGAATGCTATATCTTTGTCAATATCCACCCGATTCTTAAGCGGAATACCTTAAACGATTTGTGGATCGATTTTGAGTAAATCTACATCAAAACCTGACAACAAAATATTTTTTTAGATTTTTTGTCAAATTTTGTGGGGTGTCCCCTAAAAATTGTGAAAATGCAATGGGGGCACAGTATGACACCTTGCGAAGGCTATATCTTTGTCAATATCCACCCGATTCTTAAGCGGAATACCTTAAACGATTTGTGGATCGATTTTGAGTAAATCTACATCAAAACCTGACAACAAAATATTTTTTAGATTTTTTGTCAAATTTTGTGGGGTGTCCCCTATAAAATTTCGAAAAATTCATGCGAGGCACAGTATGACCCGCAAAGGCTGCGAAGGCTATCAAAATATTTAGGAAATATATTGAAATACCTTTCCCCTTTTAAGGCCAACACCTTAATAGAACACTAAATCAAGTAACACTAAGCCACGTTTCTATTTTTATGGCAAAAGCGGGTAGGGCACAATAATTAAGTCAGTTAATGGTAATCACCCGTTTGTGGCCCTAAAAATACGCAGACGCTGTTGGAAATAGAAACTTAAGGCAGCTAGCAGCCAGAAGCCAACGGATTCCCTCACCAGGACACTCGTCAATTATAAACAATTACTTAACCGAAGGACGATTTGTTTTTGTTCGTATATTTCTTTGCAGGAACGGCTGTCCCGCTGATTGGATTTGGATCGTGCCGCCACTGTCGGGCTCCATCACGCCCGTATTCCATCAGGAGATGGCGCTGTACTACCTGAAGCCCTCGTTCGAATACCAGGACCCCGCCTGGCGTACCCACATCTGGAAGAAGGGGCGTGGCGAGAGCAAGGGCAAGAAGCCAAGACGTAAATTCAATTTTAAACAAATCGCTAGGTAAGTACTTACAGCGGTGCTTACCGTTAACGTGGCGACCTTTGCCGCTGTCCCTTTACCATTTACCGTGTACCTTTTACCTCCACCAGGATAACCGTCATTATGATGAGCATGATGATGATGATGAGGTAGAAGATACTCGTATCCCGTGTATCCTGTGTATCCTTGCCCCGTGTAATTGTCCTCGTGTGTTTGTTCGCTGTGCCAGCGTGTCACACGACAGCATCAGCAGGGATTAGCTTTTAAGTAGATTACATGGATTGTGGTTTATTGCTACGGGCTTCCTCCATCTTTTCCGCAGGAGGCTATCAAGTCGCCTGGAAAATTTGGTACATTGCATCATGTTGGTTGTCCTTCTCGGTTATTGTTATTTTAAATGTTATTTGCCGGCTGAGCATAGGTATCCTATGCGTTTTGCGGTTGATTGTTATGCAAATTTGACAGCTTTACTTAAATCAGGGTGATATCTGAGGTATTTAGAAGTCCATTTCTGGTAAACCTATAAATAACAGACTATTAAGGTTATTTTTTGTTGTGGAATTTAAATGCTTAATGGGAGTATTTTTTTTAATTTTCAAAAGTGCCTCTCAGGCATATAAATTTATCTACTTATTTGTTGACTCCCTCATTTTATTGACCCTTATTTAAAACAAAACAAAAAACCCACCTAATACTGTAAATACTTTTAATTACTTCTCTGTTTGATTTAGTTTTTAAAAGCCATTCAAATAAATTATAAATCAACAATTTACACTTTTTCAACAGCCACTTTTTGCCCTCTTATGTCCATTATAAGTGCACAAATGTAAAATAAATTCAATTAATTCAATATCTCCATTGGTCCGTGAACTAATTACTAAACGAAGCAAAAACATTCGTCATTTAATCCATGAATTTCTTTGCATTATTTAACTTCAGCATGTTCTATGAAGCGTTTTATCCTTACACCCTTTATGCGTCAATCAATTAATGGAAACAACAAATAAACCACTGCGGTGGCATTCGACAAATAAAATCAATTACACAATTACCGAAAAAAAAAATTAAATTAAAATATATCAAATTTTGTGCAAATTGCTGTTTAATAAAGCGTGAAAAATGATGATGATTATTTAACGACCGCACTTTAAATCGTTACATATTAATGGTGTGTTGGCCACGTTGGCATATTTTTCTGGCTAATTAATTTTAATTCAGTGCAATCCGTCTGTCCGGCGCAGCCCAGTCCGGTCTTATTGCCAACCTCATCGGCTCAACAAGTAACTGCAAAATGCCAGCCAGAAATTCATTAAAAAGTTATCAATTAAAATAAGTTGCAAATTGCAAAAGTATGTACAAGTAGAACGTGTTTCCATTAAATCAAGCTCTTTCGAGTGTGAAACTTTTTATCAATGGTTGAGCGATGAAGCCACTGAAAAATCATATGTATTTTTGTATTTAAATCCGAGGGTATACATATACATTACACATATATCCGCGCTGTCCTGACAGGCTGTAGACATAATTAAGTTTAATTGTTTCAGCACGCGTCGCGCCTCTTAGCTCTCTGATGAGATGAAATGGAATTAAATCATCGCTGACATCGACAACTTTATGAAAATGAAATTATATTCATGCTCGCACAAAAGTGTGCAGCGTAATGCGTATATGGATGGATGGGTGGATGGTATATGGAGGAACTGGGGCAGGGACAGGGAGCAAGTGGAGGTGCTACAAAGTGGAGAAGTGCCAGACATATTGAATTACATTTAAACTGCCTATAAGCATCCATTTGCTCTCTTATCCCAAAAAAAGAAGTAGTTCCATGTCAGGAGCAGGCGCAGAGGAAAGAACACAATGCTATATGGAGACAAAAATAGTACGAATGTTAAAGTCCTTGGAGATATGAACTTTTAGATACCCTGTACTTGTCCTTAAATGGTCTATAAATCTAGAAAGTAGTGACTAATGCATCTTCAATATTTTTAAAATTTAATAGTCCTCAATCTAAGAATCATTTATACCCTTGTAAGCCCCTTAAATAGAGTACAAAATCTTGACTATGAAATTGCAGAGGGAGTACTACGATGTCTGGCATTGAAGCAACAGAAAGCTTTTCTTTTCTTATCCATTTTTTTGTATTTTTTTCTGCATTGCCACCTTTTTGTTTAACCATTGCTTGACTCAATCCATAAAATTTTATGCTGTACTGGTTTAAATAATGAAACAAGAAACGAGAATACCAAAGGAGAGCAGCCATAGCCAGAACCATTGGGTGCAATGCCCATTTCTTGCAATAAAACTCTTCTGCTCCCGTTTTGGTTATTGACTAACCATGTGTGCGAGTCCTTAAAGGAATATGTATGCTCTAGTTGTAGACAATTTTCCAATTACATGTTGTGTCAATCAAAGTGGCTATATCAGCCACCGTCTGTTATATATAAATATATGGTATATATGTATGTGGCCTTACCCCTGACACAAGGGCTTACAAGTCTAATGATAATGGTCTGGCTGCTGTTGCTGACGCAGCTTTAAGTGTTTTCACCATTTTGGCCAGAAACCATTCCCAGCCGGCCTAAACATTTTTCTCACTTTGTTGCAGGGCTGTGAAATTTACATCGAAATTATTTGGACGGGCCTTGTCGAAGCGAATCAAGGCGACGGTGTTGTATGCGACAGAAACTGGAAAATCCGAGCAATATGCAAAGCAATTATGTGAACTTCTAGGACATGCATTCAATGCACAGGTGAGCTTAAACCAGTCTTAATTATTAGTAAAACAAACAAGCATCTAAACTTTAAATTACATAGATATTAAGACACTTTAAGAATAAGCCCTACACATTCATTTTCAAATTTGTTGATATTAAGCCAACCACAAAAAATGGGTCTCTGTCCCAGGAACTAAGCATATTTCATACTGGCCAATATTATCCCTAATTTGACATTATAAAACGTTTTAACCTACTTCTAAAATTAGCCCCATTTCGGGGTTCTCTGCCCTTAACCTGCGACCTTATTAGGCCAATGTGCAAAAGGCCAACGCCACATGAGACAAATTAGCATAAAACCGAAATTTACTTTTTACATTTTTTGTGGCAGCTTAGTGTCCAGTCCGTTCAGTTGGGTCCAGAACCTCTTACCACTTAGGTCCTTGTCATGTGAGTGTGTGTTTAAAAAGCATCTGCCGTCTGCCTGGCAATATAAGATAAGCTGCAAACACCTGCGACAAACTACAAGATACATTGAAGTAGGCCAGAACTCATTAGGCCTTGTCTGGGGGTTTTTAGGATGCGTGGGCCAAGTATCTAATGACCACAAAAGTGTTTGGCCCAGCTAAACAGAAAAAAAAGGAGAAGGAAATTACAAATACGCACTAGTAAAGCGGTAAATTGTTTATTCATTTAGATATATTGCATGTCCGACTACGATATATCCTCCATTGAGCACGAGGCATTGTTAATTGTTGTGGCCTCTACCTTTGGCAACGGAGATCCCCCCGAAAATGGCGAGGTAAGTTCCCCAGATCATATCAAACTAATTAATGGATTAGGTCGAGCCGCCTCCTAACGACTCTTAATGAAATGCGAACTTTAACTTTTCCTTCGTTACCTTTCGTTTCGTGCCTCTCAGCAATTTTCGCAGGAGTTGTATGCGATGCGTGTCCAGGAGTCTGGAGAGCATGGATTGCAGGACTCCAGGTGAGTCAATAAATTCACCTTTCTTCTCCCTATTCCATTGCCTCGTCTTTGCATAAATTTCATATAAATCAATTTTTTTTTGTATGCGGTTACTTCGATGTAGCGAAGCAGCAAGGATAATAAATATTGCTGGAAAAGGGCGGCCCGTAACTGAATTGCTTTTTAAGCAAGTTTTCTTTCATTTTGAGTTTCGAGCTTATGCAAATGACGGCGATGTCAGTGGTCAGGTTCAGTTTTTATTGTATATTTCAGGCGGCACTAAACGAGATTTTAATCCCATGTCCTTGGTTTGGGTTACGGATTAATTAGTTTTTTATAGAAAGGAAATCATTTCCAAGGAATTCAATTTCCCCTACCAAAAATGGATATGCAGATAAAGAAAAAGTGGCGAGAAATAAATAAAAATTAAAATATCTAAAACTAATATAAAAATCTAGACGTTTCTTTTGAAGCCTAAATATTTTTTATTCATTATTCTATTTATTTTTTAAGAATAATATGTAAGGTCCTTTTTTTATTTTCCCAAAGAAAGAATTTTCTTGCATGATATGACAAGACTTTTATTAAATTGAGGTCCCTGTATTTTCCATCAGATTTCCGAGTATCCTGGCCTCCCTGCCATTACTGACACATATTTGGCATTTTTGTTTTATTAATTGGCTGCTTTTTGTTGCTCCACATATTCAGCTGCTGTCGTATGCGTGCCAAGAGCTTTAAAATTACAAACGAACACATATCCTGGCAGACACACACCCACACTGACAAACAGAAAAGGATAAGGACACGCACTTAAGTGCGTGCCGCTTGAGAGAGCAGACAAATCCGCGCAATTTCCCTTCTCCTCCTGCCACTCCAACAAAAACAACATTGACGGGGAAAAAAAAACAATAACAATAATTTTGTTATTTCGATATTTTCCCTCACGTATGTCTGTGGAGGGTTTTTATGATGTAAAGGGGATTTCCGCTTGACAACTTTGACAACTTGGGGCACACACAAGGCCCCCGATGCCCACATTCCCGCCTTCGCGTCTAAATTTATATCTAAACAAGCTGGGAGCTCCCAGCCTGTTGAAAATTAAATTGAAAATTCATATGGAGGACTCAGGAGGTCCTGAATCAGCCAAAATACTCCCTTCCCCCGCGTACGGAAGCCAATTCAATAACATATTATGAAAGTCAGGCTGTAAACAAAAAAAAAACAGGAAGAACAACAAAAATTGTCCTGCGGCTGGTTTTGCGATAAAGCCGGATGCTTTAATTGAAAAATAATGGTGGAGTCTCTGATCTGACATAATTGAGCGTGTTTATTGTTGTGTGTTTATTAATTTGTATTTATTATAATCATCAGCCGGGATGTGGAGGACTCTCCTTGCGCCCTTTTATTTTGGCTGTTGTTGAAACCAATTAATTTGATTTATTGGCGCTTTTATACAATCCCTATTGTGTATCGCTGCTAAGACAGAAATTTCAAAGAAGTGGAACTAAAGTCTCGTTAATTGGCCTTTTGCCGAGCATTATGATTAATTGATAAACAAATGTTGGACAAAGAGTGTGAATCCTTTGCGAGGCTGATTTATTCTCTGTCCAATTATTTTTCAACATTTAAGGCACTTTCTTTAATGAGAGCTTTTTGCTTAGCAAGCACTAAAGAAATTGAAACTCTGCCTTTCGGCTTCTCGGCTTGTCCCACGCTGCGTATGAGCAATTTAAACAGTCAAGCTGTTGAGCTCGATGCTGGAAGAAATCGCTTCGGGGAGGCCATCATCATCATGTGAGCTCGGCATCTGAAGGTTCTTCTTATTTTCTTCGTATATTTATTTTTTTTTTTTTTGCTGTTTAGTCGCTCGAGTGAGCTGCTCGGCTTGTGTATTTGTTTTTTGGCCATTTTCCCGGGGCATTTCGTCGCTTCGGAAATTGCTTGGGCTGTTAATTGATTTAATTTTAAAGCCGGAAAGTTGCCAACTGGCTGGCTTGTCGAAATTGAAACTTTTATAATAGTCTCTTAATAGTTTCGGAATAGTTTAACTGCTCAAATTCGATTTTTGCTTGCGATTTTTGTGGGTGGATGGGTCGCCCAGATTGCAAATTTATTTTACCGGGTACTCTGGGGTATAATGATTTCTAGCGAATGCATGTAACAGGTTAGGTTTTCTATATGAGGCTGCTAAGAATAAGTTCTTCTTTAAATGAAAAGAAAAACAAGAGGAATCTATAGATGTACCGAGTATCTTAGAGTTTATTGCTTCTTTTGGCAGCGAATCACATTCGCCCACGCATCGTACAGCTAAGTATCCTGGCCTTGTCCTGTTTTGAGTCAACGACTGTCAGCTCAAGCTCACTTAATTGCAGTCTATTATGCCATCAACGCCTCTGAGTGTGCTTTTAAGTGTCGTCTGTGACAGAGGTGTGGGCGTTTGCCTTTGCTTTTGCCACTGAGTAGGTGTGTGTTTGTGTTTTTATGTGCCAGCAGCACCTGACATCCGCATCCTGTTGTCTGTAAACTGCAAGTGCACGGAATGGGGCACTTATCCTGCCTTAGACGTCATCATCATCATCATCATGGCGGTGTACGTATTTTCTATAAAACTTTTCACATGACGATGCCACCTATCAGCTCGCAATTACTTCACTTTGCATAATGAGCCAAGCCAAACACTCGAATAAAAACTCGAATGGATGTACAAAATCCTTTATGTCTCTGTTTTAACAGCTTTTCAAGTGCGCAAAAATAATTACAAGTACAAGTTGTTTGCCAAGGGCCACTTGTCTAAAGAGCTGTCAGGACAACAAAAAGGGGCCAAAAAAATGGTAGTACAACCATTTAGGCAGCTCGAAAAATTTATGATACGAAAAAAGTACACTGGAAATGGACTTGAAAATTGACTAATATTAACTAAGTTATTTTTTAAATAAACTCTAATATATGAGTATATTTCCAAAATCATTAAAATATTTTATTATTGAATTAAAGTTTGAATGAAGATCAGTCAGTAAGAGTACAAGGTCTTTGTATTAAAGATTGTAACTCAAGGTGCTTAAATGATTTTAAATAAAATTCTTAAATTAAAAAAACAATATGTTATATGAAATTTTTAGTATTTTATATTTAAGCATTCATTTAAGTTATTTCTTGTAGTGCTAATGCCGCGAAAGTAGCCAATTCTCGGTGCAGCTTGGCAGCATTTTAATTATGCTGCTGCCCAGGATTTGCACCGTCTGGCCCTTCGTCCCTGGCCACCTGTTTTGTAGTTTCGCTCTGCCACCTGCCACCTCCACCTGCCTCTACCTACCTCCCCTCCCTCCCCTCTCCCCTCCTAATTTCAGCACACCTTTTGGCAGTACAACTGTAAATTACAGCACTCTTTTCACGCAATGCTGCACTTTGGGATTTCGCCAGCTCGGTGTAGAAACGCGATGCTTTCAGCCGGATTGTCAGTCTGTTTGTGTTTCTTGGCTTGTTTTCGCTTTAAGGAGCGTGTGATTAAGCTGATAAGCGCCACTCAGCTTACAACTTGGCCAAGACGAGAGCTGATGAGTTGTTTTTGTCATGATGAATTGCAATAAGTCCTCCGATGAGAGTTGGAATGGGATTATAGTTACTTACAATTACAAAGGGATTGTTGAGGTTTCCATGAGAAAGCAATATTCATTTCTTGGCTTAAAGTAAATTATTAGAATTTAAAAATATTAGTGCTTTTTTAATAAACTCTTCTAGAAAAACCCTTGACTTATAACCCATAGTAACGAATTACGAAAATTTTGCCAAACACCACACTGGTACTGTCAATTGTAGCGATGTTGGTCACCGCGTCTCCCTCGAAGGTGTTCGAATGTAAACCAAAATATGAATGTCCAAGGACCCACGCGTAGCCAGAAGGGAAGCCAGCCCTTGTACATGGCCATGATACCTTCCTCCCTTATCAAACGCATAAAGCACTGCCGACCGTTCTTGAAGTGAAGACCCCGGCCACGCTTGTCTCTTGGCTGGAACATCACCCGTGACCGGACCACGTCAGGCGGATTACTTAGCACAACTACCGCTATACCGGACAACAAGGCGGCTACAAAGTGGATACCCCGGTTATCCGGAATCCCGAGTACCTTGATAAGCGATCGCTTGAAGAAATCGTAGGTCCCAACATCGGCTTATACGATTATTGAAAAGAAAACAAATGTTAAATGCAGAAACCATTTAGAAAGCGTGGAGAAGCTCACCCAAAGTGTGCAGTGCTCCGCGCCAGGTGGTGGGCCCAACACCACCCCACAGACCATAAAATCCGTTCCTTCGTACAGTGGAGGTCAGGCCGTGAATGACATTGTTGATCCGCGGAGGAAGACCGGCCGCCCGCCGCTTGGCTTCCATCTGCATCCGGATCTTGAACAGCTCGGTGGGCACGGTAAGGAGATTGGCGCCCCCGCCAGCCATGACGGCGCAGAAGCAGGAGTTAAAGTAGGAGATTTGGAACTTGTTGTCCTTGGTACGCGTCCTCAGATTCTTGCTGAGTGCGTCGTATATGATGAATTTTGTCCCACCAAAGAATATCTGTCTCACCAACTGAGCAGACAGTCCGGCGTATAGTTTCATCACGCCCTCCTCCAGGATGACGCCCTTGGCGGTCGCCCAAGCGTTCCTGTACGTATAGCCCACACCATGTCGATCGGGAAAATATCCCTGTATATGCATCCGGGTCTTCACCAAATCCAACGGATAGGTCGCCAGTTCAGCACTGCTGCCGCAAATAAACGAGGTCATATAGATCTCCAAATAGGAGTTGTTTCTGTCGCGGTCTCGCAGAAGCTTCGGCGGAAAGAACTCGCCTTCTGGATCTGTGCCTCGCAAACCCGTGAGCCGGGCCATCTCTTCTCGTCCGATAGACTATACCTATGACTTTTAATTTTCGTCAAATTTTTACGAAAATTATTTTCAACATTTTGGAATTAATGTAAAAATTAATGAGCATACCTGATTTGACAGAAGGGGACATTTTCGAATAGGCAAATTATAGCAGAACTTTAAAGTTAAATTAAAAGATGACTATTTTCTCAAAAATGATAACCATCTTTTTATTATTCAGCCCCTTGAGTAAAAATTTAATATTCTTTCTCCGCAAGCATTGTTCTCCCTACTAGAATAGTGGTCTTATCCTTTTTGTAATCCCTGCCCCCTGTCGGCTCCATTGGTAGCTGTTAACAAGCTCTTACAACTTGTAAGCCACTGGTGATGGGTCTTTGGCCCACCGCCCGGGGCAACAGGTTTTTACGAGCCCCGCCAAAGCCGTAAACTTTGACCCAAAGCCAAGTTGAGCAGCAGGAGCTCAAATAGTTTTAAACGCGCTCTGCCATCGTGATGGCCCCGAGATCGGGCCATGGCCAGCTGCAGTTGGCATCTCTCTGCCCGAAAGGGGATTCTTTTTTTTTCAGTTTTTCTGGATGGTTTCCTTAAAAACTGCCAGTGTTCATTGTTGAATCATCGCTCAGCGGATAGGATGAGGGGGAGAACTGCAGTTGCAGGGGCGTACTATACTCATATACGGATATATATAAGGATATACATTTTAAGGCATATGTATATCCTCACTGACGAGCTGCTGACGAGCAGATGATTACGTTTTTTTAGTGAATTTCCCTCAAACACACACACACATACTTTGAAAACAGAATACAATTCTTGTCCTTTATTTTTGGAACATTTTTTGTAAGTATTTTTTTTCTTGCAACATCTCAATGACAAGCGTAATAAATGCTTTGCTGTCAGCCTCTTTTTCTTTCCTTTTATTGTTGCCTCCTTTGGCGTGTTTTGTTCATTGTTTAGTTCCTGTACAGCCGCCCTTGACCACGCCCCTTGCTTTTTTCTGCTGGGCTCAGATCCTTTGTGAAATATGAATCAGTGGGCAGCACAGGAGGGGGTGCGGTTGGGAGGGGTCATCGCAACAAGCCCCATTTTAATTTGAGTGTTCTGGGACTGTTTTTTTACACGGAGGCATTTCGCTGCATACTTTCAGGCTGTCAAAGAATTTTTCTTCAAAACTCTGTCTTTTCTGGTTTTCTTTTTCCCAAAAAAAAAAAAACACAAAAATAGCATTGGCGTGTCCTCTTCGAAATCCTTCATGAAGGCCAGCTCACGACAGGAGTTCATGAAGCTGCCACTGCAACAGGTGAAGAAGATCGACCGCTGGGACTCGCTGCGGGGCTCCACCTCCGACACCTTTACCGAGGAGACCTTCGGCCCCCTGTCCAATGTCAGGTTTGCGGTCTTCGCCCTGGGCTCCTCGGCCTATCCGAATTTCTGCGCCTTTGGCCAGTATGTGGACAACATCCTGGGCGAGCTGGGTGGCGAGCGACTGCTGAGGGTGGCCTACGGCGACGAGATGTGCGGCCAGGAGCAGTCATTCCGGAAATGGGCGCCCGAGGTTTTCAAGGTGAGTTCAGTTAAGCAGAAAGACACTTGCGTGGGAATTTCTTGCGAAATCAAAGCCTAGCAAAGTAAAAAAATGTGCAGTATTTCGAGTTGATGATGGCATGCAGCCAACAGTGCGTATACGCAACGTGGGCTAGGCTAACCTACGTAGAGGAACCTTAAAATTTGTTGGTCAAGATGCACTTGAATGTTATCTCAAAAAAATTAATTTAATTTTTAAACGTTGCCAAAATTAGTTTAAAAATTGTTGTTAAGAACTGTTAAGTAGATAAATCAAAAATCACGAAGAAAAGTAAATATTACGTATACGCCACCCTAGTAATAATTTAAAATAACGATAATATAACCTCTTTTTTGATAAATAAATTTATTTAAAATAAAATTTCTTTAGCTTGCTTGTGAAACATTCTGCCTGGATCCCGAGGAGAGTCTTACGGATGCCTCCCTGGCGCTGCAAAACGATTCCCTGACCGTAAACACAGTACGACTGGTGCCATCTGTGAACAAGGGCACCCTGGACAGCAGTCTGTCCAAGTACCACAACAAGAAGGTTCACTGTTGCAAGATCAAGACGCAGCCTCATAACCTGACCAGGCTGAGTGAGGGAGCCAAGACAACGATGCTACTGGAGATCTGTGCTCCTGGCTTGGACTACGAACCGGGTGATCATGTGGGCATCTTTCCCGCCAACCGGGCTGAATTGGTCAATGGACTGCTGGAGCGTCTGGTGGGTGTTGAGAATCCCGACGAGGTACTGCAGCTACAGCTGTTGAAGGAGAAGCAGACCTCGAATGGGATATTCAAGTGCTGGGAGCCACATGACAAAATTCCGCCAGATACTTTAAGGATTTTGCTTTCCCGATTCTTTGATCTGACCACTCCGCCATCCCGACAACTGCTGACCCTCCTATCGGGATTCTGTGACGACGTGGCGGACAAAGAGCGACTGGAGCTGCTCGTGAATGACTCCTCTGCATATGAGGACTGGCGGCACTGGCGCCTGCCCCACCTGCTTGATGTCCTGGAGGAGTTCCCCTCCTGCCGACCACCAGCCCCGCTACTCCTGGCCCAACTGACGCCGCTGCAGCCGCGCTTCTACTCGATCTCCTCGTCCCCTCGCCGGGTGAGCGACGAGATCCACCTGACAGTGGCCATCGTGAAGTATCGATGCGAGGACGGAGAGGGCGATGAGCGGTACGGCGTCTGCTCCAACTACCTGTCGGGCCTCCGGGCAGACGATGAACTCTTCATGTTCGTGCGCAGTGCCCTGGGCTTCCACCTGCCCAGCGACCGAAGTAGCCCCATCATCCTTATTGGCCCTGGCACTGGAATTGCTCCCTTCCGATCCTTTTGGCAGGAGTTTCAGGTTCTTCGGGAATTAGATCCTGTATTGCCGTTGCCCAAAATGTGGCTCTTCTTTGGCTGTCGGAATCGGGATGTGGACTTGTATGCCGAGGAGAAGGCGCTGCTAGAGAATGAGAAGATCCTAGATCGAGTTTTCCTGGCTCTGTCCCGCGAGCAGGCCATTCCAAAGGTGAGCTTTAACATGGAACCGATTTATCACAGACTTTTTCAAACTAAAACAAACGATTTGTATTTCCATTTGGCTTTGTGCATTTCAGACATATGTGCAGGACCTGATTGAGCAGGAATTTGATTCGTTGTACCAATTGATTGTCCAGGAGAAAGGACACATCTACGTCTGCGGCGATGTCACAATGGCCGAGCATGTGTACCAGACCATCAGGTGGGGTTTGCTTTTCTTTCAGTTTGATTGCCTTTGTGTATTTGCTGCTCTTTTCCCCGACTCTGCCCTGCCAGTCTCCTCCGGTGACCTCTGGCACACAGCTGGGAGTTTTCTGTTTTCTAATGCTTTGCGGTCAGCTATTTTGCCATCGTTTGGCTTTTATATTTTGCTCCACTCGGTGCCGTACTTTTTCAAAGCTCCTGATTAAGTGCCTTATTGTGAAATACGGGCTTTCTCTATCCCAGCACACACAGGATATTGCATAATGGCGCTGTCCTTGAGGGAGGATTTCAATCCGGGTGGTCATATTGCCGAGACTAATCTTAAGCGGTTTATTTTAATTGAAACCTGGGCAGATAATGCGGCCTGTGCCTCATCTGTTGCTTTTGCTAATTAGAGGTAATTTCTTATGAATCATATTCGGTTTTCGGATAATTACAAGGACATTAAATCGTAATAAAGCATCAAGCATATCCTTAGGGTTACTTATATCTTTCAGATTCTTCTTCCACTTTGTTAGCTTGTTAAAGTCAGCCCCAATCCCCATAATAACCCCGAGCGAATAAATAAACAGTTTTTCACAGCTTTTCTGCATTTTGCCAACACACTTGATTCTCTATATATTCATTTTTCTTTTGGCAGGAAGTGCATTGCCGGCAAGGAGCAGAAAACCGAGGCGGAAGTCGAGACATTTTTGCTCACACTGCGGGTAAGTATCCTTGGCGGGATAAAGTAGGACTTTGGTTATAAATACCGATAGTAATGCATTTCCACCCACATGGCGTATGAGTCACTTTTTTTTTGTGTTCTGGCCATCATAAAAATAGTCTAGTTTTGAACAATGTATGTAATATGAGGGGAAACATTTGATGGCTACAATTCTACAATGTGTCTCTATGTGCTCTATGTATTCTTGCAGGACGAGAGTCGTTACCACGAGGACATCTTTGGCATCACACTGAGAACGGCCGAGATACACACCAAGTCGAGGGCCACGGCCAGGATCCGCATGGCCTCGCAGCCATAATGGCTTCAACGCACTAATCAAAATATTAAAGATGATATTTTTAAATAACTGACGAATACCAAATACATTTAACTTTTATTTCTTTCACACTTAAAAGCAATTAAATATTATCGCTTTGTTCATTACTTATACATATAAATAACATTTAAAAGATATTACATTTTATTATTGATTCTCCTGTACAAATCAAATCAGAAATCAAAAAATTCTAAGTGTTGAATATATTTCAAATAAACGAATTCCAAAAAAGAAACATAAACAGTGGATTAGTCAAATGGCATTTCCAATTCTGGCATTTCCAGCAATGGCCGTGGGGCTAAGCGGCTTAAACCGTCTGAAAGGAAAGTGGAATGCGGGCCAATTGATTTCTCTTGGCAAATTGTGCAGAAAATGCAATTTATAAAATAAATACTCATTTCCCTTTTTTTTTGTCTGCCGACGAGTTCTCTACCGCGAAAGGGAATAATATCAGATTGACAATGCCAAGCTTATATATATTTTTTACCTTCCGTGCTTTTGAGTTTACAGTGGTACCTTTCGTAATTTGTATAATATTCTGAAGTGGATATTTTGTCATCAGTCTTATATATGATTCATAGGAAATGGTTACCTTTCTGTAGATAAAAACCATAATATTTGTTTTGGTAAACATTCTCGTTTTCAATCAATTAGAGTATATACTTTGTTATCTGGTGCCCCTGTGCATCCCAAGCTTCCGAAGATTTTGAGATACGGAGCTGTGGCTGCGGCTGCGCCAACATTCCGGTGGCTGTCTGCGGTTTCCAAGCGTTAACAGATTTGTAGTAGGTAGTACTACTACCTTGTGCGAAATTCTAAACATCTAGATTCTAGATACAAAAGGGGTTCACCGCTAACCGACCAGCCCACCAATCCACCAACCCACCATCCCGCCTCTTGGAGTATCCGATTTCAATGCTGAAATTGAATTGTGAGCTCTCGCTTGGCTTCTGTTTTATTTGTTTTTTTCGCCACCGACTGCCGGGGTATTTACCATATGAATGAAAACGTTTCCTTTAGAAAAATATTTAACTTTTCCCATTTGTTCAAACGGGGAAAACTTTTTGCTCATTCCTTTAACTAGGTTTTTCCTGATACCATAATGTTCTCAAAGACAAATTGAAATTTTTAGCGGGAAATGGATGTTGTTTTTTTAAGCTTTTTTCAGCGGAAATTTCTATGACCGTGAGTGGTCGCGGTTTGACTTCTGATTGACATTTTTCACTGTATATTTTTTACGTTTTTTGTATTAAGACAGAGCACGCGTATCTCTTTCAATCAGCTCGGTCCGTTCTCATATTTCTGGCTTTGACACATGTCATTGGCAGAGACACAGGAAACTGAAAGATATTGCATAGGAAATTGAAATCAAAAGGCTTAATAGAGAGGCCTCATGGGGAGGTGAAATTTTTGAGTTTATCCAATTTTTCCAAGCATGGCATTAATTGTATCTATTGGATAATATTTTAAAAAAGTATACATTTTCATCAGGCAGGCGAAATTGAACACGATTTCTACAAATCACTGAACTTTTGCTGCCTTGCCAAATTTTTGCCAATTCGGTGGAAATTGATAAAGTCGCGTGGCCCAAAAATTAAAACATTGCACTTTGCATTGATTTCTGATGAAATTTAGAACGACTATGATGATTAGCAAGGTAAGTGGACATGCTGACTCTATAATAAAAAAAACCTGGGATTGTAAAACTCTGCAGAAATTGTCGTAAACCGATGTCAATGGCTTATTGGGGGTTTTCGACACTTAAAATGAAATCACCTGATCATTTTTTTTGTTTACCCAGAACCGTGAGTCAGCAGCTAAGGGTCTTCAGTTAATTGTGCGGGATAAGCCCCGATTAACAGCTGGAATGCAGTTCTCTTGACCAACTTGGAATGCCTGCGGCAGAAGAGGGATTTAACTTCACCTTCAAGGCATTGGCACGCGCCTCTGTTTCCAAAATGTTAACCGGCTTTTGCTCTGGTTAACAAATACACAGAAACACACTAACACACTAACAGCCCGGCATTCCCCAATTCCCAATTAATCAACCGACTTTCAACGCCAACATCGCCGGGGCAACCTCAGAGAGGCAACAACAACCGGCACGCCGGGCCGCTTAGATAGCCCAGGTCCCACCGACATTCCTGACATAATTTTGTGTGTGAGTAAGCAAACGAGTTCGGGAAAAAATTAGACGTCATCAGTCAGAAAACAGCATCTAGCATCCAGCATCCAGCAGCCGTTGGCAACACAGATGGGGGGCTCACACAATATGGTCAATAAAAGCCCGAAAAGGCGCAAAGCGGCAACCAAGCGGGGAAATTGGAATTTCTCACATTTTGTCTACGGAAGCAGGCTCTTTTTGTGAAAGCCAGTATTTGCTTAGGATATTCTAATTATATTAAGCTATGCCTAAAACGTATTTATGATTAATAAATTATCATAAAAATGTTGCTGCTTTCCAGCGGTAGCAACATGTTGCGAATAAATCAGCAACAATTTAAAATACGCTGCCTGATATCTTGGGCTGGAAAGATGGCTTAAAGCCAGTAATGAGCCAGAATCAAAAGCAAAATAAAGCTAAATATATTCCGACAGTTATTATTATGTATTATGTATTTTCATTGAAATTGAGATTATTAAAGATTCTGAAATTCTGAAGATAATAAATTAATAATTTATAATTATTATTATGTTAATATTATAATACTTTAAAATATATATATATTTAAGTATTCTTCTTGAACAAAAATTGACACCTGTATTAACTAATTAACATTTTTACACTATAGTTTATTAAAAATAGATATAAGATAGATAGAATAGATAAACCTTTTTAAACAATACTTTACGCAAAAAAAAAAAAGGTGTACATAGCTAAAAAAATACTAATGTTTATTTAATTTAAAATTTAACTTTATTCTTCTTTCTAACTATCCCTTTTATTTACTATCTTATCTAGCCCTAAAATATATATTACGCAGCTCTAAGCTAGCCACAAAATGGCCGACCGGCCATCACTGCTCAAGCCTAACATTGCGACTTGAACTTTCCGCCGTACGAAGCCGAAGCGTGCATGCAATGCGGCTGTATGTGTGAGAGAGGTAAGCTTGGTAACCGACAACAACAACAAAAACAACAACAACAATATCAGCAACAATAATAACAACAATAACAACAAACATCGCGACTCTGCTGGTGTCGATTTTTTTGTCGGACCGCGCTTCGTTTATTTTAGTTAGTAACGAGATTTCGAGCGCTCAACGTTGACGTCGCGGTTGAAAATCATCTAAGCGCCCTGGGTGAATATCGAAGAAAAAAAAATTATAAGCTTGCCACAGTGCGTATTCCCTATGCTGGCCCGAGAGTGGCTCGAGTGTGGCTCAGAGTGTGTGTGATTGTGTGCTGGCGCAGACATGAAGTGAATAAGAAATTGGAAAAGCACTAAAACATAACATATACATATTTGAAAAAAAAGCGAAAAAAAATCAAGAAAAAATAAAAATAAAATCCAAATATAAAAAAAACGCAAAAGAAACGTGGGTAAGGCCAAAAGCGAAGCAAAAAAAAAACCACGGCTAAATAGCAGCAACGGATCGTCGATAATCAGAAAATATTTCTTTAAGCCCACTGCGCGCCATCCAAACCAAAAAGCGCGAAATAACAAAAATTTTTCTTTTCGGCTTGTTTCGGCTACAAAATGTAAGTTTTGTATGTTGGTGGGGGTGTTTGTTGGTTACAACCAACCAAAAAAAAAAAACTAGGAGACACTTATAACAAATTACGATAACAACAAGACTGATGGCCAAGTTGTTGATTGTCGGTTGCCAAGAGTGAAATTATTGAACAAGAAATGTTTCGCCTAGCGATGGCTAGGAAAGAATTGCGCCAAAATATGACTCTTAAACTTTAGCTTTTATCAGACATCAGACATAACTATAAAAAGTATGCATGTTTTTAAGTGTCGAGATCTTGAACTGATCAGCTTTCCTTGGAATACTCGAAATCTGTTTACTAACAGTTCTTTTGAAGTGAATGAAGCTGTTCGAACACCACTACTTCTGGTTAATTCCGATTTAAAAGGTGTTCAAGTGTTGTCTTTGCTTAATAAACACAGTTCAGTTACCTGTTTGGTATTTTTTACGGAACACTTGACAACGCTCTTCAACTACATATTTTTTTTTTTAAATTTGTGTATTTCTTTTTTTATATTCGCTTTTAAAAAATAATAATAATTCAGTAACTAAGTGCTGATTTTAACGATTACAGGTGTTTGAAATCAATTTAAAATTTATGAGAGACTTTGTTTATGAGACTATGAAGCTGCAGTTGCCATTGTGGGCCATATGAAATACATAATAATACACTATGCAGGCTTGTTGGCAGCCCAGACCTTACAAGGTTCATTGCTACTTGTCACAATTTTTTCGAAAAAGCCGACTGCCACCAAGTGCCGCCTGCCGTTTGGCCGTTTCATGTAGGCTTGTTGTATAGATAATAAACATTAAGCTTAATGGCATTGTTGCTGGGCTATCCGGCAACAAAATACAACAACTAAATCAACAATAAACAAATGGCATGCCACGCGTGTCTACCTTTTTAGCCATGGCTTGTGAACTTTTCTTGTGGGTTTTTCTCGTTTTTTTTTTTTTTTGGACAGCTTCTATAGCGTGTTAATTCCAGACGACAGCCACAGTATTGTATTGAAATCTTTTTCCTCAATACAATTTTTGGCACATTCATCCGCTGTTTGCTTTTCGGGGATTCTTTGCAAATTAAGCGTCGGATTTAAGAGTCGATTCTCGACAGAAAAAAAAACACAGTTTTCGCAGCTCGTCAGGCGCCGTAAATAAATTTGTTTATTATGGCTAACAATTAGTTGATTTAAATTATTAACTTTGGCGTACTAATGCCCGCGGTTCAAGGCCAAGGATGGATGGCCAATTTAAATGAATTGTGTGATGGCTTGACTTGAGTACAAAAATAAATATAAATCATACATCTAAATGCAGGCAAAATCTTTTGTCCGACCGCGTAGGGGCAAGCTGGAATTATTATAGAATAATTTCTGTTACGTGAGATTAAGCAATATGCTCCGACAATGATAGTTCGACGATGTTTTGTTCTGAATTTTCTCTTTAGAACAGATATATGCCATTCACGTGTTCACAAGCACCTTGTTAAATTCTTTAGAACACAAGTATGATCTACCTAGAGCTATTTCCGATATCCTTATTAAATCATTATGAAGAGACCCCTTTTAATAATGATTGGAATATGTTATTAGCAACTTCCTGCATGGCAAAGTGCGCTTCTGCCATCGCAAATAGCAAAAAGTCAAGTAAACAAAAAAAAAATTGAAAAATAAATAACCGTGACTGCTATAAATATACTTCATTCATAGGCAAATATTAAAAGGCAGGCAAGCCAAACAAATCAAACATGGCTTGCAAAACGGCCAAGACAATACAAGGCGGCCAAGAAAGAAGTGGCAAAGTGCAAAAAATCATTTAACGCATTTCAAAAAGGCTCATTACCAGCATGTTGGCCAGGGCGGTGGAATGACGGCCGGGGCCCTCCAGCCCCTCTTCTCTAGAAACCTGGCACGTGGACCCATTTAAAGTAGTGCAGACAGACAATAAAACCCAGACCGATGCCAACAAATTCGTACATATCTTCGATATGTCCAAAAAAAAAACCAAAGAAAATATTTGTGAATTTTTTATGAATGAAACGCCAAATGTTTTGAATTTGAATTGCTGCTGGTAGTCGACTACCAACTTTTTGCACACATTGCGTGGCCTGGCTTGGAACATGGCCTGCATGGCTAAGCAATTGAGCATTTTTAAGCCAAAACCTCTTACCGAACCAGTTGAAATAAATAGCTCTGCTGCACTAAGCCGTACGGCTCAGCCCACATGCATAACTTTTTATTAATTGCCCATCTCATAAAAACGTATAAAAAGTGAAAACATAAACTCGTTATGAGCATTTAAGCCCCCCATAAACAAACATAAGTGAGAAATTGATTTAGTCTCCAGTGCATCATACTCGCCAAATGTTAAATAAATTAATTTATTACTTATTGTTTACCAGGAAATGAATTTTTCATTCCAAATGGCCGAATACTATATGTATGCCCAGCTGCCTTAATTTACTTGAAGTTCATACAATTTGGCTTAAACGCAAAAAGTAAAGTACATTTTGGCCCGGCCAGCGGAGAGTCATAAAAACAACTGTTGCCCCAAAAGCAAAATAAATAAATGCAAACTTTTAATGAAACGAAAATAAACAGTCACGATGATAGCGCCCAAAAATGCCCGACTCTATATGCCAATAACTTCAGACAAATTTAATTTATTTATTTATTTGTTTACATTATGGTGCATCACTATGGGTAGGGTAAACATGCAACAATTTACAATAAAGCTTGCAATTAAGCGGAGAACAAAAAGTGGCCCTGACCTAACCAGACCTATTTAGTTTCCGGTCATAACTTAATGCCATTCTGGCTGAATCATCCAGCTGGCTCGTTAAGGCCAATTGACAGGAAAAACCCTTAAAGCAAGTGCAAAAATTCGCAGAAAAACTTTCGGAAGATTCGTCTGAAAACCATGAATATCCAATACCCAATAGTATGAGGGGTACACGTGAACTCCGGCAACAAATTTCACAATTCCATCTAGCCGGGCTTTGTTTATACATTTTTTTTGGCCGAAACCAGTTTCCCAAACCATATTTCTGTTTGCCAAATCGAAAATCATAATAAAAACATCAAAACATTTCATCGTCAAGAAGATGGGTATGCCATGCATTTTATTTTTGGAACTGTGGTGTCGGCTTAGATCATCTTGATATCGAATATCCCATTCTGGCCAAAATATGTGTTTGGCCAATAAAATGCGCAACAATTTACACGGCAAAGTGGCGCCATTTGAACAGCATTGAAAATTCCGCCAAAAATTCAATAAATGGCTACCAGAAGGCTCCACCTTCGTACGTGTTATTTTAATTAATTTTTTTTTTTTCGCTTTTTTTTAGAAACAAAAATATTTAAAATTAAGCTGGGGCCCTAAACAATTGTGAAATTGTTTCGCAGGAATTGTTTTGCGCTAAACATATTCGGGCAATTTATGATTTCCCATTAAGCTAAATGTTCAATTAGCGCTAAGGCGTGATATTTTGGTTAATCAATGTCAGTTGGGGACATAAAATATATGAGAAGATAAAGGCCCAGAAACATGTGCGAATTTATCAGACAGGTGGCGGGGAAAAAGCTCGATGATTCAGGAAGCAAGTGTTAACCTCGTTTTTGGTTAAGACATTTTAGACTGGATGACTAGGCTATTATGCCTTATAGCCTTATACTGACATGAACAAATTAATAAACTATGTAGGTCTTTCAACTACCACTAATAGTTTTGCTCATTTTGTATCGAATATACCAAAGAACCAAAGAATTCTCTTGACAATCATTACTTGCAGTAAACTTTTCCGGCAAAAACTTCAAGCCGAGTTCTGAGTTCAAATTCTCTGCATTGCAAGTTGTTGATTTTCGGTGTTTTTTCTTCTGTTTTTCTTCATTTTTTTGTTACCATAGCATCCACATGTAGGCAAAGTGCCACAAAATTGTTGTAAGTATCTGGGGGGATACAAAATTTATAACAGGGCCGGGGAAAAACTTTCAAGCTGGCCCAAAACAACGCCAACCCTTTGCCAACCGCCCCACCGCTCGACCCCAAATTGTAGTTATAGCAAAACAAGCGTAAACAGAAACCTTTCCTGGTTCATCATGGGTGGGGATGGGACGAATATTCATGCACAATTTGCATTTTGAGCCAGCGACTACAAAGCACCAAAGCGTCAACTACTTTACGTCAAATTTTTGTGTCAAATCAGCGCAAAATTCGGAGGCGTTTAGACAGCCAGCCCCTCTTGCCAGAAGTGAAGGACCCCCCACAGCTCGACTCAGCCGAATTGGCCATCGATTCGGGTCTTTGTCAGTCTTACCAATCTCGGGTTATAGACAGCGAAAATGCAGAGCAAACATTTTAAACTTCTTGTCTTGGTTAGTCCCAGCGTGCTGCTGACAGCGAGATACTTCAGGATAGAGATATTGTCGGTAGATGATAGATAAAGGATATGTTTTGATGATACTATTGGATTGAAGAAATAATATTGTACTTCAATATAGAAATTATTAAGAAATTAGATAGAAATTATATATTAGATGCAAATGCAAGAATAAATGTAAATTAATAGGTCTTGTATTTATTGGACATTTTCCAAAAACAAATCTATTGTATATTCCTTGCTTATAGATTTTATTAACAGTCTGAAAATGTTAGCTTGGAATAGGAATATCAATGGACTTTAAAGTCTTAATACACTAAGAAACTTTATGACCAAATGTTAACCATTTCTAAGACTTCAAAACACATGTCTTCAGAAAAGACATTCATATTTTTGCATATCCTGTTCACAATTTATCCATCCGAGTTGGAAAATAACTTTATCGATTTCATGCTTTGTGTGCATCCATCCAGCCAAGAATAATTCAGGAAACATCCAGTATCCTCTCTGTTCAGTTGCTTTTGAACTGTCAAAATGAAAATTCGCATACGGAAACAACAATAATTGCTGCCATAACACTTGCAATGTGACGTCGATGACAGGCAGCAGCAACAGCAACAAAGTTGCCGCCTTTGCTCGTTTCATTGGCATTGGGTCTCTGGTTGATTTTTGTTTTTAGGTTTTTTCACTTTTTTCTTGTAATATTTTTGTTGGCCGCTTTACAACTTGTAGTGAACATTTTTGTGGCTTGGTCATCAACCCGTTTTGGCCTGGCAACCAGGGAAGTTGTGGAAGAGATTCGAAAATTGTCCCGGTTGCAAGGCAAAATCGCAAAAAAAAAAAAAAAGTATCTGCAATCTGTATCTGTAAATGTATGCCATGGCCCACATTCAGCGGTAATAATTGAATTTCTCGCCTTACGTTTTCACTCCAAGTTCAAGTTGATGGCCAAGGAAAAGTGGCAGTAAAAATCCGTCCAAATTAGATAAACATGTAAATGATTATTGACACAAAAAGGTTGTGGTTGGTTGTGCCGAGGGCCTGAATAAATTCCGAAATCTGAATTCAGAATTCTGAATGTGTAATATGCATATGAATAATAAGAAAAGGACACAACTGGCGATACAAATTGACGTTTTATTTGCCTTTCACCTGATGACAGACGACAGCAGGCCGACAGCCGAGAAAGGACGACCCCAAGGACTCCTTGGAGGCTGGATGTCTGGGGTGGCAAGGTGGGTGTCTGAGCCTGAACCGAAAAAACCTCAACGCATAATGAAGTAATTGACTGAATTTGTCTTTGGCCAACAACGAAAGTTGCCAGCGATGGCCTGAGGCTGGGGATACAGCTTTAAGATAGAAATGTATCTGAATGTATGGCAGTCAGGGGTGGTAGCTACTTCATCGAAGATACAAAGATACGAATACAAAAAGTTCCCTCTGCCGCTTTGACTTTCAAAATGTGAATGCACTTTTGTTGTACGTGACAGGTTTTTGTTGCTCCACTTTTGTTTTTTTTTTTGTTTCGCTTTTTCGCTGAACAGCAGGAAGAAGATACACGTTTGGGTTTATTGACTTTTTGACTCACATTAAATGGGTCTTAAGTTACTGAAAAAGTTTTAATGTCTTGGTTCAGAGGCAGGATCATTGCGAATGCGAATCTAGCAAAAAAGTAAACAAATTATACCATTTAGAATATGGGTCAGTTGGTAAATTAAATTCGTAGCAAATAATTATATTGGCCAATTTATAGCCGAGCTTACACTGTTATCCAATTTTGGCAGGCACATTAAATAAGCGAAAAATATACCCACTTTTTTTTTGGCAATTACCAAAACAAGTCACGTGCTGGAAACAGGGTCGATTATGGTTAATCAAGGGGAGGTTACACAGAAGATAACAACACGGCCAGTATCGACAATTAAAATCGGAAATAGAATAAATAAAACCGAGAGCGTGTGAGGTCATCTGGTGGGTCTGGACTTCCTCCTGATATGTATAACCCTGTAATGACCCTTCAATCAATGTGCGTGTGTTTGGCAGATCGAGGGGGAAATCAATTGCCGCCGGCTGTCAAATTAACATTGCTTACAATCCCATATCTTTTGTTACGAATATGTTTTGTTTTGCCCAAAAGTGTTTCATTGATTATCTGAATTGCTAATGACAGTTGGCCAAATAGAGGGCCAAATACGAAATATAACTAGGTGGAGAGGCCATGGGAAAAGATAGGGTAACCGTGCATGATATTGGTCTCAATTTTTCTAAGATACTAGATATGAAGGTAGTTCTGTGACCACACCTCAGGCCATTTAAATGCAATTAAGTTGCACTATGCGCACTTTTCACAATTATCAACTCCGATCAGGCACCTATATAAGCTTATAATTATTCATGTAAGCGGCCCAGACAGGCTAAGATCGTGCTAAAAATAAAGAAGAATGCATTATAGGACCAAAGCTTGCCATTGCCAGCCACTTAAGGGCAATTTTCGCTTATTATGGCAATAATAGAGGAGAGCCCCAACATGGAGATCTAACATACTGAACGAGTCAGGAATAGAATAGAGCCGGGCATGTGCCCCACTAAAAATAGATGCAACCATTGGCCCATGGCTACAGCCAGATGATGACGATGATGGCCCATAAACGCGGAGCAGAAGCAGCATGCCACTGGGCAGAAGCTGCATGCTGATTGACATAAAAGAGCAAGTGGAGTTATAAAACAAAAATCGAAAAAAAAGCAGAGAGTAGTCCGTGGAAACTGGCAGCAGTTATGCCCAAGAAGATGAATCAACATTCCGAGCGGTCAACGTACCACGTTCTGCTCCTGAAGATTCTTCTGTTGCCCAGGAAGAGGATGATAATGATGTGGTGGTGATGAAGATGCCAGGCTACAGCTTCATAAAGGCAAAGACATCCAGCCAATGGATGCTACCAATGCATTGAAAGAGCCTGCTTAACAAAACGTCAAGGCTATAAAAGAAGTTATCAAATACTCTACAAATACAATTTTTAAAATTGAAAATTTTGGAGTGAATTGAAGCTTTATGACCAGCTTGTTTCAGGAAACAGACTAATATTAATTATTAATATAAGAAAAGGTAAAAAATCGTACTTTAAAACTAAACCACTATAATCCTTTAAAGTTGTAACATGAAAGCTGTCCATCCATTATAGTTACTTCTTATTAGATTCTTAAGTTCTATAATAAATCTTAAGCCAAGTTAAAAAACCCTTTAATAACCAGAATATATTCAGGACAGGGTATTCCTCAAAAAGGGAGCAAAATCAGCAAGAAGGCAAAAATGAGCAAAGATGCCAGAACGTAACATTAAAATAAACGCGCTCAGATAAATCTTCAGGAGGAATAGCAGGGTGTGGTGGAGGTGGTGGCAGGAGCTCCCAAGTTCCCGAGATCCCATCTCTGGATGAATTCATGCAGTTCCCTTCACCAGCCACCAACCAACTCCCCCTGCTGCAGTCCGCCAGCATCGAAAATGCAATCAAATGCGAGTCCCTGGCTGTGTGGCTGTGTGAATACGTGATGTCCAAGAAGGAGCGGCTATGGTGGTCACTTTTGAGGAGGAGAAAGGGCGAAGTCGTTGGGGCATCTGCAAAATGCACGCACATCGCACATCCGTGAAATTCCTGACTCGTCGCTGCCGTTGCCGCTGCCACTTCCAGTGCCTTGTGGCATGTATTTACGTTGACGTTGCAATTACAACTGGGCTGGTGCCCAGATGGGAGGGGATTTCAGGCGGTCTCAGTTAGTCCAAAGCCCTCTCCTTTCTTTGGCTTTCTGTTGGCCATTCTCAGATGAGGACCAAAGTGCACAAAGAAAAAAATATAGGTTTTATGTTAAGTTTTAAGATTTTGTTGCAATTTTATAGGGATTTTCTTGAAGACTATACGTTTTTTAATATTTAGATATACATTACTTTCCAATTGATTTAATTTATGAATATTTTTATGAAATATAGAATATTTTCCCCCATGTAGCCTTTGGTGGACCTTTTCTTCTGTCCACTCGCTGGTGCCTGTTTACTGTGTGATTATTACAAGCAGCGGGGAAAATAACAGGCTTTCGCTTAGATGCCAGCAGGGTTGGCTTCTTTGGCCAACTTCTCCGTCAACTCAGTCAGCTCAGTTAGCCGGGACGAGTCTGTCCCGCCCCGACTGCAAAGTGAGTTACTTAAGAGAGCTTGGCCGGAGGCTTCATTACAGACCAAAGGCCACGTCCTGTAGTGGATGCCCAACACAAAGCTGAAGAGCCCTCTAAGCCCCGTCCTCGACGTCGAGTGAAGTGAAGTGTCCTGGACGAAAAGGCTTTTCAGGCCCAACAAGTGGTTGTTGCCGCATTGTGTATCAATACCGTGGCATCATCATTATGCCCGCCCCTGTTACACCCACCCGCCCAACGATTTGCATCTATCAGAATGCATTTCAGGGGATCAATTTCGAATGTGTCATCGAATTAATTGTGGACCTAATGGGGGGAATGCCAGTTGCCATTACAGCGATTTGAATGTAAATTGAAACAATTTGGGGGCTGGGTTGACTTCAGAACACACGGCTTTATTCGGTTCGGCAGTCACCAGGCCTGCAAACACACACCAATATGCCTCTTCATTGCCGACTTCAAATCGTCACGGGTAACATCGGTAGAGATCGAAGCTATTGGTACCTGATGGGCATGGGCTTGCGCAGGGGAAGACGCTCCAACATTGAGAAGTGCTGTCCGTCCGATTTTCCGTATCGGGTGACCTTGTCGATTCTGTAGGCGGCCGGTCCTGGTCCGGGCTTCTCGAAGCGTTTGCGATCGATCCGGCGGCCAAAGGAGTATTGAGGTCCACGCGCACCAAAGCTGCTAGGTAGCATATAGGCTCCTGGTCCAGGTCCTTTTAAAACACATACCTACAATATCCGCTTTGGACGCTATGGCTTAAAAACTCACCCAAGTTTCCAGGCATTTTATAAAAATATCTATATTAAAAATTACTCTTACGATTTGATATATTTATGTTATTTTTCCGAATCATGAAATCAGACAAAATAATAATTTTGAATGTAAAGTTTTCTGTGTTTACCGAGAGGTTGTAAGCTACGTTATGAAGTCTGACCGAAAAGCCGAAATATATTTGACAAACTTAAGTCAATGAAAATGTGATCCAGGCTTTTCAAATACATTTCCCCACTAACTTTGTTTCAAAATTCGAGTCAGAGAAAAAACTTTAAACTTTAAATGCAAATTCATTGAATGGCGCCAGCGGTTCTCGCAAACTGATTGATTAAATATTTATTTATTGCGATAACTCCGGCAATCTGCTTAATTATCCGTAAATCAACAGCTACTCCCAACGCCCACATACCCAGCGCCGAGAAAAAACTACTCACGTTCATTAATTATTAACACCTAGGGCGTAAAAAACATTAATTAACTTTTATGCACACGCTACACTAATTAATATTTAATTCGCTTGAAATTCTATCTGTGATATGTGCGATTGTTCTAGCCGCTCTCAGAATCCGAATCCGATTTAGGGTTTCAGTTGTAAAATAATAAATTACTTGACTCGCTGAGAGCCAGAGGATGTTCAGGAGGTCTTAATTAATTCACACATTTGACAGACAAATTGCCAAGTCTAGTAATTTTATGCAAAACCAATATCATCGACGCCAAAGCGTTTTATCAAATTAAACATTTTTGCATTCCCCGTGATACCATAAATGTTAACCGTTAACCAAATTATGTTGACATGAAATATTCATGGCATATTTGACATAAATCACTTATAATCAAATGGTTAACATCTTTATTGTGTTGGCCAAAAGGTTGTTGAGAATTCAAAGGCATAAACTTGATAAATGCAAATTATGTGGTTTCGTTTGGCTCAGCCTCTGCTTGAATCATTTAAATTAATGGTTTAGTATTTTATTGTTGCTTTTAAAAATAGACAACAAATAAAATTACTTGAAACTTTAATGAATTTTAACTAAAGGCACTTGGTGCTTTCTCTTTCTGTCGGGAATTCATGTTCATCAACTTTTTTTCAATTAACATTTTGCCTTGACTATTGAACTTCCTCGCTTCCTGACCTCCTTCTTTTCATTTTTGTTGGGAAACTTTTGCCAGATACTTAATGCAGTTTTAACTGACATTTCTCTTTAATATTGAAACTTTTTTGGCTGATGCAGCAGCCTTAGAACTAATTAAGAAAAAAATCAATACAACTATAAAGTGATTCTTAGTCAACTTGTAAGAAATATATTGTATTATTTATTTTAGATAACAAATATGCACAGAACAGAGAAACAATCGGACCCTTCCCTACGGAGGAGACTCTGCCTTGAATTCCATCGAGAGGATTTTGGAACAAATCTGCAAATGTCTAGGAAAAAATGCAATAATCAACAGCGCCGGGGACGTCGAAGGCGGGAATGTGCTGGGAATTCATGGGGACTTTTTGGATCCATCAGCTTGACCATTCTGATGTTGGCCATTTGCATGGCCCACACGTCGAATGCCGGTAAGTGTTGAAAGCTGAAAACTGAAAAACTAATAAAATTCTGTGATGATTGGACATGGAGGGGGGACTGATCCACCGAGAGCAGACATTGAAATCTGACAGCAACATTGCAGGCAACAGCAGACACACAAGCCTCAATTAAAAGCACATCAATAACATTCTACGAAAACCCCACCCTCCATCACAATCCACCCACCCACTCATGCAATTGGCACTTGGCGTGCCAGTTTGGCTTGAGGGTCTCTGGTCTCTGTGATTCAGGATTTTGATTTATTTAACAATTTGGCAACAACATTGCCAATGTCACAAGCTGTGACTGTGACTTGTTCTCCATTCCTCCTAGAGGGGAAGGATTTTTTCTTCTTGTTCATAGAAGATATTGAAAATTATGCAACTGGTTTTTGTTGTGTTGGCCAAAACAGAAAAATGGCCAATTGATCGAAAAATAGATGAACAAATGGTTTAAATTTTAAAAGCTTTAAAGTACCAAGGATAAATTATGGTTGCCAATACAAGTTTAAAGCTTAAGATCTTTCAAAGTATTTTCTTTCAAAAGTCTACTAATGCAACTATTACCTATTTTTTAAATATCGAATATCCAGTATACCATATCCCCATTTAAACAAGATGTCAATCCACGACCACAAGTGCCACAAAGCATGCAGCAAGTGCAACAACAAAGCAACCAAAATAAACTTGTCGCTACAGTTTGGGGGAAAATTAACACCATCCCGTCACTGGGTCCCTTTTGGCCCAGTTCTCTGAGCCAAAATAAACATCAGGCCAGTAGCAACAGCAACAAAAAAGGAAAATAGAATTTAACCCAAAGCTGGTCGCTTCAAAATTCCCCTTGGGTTAAATTTTGTAAAGCGCTTTAATCGCTAAGCTGCGTTTAGGCGTCAGATTTGGTGTTTTATCCCCCCCTGCACACGTATATGTGTATATATCTAGTATGTGGAGGCTCCTTTTTGTCCTTTGTGCTTTAGCAGCTGTTTAAACATTTTTGCCAACTCTGCTGTTGTTTTTATACCGCGTATTGTATCAGGGTGTGCCGGGATTTAGGCAGATTTTGTATGAATATTTAACAAAACAATTTAAATAAGGGAACAATTTTAATAAGGAGGGGATTCTTTACTTGTAAAGTAGATTTTCTAAATAAAAAAAAAAAATTATATTTTATGCACGAATTATTCTCCTTCTCATTCTTCAAAAACTTTGTTTCAAAAATTTCAAAAAAACTTCAAAAATTTGGAATATTTTTCTTACTAAAAAGTATTAAGACTTATACCAAGTACTCACAAGTCGTAACCTCTCATAAGTCACTGTTTTTTGATGCTCTTTACCGCAACGAGCCGCCAAATGAGGCTGTCCGGGTAAGGATTCCGGCGGGTGTGAAGGAAATACGGGCTCGTGGGGTTCCCCGGACTGGCGAACTCGCGGAAGTGGCGGCTGCGGCTTTTGCATGTGTTTGCTTGGCAGCTGCAATTTTCGTTGGGCATTTTACAAGCTCTACCCTTGCAGCCCCCGATCTAGCTGCTTTGGCCATGTTGAAGTTCATCCTAGTTACATCCAAAAAAGAAGGTTTAAAAGATCCGCCACAAAAGAGCGGTTTGGTCTAGTATGCTACTTTTTTTTTAACGAACACATCCTTTAAATTTTAAATGAGCATTTTAGAAATTTTTTCTTCCTAATCCCAGAATTATTTTATCCACAATCCACGATTTAACAACAGCACGAAATTAATTTTAATCTTTTATGAGAACCTTTTTAATTTTCAATTAAGAGGTCATGAAAGGGTTTAATTTCTAAGGAATACAAAGTAACTTTACGACTCAAATATAAGCCTTTAAAGAAACATAAATACACTTACTTTTAAAGATTATTTAAATGTTTGTTAAATAGAGAAAATAGAGAATAGAGAGACATTTAAGAAAAATGTTATGATAATTTTACTTTGAAACTGACAGACTTGTAAAGTCTAGTCTTTATTGTCTAAAGGGTATAAAGGATAAGCATGCCTAGGAAGGAGCTACTTCTTTTTTAACTGCCTTTTTATGAACCTGAAAATGGTCCTGAGCCATAAACAAAAAGCCAAATCGAGAAACCAACAAAATGGCCCTCAAACTCTTGTTAAGTGGAATAACAAACCAAAGCCAAACCGAACAGGAGCTTCAATGTGAAGGGAAACAAATGCAATCGGGGGAATTCAGTTTGGGGGAAAATTCTATGAAGTCAAATCAAACTTAGGTACGAACCAAAAAAAAATGTTTGTATTCCGTATGCAGAAGGAATCCTGGCCCCAGGACAATTGTCAAGGTGAAAAAGGGAAAACAAGCAGAAGGAACAAAAAAAAAATCGACAGAATATAAAAATGAACTACAATTTTGCAAATTTTAAGCACATTTCACAGTCGTGTGCTGTGCTGTGAAAAAGTCGTCAGCGTGGCAAGAAACCGATTTGCATATTTACACCAATACAAGTGCAAACAGGACCCTACACCCACACACATCTATAACTTGCATACAATAAATCTTGTGACGTCTCGAGAGAAAGACGTCACGTAGCATGGAAGAGGTTGGAGAAAAGTAAGAGATGCTGGGATGCTAGGGATACGTTGCTTTTCCTGTTTCCTGCTTAAGTTCCTGCCCAGCGTTTGTTGTGTGTGAAATCCTTGCAGTCGTCGAGGATAGTTCACAGAAGGTCCCCGTATCCTTACATCCCCCTTAAATCCTCCTCTCACATCCTTTTACTGCACACCGCAGACTGACGGTGAAAAATTGTTGCCAGTTCACATGAAAATTGTCAGAGCGCTATTACCGAAATGAAAATGAAAAGAAAATCGAGCTCATCATGTGTACACTGTACACTGCATACTATACTATACATACTCTATAAAAAAAACACTCTCGTAGCACACATTTCCCAATCTCACTGCTACGTTGCATTGATAATGAGAAAAATAAGGAGCAAATGCGAGGAAAGCACTGGATTTATATTCATACTGCGAATGCAACGAAAATGCTTGGATAATACTTAGTTACTGAAAAGCGACAAGAAAATATTTCGACAATGGCTTAAGTGGGAAACAGTTCACCGGGCCAAGAGCAGAACAGAAAACTGTCAGCAAAAATATAAACAAGACAAGAACGCTAGCTTCAGGAGGAGCCGAAGTTTATATACCCTTGAGCTTAAGATTAGATTTTTATCGCAAATATCGCATTTAGTAGGCCGATCTTAGGATCTAGCATATAGTAGGTAGGATCTTCCAACTTTCTATCTTCAAAAGCACAAAAAAAGGGTAATTTCCTATAGTTCAGTTATATGGCAGCTATAGGATATTGTCCTATATAGGGTCCACAGTGATGGCTATATCTTCCCCAATTCTCATCCGATTCTCAAGCGGAGTACCTTTAATGATTTGTGGATTGATTCTCCACCATTCTGCATCAAAATCCGAAGACAAAATATTTTTTCGATTTTTTCCCCATTTTTCCAGTGGATCCCTTGGAAATGGGATTTTCGCCTATAGGGTCCACTGGGTCTACTAGGGATGGCTATAACTTCCCCAATTCTCATCCGATTCTCAAGCGGAGTACCTTTAATGATTTGTGGATTGATTCTCCACCATTCTGCATCAAAATCCGAAGACAAAATATTTTTTCGATTTTTTCCCCATTTTTCCAGTGGATCCCTTGGAAATGGGATTTTCGCCTATAGGGTCCACTGGGTCTACTAGGGATGGCTATAACTTCCCCAATTCTCATCCGATTCTCAAGCGGAGTACCTTAAACGATTTGTGGATCGATTCGCCACCATTCTGCATAAAAATCCGAAGACAAAATATTTTTTCGATTTTTTTTCCATTTTTCGATGGGTTCCCTTGGAAATGGGGTTTTCCCCTATAGGGTCCACTTGGTCTACTAGGGATGGCTATAACTTCCCCAATTCTCATCCGATTCTTAAGCCAAGTACCTTAAACGATTTGTGGGTCGATTCTCCACCATTCTGCATCAAAACCCGAAGACAAAATATTTTTTAGATTTTTTTTTCATTTTTCCATGGGATCCCTTATAAATGCGGTCTTCCTCTATAGGATCCACAGTGATGGTTATATCTTCCCCAATTCTCATCCGATTCTTAAGCGAAGTACCTTAAACGATTTGTGGATCGATTCTCCACCATTCTGCATCAAAATCCGAAGACAACATATTTTTTAGATTTTTTTCCATTTTTCGATGGGTTCCCTTGAAAATGGGGTTTTCCCTTATGGGGTCCACTGCTATATATAGTCTTTGCGTTGCACACATTTGACCAAAATTATAATACCCTCTGCAAGGGTATACAAATAAAGAGACCCGCAAACAGATGCAGCTTATCAACGGACAAATAAACAGATGGAATACGAGTATTAATCTAGGAAGTCAGACACATGAAATGCTTGCAAACCACGAGTCTTTTAATAAGGGGTATGCTTTCGATTTGATGAAAATGAAATTGGTGACAGACATTCCTTTTCATCGTTTACTTTCCTTTGAATTTCTAGACTCCGGAGCTGCGTACTTTTGAATTATTTTATAGAACAGATGCACAAATGTGTCTAATATTTTTAACTCTTGAAATTTAACCCATATTTAAGCAATAATCATTTGAATAAATCTCTATAAGAATGTACCTCCTCTGTAAATTACTAGCCTCAATTATAATGTTTTCCTTTGAAATTGATTGATTTTCGCCCATCCTTTGTCGTGCTAGTGGGGTTCTGTTCACCGCAACCACATCATGTTCTGCTATTAACTTACAGGATGTAACCATGCATCCTGAAAGCAACATATTGTTACACTAAAAGACCCTCCTCCTCATCCTGTTTACTTTTTTTCTCTCCATCTGTCACGTGAGGGAGAACGGGGTAAATGGATAAATAACGATATGTTTACGGATGGCACTCGGCGAGGAAAATGTGGAGCAAAAACAAACGTGGAGCTGATTTATATGCGATTTTT